TCCTCAGGACATTACCCGATGGATAGTTGAAATCCATGGGGGTTATCCCGTACCAGGACTATAGTCTACATGTATAGTCCTGGCACGGGATAACATGGGGGTATCTCCTTGTCTTAAATGATAATTATTAATTGTATCATTGATATAATCATGGGCTTTCAATTAGTATATGACTGCATGGGTACTGCCGGCAACTTAGTGGCTAATACTGTTAGCTGTATAGATTTACAGAGCACTCAGGTCTCGTTATTTCATATATCCGCATTGCATTAATCCACTCAAGGTCATGTTTAGATCTTAGTGACACTAATGGAACCGGCAAGCTGATCAATTTCATAGTTTAGTGAAAATGTATAAATAGTATCATTCGGGAATAACAAGCCATTTACCTCTACAAGTCAAATGCAAATGGTAATTGTGGTTCTTTTGAGTCATTTCATTCTAAACTTAGAACTCAATGTTATCTCATGCAAAGTTTGATACAAACTCTTAAAGGAATGATTAGTCTACACTCTACAATGCACAGGACTTAAATCCTTTTAAACATTATCGCCTTAACCTCATATAACCCCAAGTATAAGACGTTCAAATGTCCCCATAACCAATAATGATCTTGACCTTTACACACAACTTGACCTACAACAACCAACATACTGACCTTTGTCATTTTAGGTGACCTTGACCAAGAAACGTGGCCTTGACATGAATAGGGGAGTCCGTCGTCCCTTAAATATTAGGAAGTATATAATGTAAATATTGAAATATGGAGCAATTGGAAGTCCATGTAAATTATCTAAGTTTGACCGCTTACCACAATTCCAACATACAATTAAATGATAATATTGGAGTCCGTCCCGAATGGGCTTACGTTTACCAAGTTCAGTGACCCTACCGCTTTAACGGTGTAGAAGAACAAGGACAAACGCATAAAGTCGCATAAAGTAAGACGTATTAAATCGCAGTGTAAGATTAATGTTAGGTTGTTTATAAATTAATCATATCCATTAATCATATCCACAAATCCACAATTAATCAACAGAATCAAATGACGTGTAGAGGGGTAACTTCAGATTGTAGTGGGAGTGGGGAAACGAAATTGAAAAATGAAATGAGCCAAAAAGGATCAAATTGACCGATAAAAGGGTAATTATGGTATGTCTAGGATAAATGTGTCAGAAGAATGATAAACGAGGAACACCCTAAACAAGAGATTAGCCACAACAAGTATACAAAAACAGGTTGGAATGAGGTATTAATAGCAAGCAAGACAGAAAATGATTTCCTGAGATCAGAGACGGTCATTGGATTCTATAGTCTGGGCAATTGGTATGGTCTTGTACATGTATGTATGGCGCAGGAACAGAAGCACAAGCAGGTGGATAAAAGTATCGCACCTAAAACACAGCAGTGTGACAGTGAAGAATTTAGGACGGAAAATCCAAAATGCCCACCTTAAAATTTACCCAGAATGCCCAAAAACTAATCAGTTCTTAACTTTGATACGTAGAAACATCCCTGAAAATTTCAGATGAATACATCAAATGGTTTGGCTGGAAACCTGTAGACAAGTCTTGAAAGGGAAGATTTTAGGACGGAAAATCCAAAATGGCCACCTTAAAATTAACCCAGAATGCCCAAAAACTAATCAGTTCTTAACTTTGATATGTAGAAACATCCCTGTAAATTTCAAATGAATCCGTCAAATGGTTTGGCTGGAAACCTGTAGACAAGTCTTGAAAGTGAAGATTTTAGGACGGAAAATCCAAAATGGCCACCTTAAATTTTACCCAGAATGCCAAAAAACTAATCAGTTCTTAATTTTGATACGTAGAAACATCCCTGAAAATTTCAGATGAATTTGTCAAATGGTTTGGCTGGAAACCTGTAGACAAGTCTTGAAAGTGAAGATTTTAGGATGGAAAATCCAAAATGGCCACCTTAAAATTTTACCCAGAATGCCCAAAAACTAATCAGTTCTTAACTTTGATACGTAGAAACATCCCTGAAAATTTCAGATGAATCTGTCAAATGGTTTGGCTGGAAACCTGTAGACAAGTCTTGAAAGTGAAGATTTTAGGACGGAAAATCCAAAATGGCCACCTTAAAATTTACCCAGAATGCCCAAAAACTAATCAGTTCTTAACTTTGATACGTAGAAACATTCCTGAAAATTTCAGATGAATCTGTCAAATGGTTTGGCTGGAAACCTATAGACAAGCTGAAAAGTGAGACGCCGCCCGCCCGCCGCCCGCCGCCCGCCCGCCCGTCAAGCTGACGACAATATCGTACCTTTATTAGGTACGATAAAAAACAAAAACGAGAGAACGATAAATGAAGACATTTGCTTTCTTAAAGAAAAATTGAACAAAGACTCTTGCCTTAACTTTAATAAATATAGGGACAAAGAGACAATTGCAGCAGAAAACGGCATTGCTATGGTCATGTATGGTATATGTCCCGACATGACGTCTCCAAAGACGCCGAAAACCGTGGCTTCAAAGACGCCAACGATATCCTTAAAATATCAGACATTTCACTTCTCACTCAACCATCTAAATGATCTAGTGAGCGTGCAATTTGATAAACAGACGTAAAAGTGATTTATTGGTTGCGATCGAGTAAGATAATGCAATTATTTCGGAGACACATATATCCCAATGTGGCATTCGTTTCTATTTATAGTCTCCTCTGTGTGTTCCCGTTAGAGCCTCTGTAATAAACAACTGTCAAGAACTAAATGTACCTTTGAACCATTGATGCAGCTTTAGTTTGGCCTATATCTAAAGTGGTCTGATCTTTAACTCGGAATCAAAAATCATACTATTGACCTTGAATATGCACCATCTATAGATTCATATAATTGGATTGGTTAAATGCCCTGTACTCCATACATTTTTTGGGACAAATATAATTTTTATTAATTTTTCCACCTCCTAAGGAACTGAAGTGTCTGGATGATTATATTGATAATTTACGATGATTTGGCTCATACTGTCGGAAGTTAAATAAGATGCATTTTGTGAAAAAAAGAACAAATTATGGATTCTGTATCGTGTTGTAGCGAGCGACGTAGTGGTGCTAGAAGTACAGCGGGGCACATCTCCGCAGTTGATGTGTCTGTGAATTAGAAATTAAACCTCCTATTGGATCACGTGCTAAAGCCTATTTATGTTTGAATTTTTATTTACATAGTGTGTAAAGAAAATACTACTTTTAGGGTTTAAGCTTCATTTCGAAAACCTGAATTTTTCATAAATTTTTTTTTGCCGCGAAGCATTTACTGAACAGATATCTAGATATCTGATTTGCCCCGAACCCACCATTCCCCATTGGTTTCCATGGGAATGACAATTTTAAAAAATTCATCAAATTTGTCATCAATTTTCGACCTATTGTAATTGAGAAAAATGGGAAATTTAGAGGCAGTGCAAATGAAGTCAACCTTTATCATAAGAATTTTCATTGCTGGTTCCGTAAATAAAAATTCAAACATAAAGAGGCTTTAACACGTAGTCCAATGAGGGAGTTAGGGTTGCCAAACTTATGGAGGTGAGTGTAAGCACTTGTGAGTTTGCCACCAGAAAAAATGTATTTCCGGTCGAATGAAGTGTAAGAGAATAAGGTTTGAGTCTATGAGATACGCCTACAGTTACTGTTGAAATATATTTTCATTTGTTTTCTCGTGATACAACTTTTTTACAGAAAAAATGGTTTCAAGGTCTTCCATTGTTTTTTCAATGTTGATCGATGAGTCAGGGTTATAAATCGAGTCAGTCGGAAACTGGGAAAGACTATATATAGCTGTATGAAAAATGATATGGATGTGTGTCAATTTCGAGAAATCATCAATCTCAAGATCTTTTGGATTAACCAGAGTCTGGATTAAAATAGACAGGTTTAGCAAACAACATTTTCATGAATAACAGATCATGCTATGTTCTATCATGGGCTTTCAGTTGCTAGCTTTGTTTTACTTTCAAAATCGAAAACAATTAGCATTCATTACAAAGCATCCATTTTCCCGTAAAGGTTTTTTATGCTACCATATTGAACGAGAGGAACAAAGTGTTTTAGAATGCTCGCTTTTGAATACAAGCCGAGTGATAATCAATTAGTTATGTAACAGACAAAACAAACAGAAAATGATTTTATCGTGTAGGCACAATATGCCATTCAGTAAATGTGTTACGTTTTTTCTTTATATTCCTCTGAATCTGCGTCACATCAATTAAGAATATATTGTTCATTGTTATTTTTAAGAAATGAAGGTACTTTTGATATGTCTCAACAATGAATTTTCTTTCATGATATGTCATCATCTCTATTGAATTTTAGACCCCACACGAAATGCCGCAGATGACGGCATTGACGCATATCTACATGCATCATCAATAATTCTTAGAGTTTGAGAGAGTTTGTCAAACAATGTCTTGAATTATCGAGGTGCCTATGTGACATCTTCAAGGACATGAATTCACATGAAGTTTTCAGCTCTTCTAAGAGCTATTATATACTTCACGTTTCTTATATCGTGCTATAACAATAAATTAGTTTTATGTACAAATAATTAGCTAATTCCTAAAATTACTTTTAGGAACAGAACCTTTGTAGTAAACGCATTGAGACCTTGCATTTGTTATAGTTACTGGTCAAAGACATATATTTGGAGTCTCTGATAAAACACATTTTTGTTTCAATTAACGTACAGGGTGTCCCAAAAAATAGTGTTACACGATGAGAATTCATTTTTCAAGTAGCAGTATAAGAATTCATAGAAATATGTGCATTACTCTCAGAGTGAATTGACATTTTAGATGACCATGCTCTAAATTACACACATCATAATCGATTCAGAAATGAATGCAATTTCACACATTCGTGATGGTGCGGCTAAAACAAGTTTTTCTATGAAACTAATAGGAGTTACATGTACCTGATGAATCTTTCGGATATTTATAATAATTAAACGGTATTTCAGATGGATGAATCTCAAGAATATTTCTTCATCAACGGCAGAGGTATTCCATAACTGTGTAGTACAACATTGAGATACGGGTGGTAGTACTAGAACACATTTTCTTTAAACCAAATAGAGATACTGAATAAAACTTCGAAAATTTTGATTTGATTTGACTGTAAATTATGATAGTGTTGGGGAAGGACCTCTAAAGGTCAAGAAAATGGTTCAAACAAGTTTCCATATTTTATTTCTTTTTTCATTATACTCATCTTATTGACTTCACCCTGTAGTTATATGTAGATAAGAAACATAAAACAAGTATTCCATTGTAAAATCTGACATGAGATATGCATTTCATAACAGCATAATAAATATATTTTACATAACACCTATCCCACAAAGATGTAGCTGTGGAAAGTACAATGTGTGAGACTTCTTTTGTTCAAATGGTACACTATCAATTTTCGAATGGTACACTAATACTTAGTCATCTAGAGAAACTGTCATTAGGTGAACGCTGAAATGTAAATCAAACAATATAAAGTACTTGTAATATTATTTTGCCAATTGTAATGTCACTATGACATTCTTTAAGTTTAGCATGACCTTTCCATTGATAAACGTCCTTCAACTGAAGCAGAAAATGAAATGAAGAATAGATAATAACCAATTACTGGCTATTGAACGAATTGATACTTCAAATGAATCCCTTGACAAATATTGCCTGTGTCCATTATGCAATCATCCTTGCTGATTCATTCCTGGCCTTGTTTGGAAAGTCTCTCGGATTATTCCTTCTCAAGATACAAATAGGGAATGCAATCGTGACAAATGAATCTTTGTATCTTGATTTCTCCTTTTTCAATTCCCTATCACCTTGTCCCAGTGACCTGGAATACATGTCCTCTCTCAGCCACAGCTTTGAGGATATTGGCGATATTCTTGCAGTCATCTGAAAGAAACAAATATGTGTTCATAAGATAAGAGATTCCTAACATATGTCTGATATTAATCAGTGTACAGTATTAATAAATTATTTTGGCTTGTATCATTCTTTGTTGATCAGGTCTATTTTCTAAATAATTTTTCCTGATCAAAATAAAATGTACATAAATGTGATGGTAGAATGAACCTAGAAGGCTAGAAGCTCAGTAGGTATGGGATACTTTTCTTATGTAAGGTCAGGTTTGGATACAGGGTTTATCCTGGGGGTAATATGTCTATTGCACATATTGATACGCATATTTCCCTCGAGAACCCTGCATGCATTAAAGTTACTTTTTAATATATATTTATTCTAGAGCAGCAAAGTTACTTTCTAAAATATGCACTTCAACTTCCCTCATAAAAAGATGTAGCATTTATTTGGTCAATACAATTTACAGAAGTGAATTCAATTCACATTTGTCATAACATCAATTAAACTAGAATTCTAAATGTAAAGCAACCTGCTCCATGGCATATTTTCATGGGGATTTCTTCTGAGGATATCTATATAACAGAGTACCACGACCAATCTCCCCTCCCCTCGGCCTCCAACTTCTACATTTGGTCTAAAGAGCTGTGAAAATCCCTTAAGATGAATGATAAGAATAGGAAACGGATTTACCCAATTAAACCTCTGCAATGAACCTAAACTAAAGCACTCGTGAGATATAAAGCTTCAATATTTTCCCATCTGGCTTATTGATGAAAATCCATCATTCTAATAATATAGTGACATCTAATTACTCTACCTGATTAGAATCTATTCAAGATAATTGATATATTATTACATTTTTTCAAGTCAGACAAAACAACAGGATATCCCATAAATCAGTGCTAGGATATTGTATTTATTCTTTATCCAAGCTTGAGTAGAGCATGGATTTATAAGGTTCATTGACATAATGATTGATTGGTTCCAGTTACTCTTTGATAAGAAAGGTTCAATGGCCATGTTAAGACCATTAGTTCTGCATTAAATAAATCAGCTTTTACTTTTACCTTGGGACACAAATTGAAATGGCTTTTACATTAGAACAACATGGGGTAATTGGAGTGAGGAGCTAAGATTTCATTTGGGAAATTCCACCATATGAGCTAATATCACCAAACTGCAGATAAGGTTATGAAAAATGGGACAACACAAATTACAAAATTATAACTAATTTCTAAAAGTGGATGATACAGTATGAGCTATTAGTTAAAGTGAGATCAGTTGATGGATGTTACAGTTAGTATCAGTTGGTGTACACTGCAACAAGTAGAGAATGTGGAAGATAAAGGAATAGTTTAAAACATTTCTTAGAAAACAAGGTACATAATACTGAGTGACATATAAGTAGTACCAGTCCACTGCATATATGTATAAATAGAGCCAGTCTACAATGTATATGTATAAGTAGTACCAGTCCACTATGAATATCTATGACTAGTACCAGTCCACTACATATATATAAGTAGTACCAGTCTATTTTGTTGATTCATAAGTAGTATCAGTCCACAATTTACATCTATAACAAGTGCCTGAGTCAATTCCGCATATGTATAAATATTGCCAGTCCACTACATGTATTGATAACTAGTACCAGTCTATGATATATATAAGTAGTAACAGTCTATTTTGTAGATTCATTAGTAGTATCAGTCCACAATTTACATCTATAAATAGTGCCAGTCCTCCACATATGTATAAATAGAGTCCGTATAAGTACATGTATATTATTAAGTACTAACAATCAGTCAATATCAACTGATTGCCAACAGTTCTTACAAGCCATTGGAACAGAATCTGAGAATAGCTGGCTGATACGAATGGTCTTTAGTTTTAATAGTTCCAACATTAATAGTACCCTTATAGTACATATTCAGAACAAAAGGTATCCTCCAGTTCCCACCTTAATCTGTCTAAACCCTGAATATGGATATCATGTTGAGATCATAAGATGTAAGCTTTCATTATCAGGGTCCTCTCAGCTAGAAAAAGGAGTGACAATCAATTTGAGTTTCCAGTTACATTGTAATAACGTACAGGTATATGTAGAAATATGTTTTTCAGTGGGAATATCTGACAAACCAATCAGTGACAAGCCCCGAGTGACAAGTCAATCATAGCAATATGGTGAATTGTACAAGAATTGGATTCACACTATAATATAGGAATTAGATTATTTAAAATGTTTGAATGCTAATCTTTTCTTTACAATCTCATTCCATTTTCTGAAAAAGATCCAGATAGCTGAGCAAATAGAAATTATCAAAGAAGATGTTGAATTCATTAGAATTAAAAAAAGGGGGTGTGTCCTTTTTCATTTTTTACAGATAACCTTGAAAACTGAAGGATTAGCTTCAAATAAGGTCAGAATTTTCTCACTTTTTACAATTGAATTTCTTAATGTCACTCTATACATAAAAAAGAGATAGAAAAGTAAAACGGCATGTCCTAGGTAGTATTGCTTTTGTAATCCTTCTCATTTTCAAACTGTTAATGGTATAATGGTGCAGTGGGACCCCCAGAGGAGAACATGGGCTGACCAGGGGATTCTGCTGTATTAACACATGCTGATATTTTGTCTTATTTCTATTTTATTACATTTATTAATAAACTGTAACCAAATATTATCTCCATGACTGGAGGGACAATAAATATACTAATTACAACAATTATCTATCATATTGTTCTACTAATTGCAGCTAATTTAGGTGACTAATTTTATTAATTTCTTACCTATGCCACTGTGATGTCGTCCCTGGTGCCGTAAACCAAGGGGTTCTAGCATAGGAATCATCCCACTGGGCCACATGCCTGTTGAGTCAGAAAATGCCTGAATGAAAAGTGTTAAACATTACAGTTTTAGTCTCACATACTGAAGCAAATTCTCACTGAAATTAATAATCCAGGAGATAAATCCTCTATACATGATTGCTTCGCTTTTGATAAGTACCAATCCAGTATCTCAGATACAAGACTAAATCAACTGTTCTCAATTTGACAGGTTAAATGATTGATACTTACATCAATCAATCAGTTTTAGCAAACAAAACTAAGTAATTTTTCAAAATTTAATCAGTGATGCATGAAGCAATTCAAAAGATACTGTGTATTTCTCATGATTTGAAGGAAACCTGTGTCTATTTGAAACTTCTAAGTTGATAAAGAATGAAATAAATGAATGCATGTCTAGTGTGTATTGAAGGCTTACATGTATGTGACTAGAATTAACTTACTCTTTTAATGTTGATCCACTTATTGAAATATGTTGGTATTGGGATGTTGAAATGATTGCACTGTGATGGTAACCTGGAATATCAGAACAAAAATGTTATCCTGAATATTAACAAATCACCATAATATTACATGTACTTGCTTTACATAAAAATAAAAAATTTAAGATGATTGCTTTGGTTATTGCAGCAGCTAGGTTTTCTCATGTTATGGGATTCAGGAGTTTTTAGTTTAGTTTTTAAGTTAAAAAGGTGCTAAATTTTTGACTATTCGATGTAAAACAGCATGTTCTGGCAGAGTATGAATACCAGGAATTCACACCATGTGTATGAGTAAAAAATATAAGAATATAAAAAATTCAAGGGTGTAGCTTGTCATGAGGCAGATGAGGTCATTAAATCATTCCAAAAAATTCATTCATTTGGAATTTTTCAAATTCATTCATATTCAATTTTTCAATTTAGACTAAAAATGAAATCTTATGATAAAATTACATACATCACCTTTCACTCAAATCATCTTAATCCACCAAGGTATCCCATAAGACTGATATGACCAAAGAATTCACTGGTTTAACAGTATGTACTCTCATTTGCCTCAACTATTTCAAATTTGCCTCACTTATTTTTTAGATGCTGACTACACCCCTGAAAATTGCTTACATTCTTCTGAGATCCCAGTCTCCACATGTGACGAATACTGACTTGACCCCTGGCTCCAGTAAACCATTCTCTAACATCCACTTGTCAACACTCTAGAAAGCATTTATATGAACGATAAAACATTGATTGGTAATACGCACATTAGAACTCTAAAATATTTAATAAGACATATCATATCAAACTTTAATAAGACATATCATAAGATTTTAACATATTTAAAATCTACATAACTGATTTACTCGTACTACTCAAGAATACAGGGTAATTATATATTCAAACAAGGCATTTACATACAAAATGTCACCAACTGCAACCTGCCATTTGTTACAGACACCCACCACCAAACACCAACAGCTGAATGCTGAAGACCAACTGCCAAACACCAACCACTGAACACCATCCACAAAAAAGTTAGAGACTAAACTACAACAATATGTCACCGTTTGTTGTGGTTACATAACAGTTTATGTGTGGGAAGGAAAGAAAGGTCCAGTCATTACATATAGAAATTGCATCACTGACGACATATTCAACCATTTTGAAATTACCAAAATGTCACATATATAAAGGGTTTTATTAGAATATCTCTCGATCCCAAATGTCTGATAAAAGGCAAAATTGTTGGTGCCTAATGATTAGGAAAAAGCTGAGAAAATTGTCTGGTGCTGATGAAATCCCCTGCTGTATATGATCAAATGATGGTAAATTACACAATATTGGAACTAGAATGAACATGTTCATATTTCATATAAAATTGTATAGCAGCATGTTATCATTTCTATTCATCAAATGAAATATTGAAGATCTACACGATATATTGAAACTCTATTTCCTTTTTTTAATTTGACAAGCAATACAGTTTCATATCAGGCCTTGGTCTTTGAGCCTAGATGTAGGTAATCAACGTGTAACACAGGTTAAAACAGCCCCTAGCCTGGATTTTTTGAACCTGGAGACCCCACTTGCAGATTAATTTGACAAGTGGGTTAGTACTAAAATCAGATATTCTATCATTTATTTTTGCGCTCACATACATGTTTATGGAGCATTAATTAACATTAGCATTAATTAGCACTAGAATTAATTAGCACTAGCATTAAAATTTGTGTTCTATTCTTGATGTAATTTTACATGATTTAATTTGACTGCAAATTGCTTCTAATATAACTATTTTAGTAGTTTTTATTTAAAATATTGGGGATCAGCAGCTTGATGCATTTAATCTCAAAAAGGCATTCAAAGGGGGAAAATGACATGTTTTCTGATAATTCTTGTTTTCATTGGCAATACCCACATATTCTCAGTTTTAGGTAAGCATGCAAGTGACTGACCTGACCAGGATGCCCCTTATAGTCCTACTAAGTAGGTCATAAGTCACAAAACTTAGAAAATGACATACTCTTTTGCTAAAATGTAAGAACAGCTAGAATAAGTGTGAAAGTTCACAGGTTTAGCCAGGATAAAAAAATAGGCGAAGCAAATGTAATTAGGTGAGGTAAATGTAATTAGTTGAACCAAATGTAATAAGGTGAGGCACATGCAATTAGGTGAAGCAAATGTAATTTGGTGGGGCAAATGTAATTAAGTGAGGCAAACAAAATGTAATGAGGTGAAGCAAATGTAATTTGGCTGGGCAAATGTAATTTAGTGAGGCAAATGTAATTAGGTGAGGCAAATATAATTTAGTGAAGCAAATGTAATTTGGTTGGGCAAATGTAATTTGGTGAAGCAAATGTAATTTGGTGGGGTAAATGTAATTTATTGAGGCAAATGTAATTAGGTGAGGCAAATATAATTTAGTGAAGCAAATTTAATTTGGTTGGGCAAATGTAATTTGGTGAAGCAAATGTAATTTGGTGGGGTAAATGTAATTTATTGAGGCAAATGTAATTTGGCTGGGCAAATATAATTTAGTGAACCAAATGTAATTAGGTGAGGCAAATATAAACAGGCAAGGCAAATGTAAATAGGCAGCGGTTTTATTAGCAGCAGGCATTTTGTGAAAACAACCGGTGAAAATCGCTGTTGTTTTAAGGGATTTTTCAAGTTTTCCATGTTAAATTTATGATTTCTATTAATTTTGCATGGTTTTTTTAGCCTGTTGTGAGAAATTGTAGTGAAACCCCTGATAGGTCAGACAAATTTAGACTAAGCAAAATGAAGTAAGTTACTATCTAGACTTCATTTCCACAGTTTTATTTGGAAAAAACTTTCTAATTTGATGAGCCAATGGCCTCGTCTGCCTCATGCCTTGCTACGCCCAGTTGTACTGACCTGCAATGTCTCTTCAATGTGAGGCTGTCCATCCACCATTTCTTGTATAATACCTGTCAACTGAGCAGAAAAGAAAACAATTAGATATCAATAATACAGTGTACAGTGTACATGTTTTGTTCAATCATAATAGAGACAAAGTCAACAATTAATTGCATTTATTTGCAAACTCATATACTTTATAAACCAAGTTTAATAGATTTTTAACAAATTAATATTAGTTTATGTTTTCAGAGAATACAAGATGTAAAATATTACAAACCTCAGTACAAAAAGGTGTCAGTTCTGCATGGACTCGAGGTTGTACATATTGATGAAACTGACTTTCTACCTCAAATGTTTGGCCATTCACTTTCAGTATTGGAAGTTCAATGATTTCCTGAAATGAAAGAATTTACTGTAGGCCTGGGAACATGTATAAAAATTGAGTCTAAGTCTAGTAAAGAATAAAGAATAAAGATCATGGAATTTACTAAATACTGTATATGATGTACAAAACTAGAAAATGGCAACTCCAGGAAATGTGTGAATTATTATTATAACTTGGTTACCGCTAGAACCACTCAATCAAACACCCAGAATTACATAACACACAAACAAACTTGGCTGAACCGGGAATCGAACCCGGGCCAAGCGATTTTGGTAATCCTGACTCTGCCACTGAGCCATAGCGGTTGAAATAGATTGATTTTGTGAATATAATCTCTCGGTCTGATATAATATTTATTACTTTGGTTTAAAATGAAAAACATAAGATTTTTGCAAAAAATTTCCGCCATTTTTAAAGTGGTGGCCATCTTGAAAAAGAAAATCTGTAAACGAGTATTCCAGTTATCTTCCGGACGGAAGGACGGACTGACTGACGGATGGAGGGCTTCACTATTTCCTACCGATCTTCGTTCATTGGGATAATTACAGAAATGAAACGTTTGTACAATTGTGGCAATGTAATGCCAACAAAACCTTTAATATATAGTGTATTGAGCCAGTCCTACATGTCTGCAGCATAAGACCACAGATTGATGAGGCATTTCAGGTTTGAAGCTACATGTAAATAACATGTTGTCGATTTCCCAGCAGTTTTATAAATATCTTGGAGGGGTGATGGTAGTATTCTTACCTATTAACGTGTGGTTCTCGATAATCACAGTTTGCCAATCATATACATGACGATACCTGTAATTGTGTTCTGCAATCATATGCAAAAGCATCATCATCAGTTTCACGATACAATCATTTACTGATTACTACATCACTGAGCATCGCACTGCATTAGTGTCTATTGTAGATTACACCATTTTGTACAGGAACTGGAATATCATCTTTTTGTGCTTACTTTGTATTTGTACATGTACATGAACTCACCTGAGGAAATGGGTTTTTGGGGTTATCACAAGTTGCTTCAAAGTCTAAAACAAGAAAATAGTCGAAGTTCTGTCGCTTTATCTCACTTGAGCTAGAAGCCATTCTGACGGTATAATTTGGAATAAAAAGCTCAACTAGTAGCCCCAATCGAGCAGCTTTTGCAGTTCTTGCACAACTTTTTGAAAGTTTCAAAATTGAGTGTGAAATCATGACATTTCTATTTACTTCCGGGTTCGATATCTGTAATGGTCACGTGATTAATTATATTTAGCTTTTCATATGCTTGTAGTACTTAGAACAATTAAGAACAGTGGGATGGTGTAAGATATTAAGCATGCTGCATTATCCAATAGTTTTGTATACCAGATCCTACTCAGTTATATTATAAACGTCTTATAAATAAGTGAACGAGACTAGTCATTCATCTAAAGAACGAACGACTTTATTTCTAAGTTCAAAACAAATTTGTTATACATGCATTTCAACCTATAACTTGCTGTCTATGTGTTTCAAAATAGTGAAACAAAACAAATTCAAATATAACAATCCAATCCAAAGTGATTTGCAACTGTTGTGAGATTGCATTGTGTGTGGTATAATGTCTGAATTCGACAATGTTTTGTTCGTAAATTTAATGCAACATAAATGGCCACCTAAAAATTTCATATCGATAATATTTCCGATCGAAATAAGTAATTCACTGAGGTCCTGGTCATGAAGGTAAGATATATTTCCCTTTTTAGGTTTAATATATACCTGCTTTTCACGTTGAAAGATGTGACATGCCGTGTAGAATTCTTTAAATGCTGTTCTGATATACTTCAGGATCGAGTAAAAATGAGGTCAACATTTTTTTATTTTAATTTTATTTTTCCCACAGAAGGATGTAGACGAGATCAATTTATGTTTTATGAATGTAATTGTAAATACTGATCCTCAGTGACAAACAATTATTTTTAAGGTCTCATGGAAGTTAACAGGAAATGACAAAACAGGAAGTGAAATTTTTTTTTGCATTTTTGGACATTTTTTGAACAAAGATAACAGAGTTCTGGTTTGGCCTCCAGTCAATTTAACTATTTCCACATATCATTTACATGACCAGGATCACAATGTGCATGGTCAGAATGACCCTAAACATGATGAAATAACCTTTTTAGCCCTTTGAAAGTGTGACTGAAAAAAAGCTAAAAGTAGGAGCGTAGGGAAGGTCACTGATCAGAATCTTTTGAATTTTTCAGAAAATGTGCCCAATATAATGCTCTAACTATTACAATCTTTGAAATTTTAGAAAATTGTCTTAAACAAAAATGGCGGTCATAAAAAGGAAAATAGATCGCTTTTCAAATCAGTTTTTTCATTTTTTTTCTTTTTCTATGAATGATATCAAATTTTCAAAGATTGTATCATTTAGAGCAATATATTGGGCACATTTTCTGAAAAATTCAAAAGATTCTGTTCAGTGACCTTCCCTACGCTCCTACTTTTAGCTATTTTTCAGTCACATTTTCAAAGGGCTAAAAAGGTTATTTCATCATGTTTAGGGTCATTCTGACCATGAACATTGTGATGCTGGTCCTGTAAATGGTATTTGGAACTAGTTAAATTGACTGGAGGTCAAACCAGAACTCTGTTATCTTTGTTCAAAAAATGTCCAAAAATGCAAAAAAAATTGTCACTTCCTGTTTCGTCATTTCCTGTTAACTTCCATAGCACCTTAAGGTAATTTAAAAACCAAATACCAACATGAACATCAATATTTTCTTCTTCAGACTTCCTAGCTATCAACATGGATGGCTTCGTATTTGACCTCGACAAAGTCCTTGATGATTTTGAAATGAATGAGGGTGAGTCATCGATACAACAATTTTTATAGAATGTATAAACTACAGTAAAATTTTAAATGTTTGGAACCTGTACTTTGAATTCAAAAAATAAGCAATCAAATGACTATATTGCGACAGTATGAAAAATGGAAACAATATGTACAAGTCCTAACTGTTGTATATTTCAGATAATTATGTATAATGTGCAGCAAAACTGTGGCCTGTAATTTAGGGAGTTTCAGCCATGTTAATTTTTTCGAAAATGACATGGCAGTGAAGCATCAAAATATAAGAGGCCACAGATATGATCGCTAGACTACAAAACAAACTAAAATAAACAAAAGTTAGGACGTGTATAAATGTTTCTATTTTTACATATTCTGTTTCAAATATGGTCCTTTAATTGCTTATTCTTTAGATTCAAAGTAGTTCTGTGATGATCTGAGGAGACAAAACCTGAAATATTTTGTAAAAAATATCAGTCCCTTGGTGAAATGAAGTTGAAGACATGAAGTTTTACCTTAGAATGCTGAATCTTTTAAATCAACTGAATTGTCCCTATGTTGTGGCAGAAGAACTAGCCATTTGATTGTAGTTTGAAGAAGTTATGACATGAAACATGAGAATTCGTAGAAATTTCCTAGTGTCGTCCGCCATATTGGATTGCATTCGAAAATAGTCTCACTTGACGACCAGTGCGTTTCGATGTTAAAATGTGATTAAAAGAATTAAATATGGAATCTTCTGCATAAGAACTTAAAGATGAACTCTATGATTGTAATTATATATATGACGGCGATGTATGATACCGATAATGTGGCAAAAATGGGATTCTAGATTTAAAATAGTGCGTGACGTCATTAACAATGCGTTTGTGATTGGTTCCTCTATAAAAGAGAGAGGCGGGGAATTTGAATTGTCTTTGGCATTGGCAACTTGGGTTGACAAGACGTATTCTAAATGGTGAGAGTCCGCGACAGTCCGCGACAGCCCTATTAATGTTATTTGTAATATAATTTCCCGTCCCAAGTGTGTGTGAATGTTTGGACTTGTGTTAGAAATTGGTTTTGATGACATTTTGGTAGTGTTCTTTGAATAATTGTGTGTAGAAGTCCGCGACTGGTCCGCGACTTTTGTTAGAAAAGTCCGCGACTTTTGATGATTGTTGGATTTGTAATTCATGCTCTAGAATTGTATATCCCAGTGTGTGGATAGTGTTTCTAATTGTTTATGAATGATTTTTGAGGTATAATAACAGTGTGAAATGTGACGTTTAGTACGCGACTGAATGGAATAACTGACAGCTGATTTGGTCTAGACGTTTCTGGGCAATCGTGGTCAATTACCGAACAAATTTAGAGTCTTTCATATAGTGAGTGACTATTGGTATGTGATTGATTGGGAATAAAAGGCACATTGATAATTCAGTTAGTATACATATATTGGCAAGAAACACTTAAAGAAGCAAGAACTTGGATCGCTACCATTATATTGATTAGTTCTTGGAATATGCACTGAGTGACCTTTGTGTGTGTGAAACCTGGTTGTTATGGGATATTGGATGTGGAATAAATACTGATTGATGAATTATTAGTGGAGATATCATAGCAGTGACATATCTTCTACATATATTAGAGACATTTTGAATAGATAATCATCTTAATTGAGTGATTTAAGTGTACATTTTATAGGTTAATAAACGTGTATATAGTATTGAATATAAACTAAGTGTCAGTTTCCTGATTTAGCATCAGGGTCCAGTTGTGTAGAGACCTTGCATGCTACAGTTCCTAACATTTAAAATTTTACTGTATCTGTCATTTTAGTCCACACCTCTAATCAGAAGGCTTTATCCCATGCTAGGACTGTAGTCCTGGGAACGTCTCAATCTTTTGCCTGTACGATTAAAACATTGGAGAATTTTCCACACCTCTTACATTTCAGATACCTACTTCAATAGATTCCTTGGTATTTTAGCATTTTTCATGTAGTTGAGTCCACAATTTTCTGGGTTTATCGGCAGAACGAAGAAATTTTCGTTTTGATCGCAATATTTGCATGTGATATTTAACTTATTTCAACCATCAAATTCCTCCATCTATTGGTACTAACTTCCGGGCCAGTCAAACGGGGAATCCCCTTTTAAATCCAACTGCCATCTTGAAAAGTGATGGAATCTCTCTCAATGAAAAAGAAAAATGTTCCTGTTCTGCCGATAAACCCAGATAATTGTGGATTCAACTACACGAAAAAATGCTAAAATACCCAGGAATCTATTGAAGTACATGTAGGTATCTTAGTGTAAGAGGCGTAGAACATTCTCCCATCTCGCTATCATACAGGCAAAAGATTGAGACATTCTCAGGACTATAGGACTATAATCCTGGCACGGGATAAAGACTGAAAGAAGGGTGGTGTTTTTGTGTGACACCAAACCTCCTCATCAGATTTAACTTTTTATTCCCAAAAGTCACCAGATTGCAAGAAATAAGATTAAAGTTTTCTTTAGCTAGCATGCTCCCTAATCTACGAGTTCACTTGCAACTGCCATGCCATCCTCATCTGAAGATCGTCATTGTTGATTATCCAGATAGAAGCATTTAGATTTTGATTCACTTAGAATATTAGGTCACTGACAAAATCTTTAACTTGATCAGTATTCATATACATAAGATTGAAGTAGTTAACAGCAGTTTCATAATGCCATAGGTGTAAATGCATAACTAAGCAGTTTCATATATTTTAGATACTGTCCCCGTACCAGGAAGTGGTGACAAAAAGTTCAGTCAAGATTATATCAATTCTGTGAAAGACACAATCAATCCGTATGCTGCAATTGTTCCCTCAGCCAGTATGCCCCTGGGTGGTGGCGTGCCCATTGAACAAAATGACCTGTCAACTCCTACAAACACACAGCCATTTACATCTCTAATGTACGACTCCCCGTATGATTCTCCAGACAGAATCGACATGTCTGAAGCTGATTTTGGACCATCTCCCATTGCACCAAATGTAATGCCGCTTACAGGTCCCAGCGCCGATTCAAATGAGCCACATATTAGACATATGACAGATATCAGTTGTATACCACATCTGGCAAGTGCTGATAGTGCTACTATTCCTCCACATCAACCCGATGTTGTGTCGAGCACGATGAACTCTGCAAATGTCAAAACAAATAACCTCTCACTGATGGATAATGTTAAACCCACACATAATGCTGCTGATATGAATATAATAGAACCACAGCAGCATTCCTTAGAAAGACTGCACTCCATAGAGAATAACACATGTCCTGCTCAGGTTACAACTCCTCATGCTAACATATCCTATGCACCTGCCATCCCAAGTGAATCAAGTCAGAGTACTGCTACATCAATGGCATCAACAGCCCAAATAGATCCAGGATCTACACATGAAGATATAAAAACAAACTTGCATCATAAGGATACTAATCCAGATGTAAATGAGTCTACTGCATTAGACACTAAGCAAGAGTGTACAGCATTATCACAGGAAAGCTCAGATACCATAGGAATGGAAAACACACAAAAGCCAGTCATTCCACTCAACCAACAAAATGATAAAGAAAGCATACAAAGCCCAGTCATTCAAGAAATGGACAATTCATTACCCCCTTTTACTCAAGAAACGCAAAGATCACCAGGCCCTATTAGAGAAAGTTTGGCTGATGAGATTTCAAAGGCTATTGGTACCTCAGCTCACAATCAAGTGCAATTAGCTACTAATGAACTGAATAATGCTGCTGTAATGGATAACAACACTGTCAGCATTCAATCATATACGACTAACTCCGAAGCTATCCCTGCTCTTGATCAATCAGAAGACAGCACAAAACCTCTGAATGAGGCCCTAAGTGACTCATTGGAGAGTGAGTTGAGACATTTGGAAGTGACTGGGTTTAAAAGTGAAGATATTGTTGTAACTGAAAGTGAATTGGATGCACTACTGGAAGAAAGCAATAATGATATACAAAGTCAAAGTAAGACTGATATTTCAGTTTCTTTGAATCAATCGGAGTCTGAATTTTTAAATGTGACTTTGGGTCAAGGTGAAAGTAGACCAAGTTTACCAGTTATAGGTTCTAATGCAAGTGCTCCACTTTCAAGCCTATCGGGAGAGGTTGCCCCAGGTTTGTTGACAAATGACATTCTCAATTCAGTCTCATCTGGTGCCAGTAATAATATACCTAATGTTACAACTACAACACCCATTTTGGGAGATATAAAAAATGCTCATACAGCTAATTCACCCCAAGTAATTGAACATTCTAGTGTAAATTGTTCAAATGAGTCAGTCAGTTCTGCACCTTGGTCAGCTAACAGATTGGGCCAGGACATTGGATCAATGGCTGTATCTCGAGGAAGCTCTGCACAGCACGGGGGATCATCAGAGTCTGCTGTCACATCCCCAGTCTCTGTACCTAGCCCTTCACTAGGGGTAACATCAGTATCAACTCAGCCTCAAGCCAGCCCTCAGTTGGGAATTGGTGCTAGACCTAAAGAACCAGTCAATAAACATCAGCGGCCAAACAGCTTACTTGGATTGTCAACAGTGCCATTGGATAACATGAACACTGAAGCAATTGCTAATATAGCAAACCAAGATAACAGAACAAATGATGAAACAACTGCAACAACATTGCATAATGTCAGTGATTCTTACCCTAGCCAAGTTAGTCAGTCCATGCCACCTCCCATCGGGCAAGACCCTCCGCCCTATGCTAAAGTGAACCCCAATCCACAGAATAAGAGCAATATGAATCCTGTTCAGCAAAATATTGTGCAACCAATTCCTCAACTTCCTATATCACAGGATATACCAGTTTCCCATGGAATGCAAATAGAAACCCCAGTCCAACCTGCAGATTTACCTGGACAAGCTCCATCCCCAAATAACCCTGTTGAACCTGTTGCTTTAAGCAGTACTCCAGAAGTTCAGTCAACAGGTTTGATCAGTGCAGATGCGACTGAACAGCACTCAGCTACAGTTGAACCTAGAATTGAAGGGATGGATACCTCCTCAGCTGCAGCTATACAAGGGCTATCTGCAGTAACCAGTGCCATGTCCCTAGTGGATCCCAACATACTCACTGTATCTACCGGAGCCACACACACACTAACTGAAGAAGAACAGATGGCTATAGCTCAACTCTCCCCTGAGTCACAAGCAAAAAGAAAGAGACCAACCAGTCTCAGTTTACCACCCAGAGAATTTTCTGCACCCCCTGAAAAGAAAGCATCCCCTTCCCAGGAGTCTGAGAGTTCCATAGAGGATCCTGGTTCTGTAGGACCTCCCCCTGCCCAAAATATTGCAGAGCCACTAACAGGTAACTAAAATATTGAAAAAGCAAGTTATTTAAGAAGCATCTATGATTTAGAATTGTACAATGAACATGTTTTTAAAGCATTCATTTAAAGGTCAGTCTTTGGCCCACTAGTATCCATATATCATTCCATCATTGCTATAACTGGATATTTATGATTCAGTCTGGAAAGACTTGATCAGGTTTCATGTTAATATTCTTCTCTAGATTTTCTGGATGGTGCTGGACTGGAAAGTGTAGGCTTAGACCCAACAGCTATTAGACTGGGGAAGGTTGCTCCATTTTGGATTCCAGACAATGAGGCTACCAAATGTATGAACTGTGACTCAAAATTTACCTTCACTAAACGGAGACATCACTGCAGAGCATGTGGCAAGGTAACATTCAAATCATTCAGATTTTTTGGTACATTATTTTGCCATGGTCAGAAATCATCATACAGTAGAACCTGCTAAGTGGAACACCTCTGTAAGTGGAACACCTCCCAAGTGGAACGCCTTTTCAAAGTCCCGTATTAAAAACCCATTGACTTAATGTTAATTGAACCTCTATAAGTGGAACACCTCCAAACTTGAACAGTGAACACCCCATATTGAAAAATTAACCTGCTAAGTGGAACAGTCAATTTCCATAGATTTCAATATTGATATATGTAAACAGAATTAATCTCCTTCAATGATATCTGGGTATGAAAACAGGTAATACTGTGGTAATTGGCAAATTAGGATTTTAATGGACTAACCTCCTGTAGAGGTCAACATGTGATGCAACCAATAATTAATTTGATAATCAGCAAATTAGGATTTCATAAGATTTTCATTCAGAAAATTGGATTAACCTCCTGTAGAACTGGACACGTGATGCTACCACTAATTAATATCCCTTGCTGTTTGTTTCAAACTTAATAAGTAAGATTAAAAATGTCATTTAAAAACAATTGAATTATTAGCAGTATGAACAAGTCTTTAAAACTTAATTGCCTAATCCTTGTACCTGAGACTGGCACAATTAGGAGGATTAAGAATGTCAGAAAACATTTTTGGCAGAATGAGGAGGATTAAGAATGTCAGATACCTTTTTGAGTAAAATAAATGGATTATTAATGGTATATACCTGCCCTGTAATGAAGGGAGAATCATATTTCCAATGATACATATAAATCCTATATTTGTTCTTGTATGTTCCCTGCGAACCCAAAACCTCCGTAAGTGGAACGCTTTGTGGCAGAACGGAGAGTGTTCCACTTAAACAGGTTCTACTGTACATTGATATCTCTGAGACACAGCATCTCTATAACACAAAAATGCTCCTCCAATATTTCTATGCGCTCACAGGACCCTTAAATCCTCCAATGAATAAGAAAAACAGGAAAAATCCTTAAAATGGTGTTAAAATACACACAAAATTATAAAGTCCTAAAATGATGCACTATTAATTCCAAAAACCCAAAATAGTGAACAAATATAACACCATTTGAAAATGCATGTAGGAAAACCTTAGGATTAGCATATCTGTGAAAAAAAACTTTGAAAATGTATCTGTTCTTAAAGGCTTAATGTGCTCCTTATTTTTCTGTTTTTATACATTTGAATATGTTACTCATCAACACTCTACAGGATATTTTACTGTTAATGAATCTAGCCCAACTGTGGTAAGGCAATCAGTTACAAAATTCAAACTGTACGAAACATCAAGTTAAAGGCAGGATCAGATCTATTGGAGTGACAAAATTACAAGCAACATGTACAATTGACCTACTGATCTGTTATAATCTTAAATACAATATCTCCCGAAAGATTCACGATATGTTATAAATAAGTTTTAATGGATTTTAAGTGGAAAAATGGATGAAAAATGTTTAAATTCTCCCAAAAAATAAGAATGGTCACCATTCTTATAGGAAAATAAAATGTTATTGTAAAAATCTTTAGCTGAAATAAAGTGAGCACTTTGGGGATTTTTAGAAAATAGACATGAAAAGGAATGACATAAGCCAGAAATATTCTAAAAACATTTTTTTTAGGCTGCTCACTAGATCTGATTCTCTCTTTAAGGTCTCAGAATTAATAATTTGTACCCTTTTCGCCAGAGTGATTGATTGTACTGTAATAAATGTTTCATGTTTTAGGTGTTGTGTTCATTGTGTTGTAAAGACAAGACAAAGCTTATATACATGGACAATAAAGAGGCCAGGGTCTGCCAGATGTGTCATACAACCATCAATAAAGGTACACATTAAGAGCTTCCAATTTAGCTATAGACGTGTCATACAACCATCAATAAAGGTACACATTAAGAGCTTCCAATTTAGCTATAGATGTGTCATACAACCATCAATAAAGGTACACATTAAGAGCTTCCAATTTAGCTATAGACGTGTCATACAACCATCAATAAAGGTACACATATAGAGCTTCCAATTAAGCTAAAGACGTGTCATACAACCATCAATAAAGGTACACATTAAGAGCTTCCAATTTAAATATAGACGTGTCATACAACCATCAATAAAGGTACACATTAAGAGCTTCCAATTTAAATATAGACGTGTCATACAACCATCAATAAAGGTACACATATAGCGCTCCCAATAAATACTAGACATTTAATCTGAGCTATTATATTGTACTGAGGTTCTGCACACAGTGTATCATGATTTGAAAAATATTATACACATATCTGAATTATTGAAATTACACTTTTGATTGACCTTTTTGACAACTTTATTGTTGTCACCATGTGCTGATGAGCCTGCAGCTGAGCATTCATTTGTGCAGTTGGGTGAGTGCAGTATAAATCTTGTTTAACATATAAACATTATTTTCAGTTCAAGCATTTGAGAGACTCAATGCAAACAGACCAAGGCCTGACCCTAACAAGCCAAGTGAATACTGTTCCACGATCCCTCCCATTGAGCAGGCTCAAGCTACAGGCCATCTGAATGCCCCACCACCAACTGTAATGGTACCTGCCCCAGCAGTAGATGATGCACATCATGGTGTCAGTGGTGTGCTCAAGAGAGAAGGTACATGAAATTTAAGTATATTTAATTTTAATACTATAATTTATACAATAACCCCACATAAGCACAATACAACTCAGTGCGAAGTGTGTGTTCAGAAAATGAGTCTGTATAAAAATCCCAGGCTCTAAAATCGCATGAAACCAGATAAATTTTCATTTTTGCAACCTTTTGACATTTTACTACAAACCTATACAACTTGAGATGCTCAACTTAGTAAAAGTAGACGGCAAAGGTCATTTCTACATTTTTAAAACAATTTTTATTTAAATTGGATGAAAATTGAGCAAATAAGAGCAATTTAAGTGAAAATTTGTGGCAGGTTTTATTGTCACCCTTGGTTTCAAGATCATTTCTGAAGTGACGAGAAATCTTGTCACTCAGAGATCATTTCTTCACATTTTAAAACAATTTTTGTGTAAATTGGATGAAAATTGTTCAAATAAGAGCAATTTTAGTGAAATTTTTTGTGACAGGTTTTCTCGTCACTCTGGATTTCAAGGTCATTTCTGAGTTGACAAGAAATCTCCTCACTCCATGTAGTCAAGAGGTTAACTAAGCAAATTCTTGGTAGATTTAACAATCAATTAATCAATGATTATATACTGTACAGAAGTCAGTTTGAAAGTTTTGAAAGACTTCAACTGTTCAAAGTTTCTGAATTTCCAGGAAGTCAAAAGAAAAGCGAGCCAAAACAGGTAATGTTTTCTGATGGCATCCGTCCTGGTGGAGATCTAGCGGAACTTGACGGCTCATCCGCTATTCCCACTAGGCGACCAATGAGAGCACAGAAGAAGGTGGAACTGCCATCTATTGTTTCAGCAGGTACTATTCAACTATTATATTCGCAATTCATAAAATCTCTCCATATGTTGAGAACTGTAAAACATGTACAATATATCTCAACTGGGGATTTTAAATGTTATTTTATCACAGCTTTACTGGTAATCTCTCGATTTTCAAAATCATCATTTATAGAAGTCATAATAACTCATTTTTAAGGGTTGGATATAAAATATAAAGAAAATGTGTTGTTATAAGTAAAATTCCGAGAAGTTGAACATGCAAAACTGATGAGATTATATCAGCATTGATAGAGATTTTGTGTATTTTGTAAAGCCGGGGAAGGAGATCCGCCAAAACCTAAAGCAAAAACTGTTAAAAACCCTGTGAATCAAACAAGATGTCTGATCCCTCAGGGGGGAATCCCACCATTTGTGACTGGTGCTAATGGTACAGGAGGTCTGGCCAATAATGCTTTATAATAAATGCATGTGCTTCTAATTTACAAGTGATGCAATTAACAATTGTTTATAATTTATTTTCTAACTTAAAATGTTAATTTGGAATGTTTGATTTGCTTTGAGTGTGGGTGATAATAGATTAGTTTTATGCTATGATTATGTTTTATTTATTAATTATATGAGGTTAAACTGTACAATATCTGTTAATTCTGTCAAATCTTTTAACCAGGTTCTAGCAAAAAAGCAATAATTAGTAGTGCATGTATGTTATAATATGTATCCACTAGGACTATTAATAACTCATTAATCATGTGCTTGCTTGTCCACTTTGTAGTTTGTTTGAAGTGTTATTTTGCGTTACTTTTGTGTACAAGGTGTATTTCTTCTTTCATAGATTGTCACTTGTCCATCTCATTATTAGCAACAAAATGAGCTTTTTTAACTTTCTTGAGTTTAATAGAATCAGTGTTGTAAAATCAAGTGTAGCTACTTTTTATGAAAAAAATCTAAGTGTACTATTTAGTCTTATTATGCACTTTCCTTCATACTCTCTAACATTGTCTTGTCAGTTTTATTTTAAAGAGCTTTTTTCATGATTTGTTTGTAATATCTTATGAACTCATAATATTTATTAATATTATGTCTAGTATAGCTTACACCACTATGAGCCTTTTATTGTTGTCAAATAAATCCTTGAAGCCTTTTATAGTTGCTATTGCCCTTCTGTTTCTTGGGACTTGCATAAGATGACTGATTGCTACATGTTGTTTATTCACTTTCACTAACATTAATCCAGCTAGCAGGCTGCAGACCCTCCCGACTTGGATATGAGTCGTATGACCTTTGAACCTTTGTTCAATCCTGGAAATGACCCTTTGTTCATTGAATGTTGTGCATTGTACAGTTTAAACTAGAAAATTCAAGCGTCTTGGGCAGGTCTGCAACCTTATCAGATATTTTGTAGTTGATTTAGCGGAATGAATCTAATGAGCTAGAATAAAGCAAAAATCTTTAGTTAGTTCTGAATATTTTTCCCCACAGTATATAACATTGGTTTGTAATTACCTTATTTCTCATTAATTATTTTTTTGATTTGGACAAACTAAAATTACTGTAATGATAAGTTATTGTTAATAATGTTAAAGCAGAGGAAATAAAAGTATTCCCATATATCTTACTTATAATTACTGACCATGGCTTCTAATTAGGATTGATGAATCATTCTAAATTGACCCATATGATTTAATAATTAAGATTGAATAAGTATAAATTGGATAAGTATAGTTAATATCTTAGATGTTATTGTAAAGCATACCATCTAATTATAGGAACGTAATTTCTAGAAGGAGTGATTTATTTGAATAACACCTTCTAATTAGTAATTATTTTATCCTTCAGACTTGTCCATTGAGGACAGACCAGATATTGACCAAGTCATGAAAATAATACTAGGTAAGTTATTGCAATATAACAGATATACAGGGTGTCCAGTAAGTCCCTTTACAATTCAAGTACAAAGTCTTGGTAAAGTGTTATGAGACTTTATAGATACCCTGTATACATACCGTTTTCCCATAAGAGTCTCCCATGCAATTTATGGGGTGAGGTTGGATGCAAGGCTGGGTGAAATATTCACCTGGTACCTTAATTCATCTTATCTTTCATATTAGCTGGTTTTACAGCCTCTGCTCCCTCCCTCCAAAATTTATTGTTGTACATTTAACAATAAAGAATATAGAATGTATTACTTCATTGTTTTCTGTAGAAAAAATGATGCACCTAAATTCATGTACTGTTCAGGGTGTCAAATAAGTCTGTTCTCCCCCCTTAATTTTTTTTTTATCTTTTAATTGATCATACTTTCCCATATATCATTTTGAATCTTATTTAATTGTTAAAGTCATGATAAATACATATATAAGGAATTCAATATGAATTGTTGAAGTTTTCTGTTTTTCTATATTTCTGCATGCACATGTTTCCACATTGTAATAATACTGCATTATGTAGTATAATTAAACCGCAAACGTTTTATGAATCATGTTTCTATTACATGTTCACTGTCATTTGTTCTCTTTTAGATGAAGAGAACCCAGAACCTGCAATGTTTGCCATTAACAAGAATCTGTTTGTCCTCGTGAAGCTGCTGAACTGTAAGTGACATTCTCACCTTAGAATCAAAGAGTTCTATTGCTGTAATACAACGAATAGCCATTTACGATTCATTAGTTTAAACTCCTTGATGTATGTCATCAAAAGGTCTTATAATTTCAGATTCTGACTAAGTAAACCTTGTTACTAGACACCCATTAACCAGATCCTGGACACACTGCCATTAATTGTATACTTAGAATACTATTGAGTCTGATGTCAGCTTATTGGTAATACTGTAAGACAAGAAGAAATTACTAGTCAGTCCTCATACGTACAAGTAATATCAACCTATTTTGATTTGATGTGACTGGTTCTCATTTCATTGAATTATTGATGTGGCTGATTTCCTTTTCAATCAGTTATTGATATGACTGAATCTCATATCATTGAGTTATTGATGTGACTGATTCCCATTTCATTGAGTTATTGATGTGACTAGTTCCCATATCACTTAGCTAATGATGTGACTGATTCCCATTTCAGTGAGTTGTTGTGTAAAGCGAACATGTTGGTGCTTTACCACCAGGGGGCTCTGTACTGTGGGGCAAGAAGAGCTTGTTGTCGTTTTAGAGTCACAGCCTAATGAGACTAAACTCCCAAAAGACATATTTGCTTACATCAACACTATGTATGAAAATGCAAGTAAAGGTAAAACTTCTTTTTTGGTGTTTTAAATGCATGTTAAAAATTGTAAAAATATTAAGAATAGGGAAATTTCACTTCAGATTTTTTTTCAAGAAAAGTGAATGAATGATTATTCTCTGTATTTTACTGTCAGTCAAGATTAGGAAAAAAACATAAAAACATTAAAATATTATTCATGGTTTAGTCATAATTCCCTCTTAAAAGGATTCTTTCAACCAGCAATGTACAATTATTCACAGTAAACAATCAGACCTGACCAAATCAAAAATAATTTTTAATTTTTAGGAAACACCGTGAGTTTCCTTGACAACACACTATTCACAGAACCATTCCTAGACAGCCGAGATCACGCTGGCTTCATCTACATCAGACCAACCTTCCAGTGTCTCAACAAGCTGATTCTTCCTCAGCAGCCATATCTCTTTGCTCTCCTCATCCAGAAGTGGGAAACACCTTGGGCAAAGGTGTTCCCTCTTAGACTTATGTTGAGACTTGGGGCAGAATACAGATGTGAGTTGATATATTTTATGTATATATTTATTTTTATTTATTTAGAACTGTGTATATTAAATGGATCTAGTGTATAAAGAATTGAGATGATTTGATAGTTTTGGTAAAAATTGTCACTAGTTTTCAATAGTTTTGTTATCCTTATGTCCATTTTCTCAGAACAACAGTTCTAACTCTATTTCAGGATAATCATTCAATTTGTGTATGGCAAAATTTTATTTCTGCATCTTAAACTTTATTTTCTTCTCAAATTGGAGTTCTTTTTTCAGAAAACAAAAATTTGGATTCTAAGGAAAACATTGGCATGATTCTTATAAGGATTACTTCCACCATTTTGCATTCATTATCCATTTTAATTTCCTTAACTTTTATGTCAATAAATTATATTTAATTTACATCTTATGTTTCATGTAATGTATATATTTGATTAATATTTGTTTATACAGACTACCCATGTCCTCTGATCAGTGTGCGTCACCGCAAGCCTGTGTTCGGGGAGATCGGGCACACCATAATGAACCTACTTGCAGACTTCAGGAACTTTCAATACATGCTTCCGAAGGTAAAGGGTGTCACAATACACATGGAGAACAAACGAACATTCATCAACTTCCCAAGGAATAGATATGATGAGGTAGATATACCCAAATGCTTCTGGAATCATAAATTCTGTACTTTTTTGTGACATGAATTCAATTGAATAGGCAGTACTTGTTTACACCTTTCTAAGTATACATGGTAGAATTATTTTAAACTTTATGATTAACCATGCTAAAATCTTGTTTCATATTGGATTGATTTGGAAATAAAGATAAAATTATGTTTTGAAAATTATTCTTAGTTTTGGAAAACATCTTAGTTTGGAGGAAATTTGGGCTGCAAAAACATATTTAAAAATTATATCCCCTGAATTTGGAAAATTAAGCATAATTTCTTCATGTTTTTTAGATAATGAAGATAGTCAGTAACAGTAATGACCATGTAATGGCACTGGCTGGCAACTTCAGCCTCGACGCTGACTCCCATCTGGTCTGCCTCCAGACAGATGAAGGAAACTACCAGACTCAGGCCATTAATATACAGAATAAACCACGCAAAGTCACTGGTGCTAGTTTTGTGGTGTTTAATGGTGCTCTGAAATCAGCATCTGGATTGACCGCCAAGTCGAGCATTGTGGAGGATGGTTTGATGGTTCAGATCAGTAGCGATCTTATGATAGCTATGAAGCATAACCTTAGGGAAATGCAGGACTATACCATAGGATGTGGGGCTATAGGGGCACAGGAGCCTGAGGAGATTGTTATGTTACAGTGGGTGGAGGATGACAAACAGGTCAACATTGGGTAAGAATGAGATAAAACTGGATTTGGCCTACAACTATGAACACAGATTTGCTTATCAAAAATGATATCTAGGTCATATTACGAATGAGTCAACGCAGATTTGCTTATCAAAAATGATATCTAGGTCATATTACGAATGAGTCAACACGATTTGCTTATCAAAAATGATATCTAGGTCATATTACGAATGAGTCAACACAGATTTGCATATCAAAAAATGATATCTAGGTCATATTATGAATGAGTCAACACAGATTTGCATATCAAAAATGATATCTAGGTCATATTACAAATGAGTCGACACAGATTTGCATATCAAAAATGATATCTAGGTCATATTACAAATGAGTCATTTTTAAAAAAAATTATTGGTCCTCTGATTTATTATGAGAAAAGTAAGGATGATTTACCACTTTCTTGTCAACATAAAACACATCACTTGTGAATGATCTAACTAATCTATACACTGTACATTGTACATGCATGTTTATTATTGATTTATTCATATTTCTTCAAAAAGATGTGTTGTTAGAGAGTTTCCTGTTCCTTTTCAGTGTGAAGAGTTCTGTAGACAACATGTCCCTAGACGGTGTAGAGAGTCTTCATATACATAACAGTACAGATTATGTAGGTGATGGCAAGACAATACGCTGGACTGAGGTATTTTTCCTGAAGAATGAGGAGTCGGGTGGACATAGGGGGGAGCCAGTAGACTTAAGTAGACTAGCAGAGACCCTGGCATCAGCCACCTGCCTTGCCCTGGCCCCCTATCTGAGCAAACTAAAGGAAGCAGGCATGACTAAGTTAGCGCTCAGAGCTACTATTGATAATGATAATGTTGGATATGAAGCAGGTTCTAATGGTGAGAAAATGCAGACTACATATATGAATGCTTTAGATAATGAGTTGATTCCAGTCATACACAATGCTGGTTCTCAGAGTCAGGATGGACCAGTCAGTTTGGAGTTGGTCTTCTATGTTTTAGATTAGCAATAATACATTCTTTATGATACATTGAAATGTACATATATTTAAAGGACAAACACTCCCCATCATAAGTTTGGAAACTCCTTCCCCATTGTGTCATTATTACTACATTAGTAGTACTTTACAGTTAACATTTTTTATCTCCAAAACAGTCATTGATTAAATTTCTTTAGCGGAGTTCAAAGAAAGGTGTCAAACTTTTTGAGGGGAGTGTTGACTGAGTACTATATAGTACAGTATATATAGTTTAGGCCGATTGAGCCATTATGTTCTTGTAAATTCTAAATTATATAATCTTATTTTGCATTTTTAATTGTAATTATTGAGTTGTTTGCAATTGAATTAAGTTTATTACTAGATTTAATTTATTACAGTTAAGTCATTCATGCTTGTACAAGGGGTGATCAATAAATAAAGGACGCTTATAAAAAGTATCTGTGTAAAAAAGCGTCCATTACTTATTGATCACCCCTCGTACAATTCAATTAGCATAGAGATAGCAGATTGTAGCATTTTTGCCACATACAAACATGTCCTGTGTTATATGAAAGTTATTCTTTGCATGAACACAACTTTTTCTCAATTCTAATTCTTGTTTTTACATTAATGAAGATTGGAAAATATTCAGTAGTATGCTTATTATATTGTACTGTTATTCTCAAGGTAATCACATTTTTGTTTCCATGTGTTGTGTTCATCCAAATCCCTATGGTAAACCTCTCACATTACTATGACTATGGAATGATATTTTTGTCAACGATATTTTTCTCATTGTTTCTTCAGAAATGAAACAGTCAAATCAATCAGAGTACATAAATTAATGACACCTGTATAACCTGCTCATTTTTAAAACTACCATTATTCCACATGTATGTTCTCATACTTGTTCTAAAGTACAGTGTGACCCAAAAATGTTACCCTCGAATTTTGGAGTAACTTTCTTAATTTTTCCGTATAAATGGAAAAACAGATGGCATCATGGGTGTTGGTAGGGCTAGAATACATGTAAATGTGTTGCCAGTGCCACTTAATTTATTGATTTAAGAAGTAATTCCATTTGGATCAACTTATAACACCATTGGAATGTAACTGTATGATCTTATTGACATGTGGATTGTGATTTTACATTAAAATTGTGATCCTTGTAAGAGTAAATGAAGTTTTATAGGTGTTTCAACATTCTGTCAATGGGGATTTAGCCCATCGCTTTTTAGACAACTAGAAAATCATTAGAATTTGAATAAAGGTAAATAAAGGTGCAAATCAAAGTTGTTTTAATAGAAAATTACACACAGAATAAAAATATGCCATCAAATAGAAGAAAATAATAGTCATTAATGGTTAAAAATGCAGATCTCCTAAAATCTTATTAAAAACGAGACTTTAACGAAATTTCAAAGCTATATGGAAAAAGCACCATTATGAAGGAATCTTCATGAAAAGTACTGACACAAATAATGGCTAAGACTGAAATCCCAATTTTAGAAAATTTACTTGGATTTCATGTGAAAGCTTAAATGACAGTAAAAATCAAAATCATAGATGTACATTGTACAGCACTGATTTTGTCAAACACTATCTACTCAAGAAATCACAAAGATTTCATTATATTGGAGAAATTTGATTCTAATGTTTTTGGGTCATCCTTTACATGAGCATTTGAATATTCAAATAGGTGTCAAACTAGTGTATTTTTTCCTCATATACTTGTATTGATGTACTAGTATCACAAAGTGAAGACATATTCACTGTTGAATAATATTATAGTAACTATTATTGTATATTATTGATTATCAATCCTAAACAAGATGAATATTATTATAAAAAATATTATTGTGTTCTTTTTCCAAGACTGATAGAGAATTAGATAGAATTGAACATTTTGGACCATTTCTGTGATTTGTCTTGTTACCTATAATGCATATGATCATGCTCATTAAATGCTGGTGGAGTAATTTTATATTAAAATCAAAAATCTGACAACAAACTGATATGATGATATTATATGATGATATTATATTTCATTCTATGATTTCTTGAACATAAATGATACGTTTGACACGTTCATCACGCCTAACCATCGACAACGTACAGTGGCAAAACACGCCGTCGTACACTTTAGATGTACGGTGTCACTGTTAAAATTATTTGAAGCAAAGACAATGATGTAGATTTGATGTAGGTTTTGAAAAAATATCTGAGCAATACATTAAGGATTTCAAGTTTGATTTCGTGTGTAATCGTTTGGGTTATTCTCATAAAAATATTCGACAATCTAAGACAACACGGGAGGAAATGATCAAAGGAAATGTGTAAAAAACAACATTTTCCAACTGACCAATTAAATGGGTAGATTGACTGCGAAAAAAAGAGCACGGTTCGAAATCTTTTAACGTTATTAGAGAATTAAATGGCTTCTCAAACGAATACACACAAAATCAAACATGAAATATGTATTCCTCAGATTATATTTTAAAACCTACATCATAGTCTTGCTTCAAATCGGTTAAATAAATAATGACGGCGTACATCTAAAGTGTACGACGGTATATTTTGTCACTGTACGTTGTCGATGGTTAGGCATGACTTTCAAAAGTAATGTTCATCCCCATCCCGACATCCATATATCAGGGGATATTACTCGTTAAAGGCACAATGGAACGAAGTATTTGAATATTAAACACTGAACTACGAGATGAAACTTCAAAACATTTATTTTCACTGGGTGTAATCAGACGCATGTTGCAAGTATATCTGCACTGGGGACCCAAGCTGTGCTATTCCAGGCTAACCACACTCTGTCCGGGTCAAGTCGTATATCCTCAGGGTAGTTCTCATTGCCAGTGATGTACAGCCACCCAGTTCTACTGCCCAGCGTACCTCCAATCATCCAAAAGTTGGTGTGGTCGTCCCACTATATAAATGATTGTATATTGGTTAATAGATTCACTTAGTAATTGTTTCACATAATGTATATTGTGCACGATTGTGTTTGATGTGTCCGTAGTCTCGTGACATAATGGAAGTTTCCCACATCACGAACCACACGGCTGTGTGGTTCGTGGAAGAGAAATATGTTCGAGAGAGCGGAAATGGTGGTTCGCGACTAAATTAAAGAATCAACATTTCATTATGAGAACCGTATTTCGGGTGGAAGTACCGTAGTTCGCGAGGTCGGAACTGATGATTGCGTTAGTGGAAGTCCAGGAGGTCTGAACATTGGGAAATAGAAAATATGGAATACGTAATATGAATTTGGAATTACGGAATACTACCACCCAACTCTTACCAACACGTAATACAGATATTCTCCAGTTGTTGGATGTTGGTAGGTCGGCCTTTTTTGGAGGAGTGAGTTGAGTCGACGATACTCGCCCACACGGGGTTGCACCAGGTCGTTTGTACCTGTTAGCATCACTGTTTCACACGGGGCCCTTCCTGTAAACCTTATGCACTGAATTATCAAAGAAAATATGAAATTGGCTGGTTTTGGAAAACTTTGGCTGTACCAAATTAAAAGTGACAGTTGAACGCGCGAGGTAAGGTCTGATTTAACCAGACATATAAATTTTCAATTTATTCCTGAATGACTTACCCGATACTATTGGCTATAAAAATGACTGTCCATCTATTGGAAAAGAAATTATTAACATGCTTATGTACGCTGATGATATTGTTTTATTCTCGACTTCTAAACATGGATTACAAAGATCTTTAGATTCCTTAAAAGAATATTGTGACAGGTGGAAACTTAATATCAACATAAATAAGACCAAAATAATTAAATTCCAAAAAACGGGCATCTCTGCACTGACTATTTCTCATATGGTAGACTCCAAGTTCAATGTGTACAAGAATACAAGTACCTTGGTGTGATATTTCGAGCATCAGGCAGCTTTATATCAGCTCAAACACACCTACATGAAAAAGCTAGTAAGGCAATTTTTAAACTTAAAAGATGCCTTCAACAGAGTGATATAAAACCACAGCTTGGGCTTAAACTGTTTGATCAAATGATAAAACCAATTTGTCTATATGGGGCTGAAATATGGGCCCCTTTCAATCTTAACAAAGTATCCAGTTCAAACCTAGAAGAAGCATACTTAAACCAAAACAAATTCCCCTCAGAAAAATTAAACATATCCTTTTCCAAATTCCTACTTGGAGTTGGTAGAAAGGCCACTAATATGGCTGTTTATGGGGAACTTGGAAGATATCCACTATTTATAGGTATATTTGGCCAAATTCTCAACTTTTTACATCACATTAAAGATACAAAAAATGTTCTAATCAAGGCAACTTTTGACTGCTTCAAAGAACTAGAAGAAAACTCATAGGTTTCAAACGTAAACAAAATAATTTGCTCTATTAATGAAAATTGCTCTGAATCTGTGGATTCTACAATTGATACCTTAAGATGTACATCATTACTTCAACTAAAATTTGACAGGTACTGGAAGAATAAATTAAACACTGACACTAGGAAAAATGATAACGGCAATAAACTACGAACCTACAGAACCCTCAAGAAAGATTTTAAATATGAACATTATTTAAATATAATCGACAGACTTGATATGCGAAGAAACTTAACACGTTTGAGAATAAGTGCTCACAACCTCCAAATTGAGCAAGGGAGATATACAAAACCAAAGAAAAACCCAATTGAAGAAAGACTGTGTGTCCATTGCAATATTATTGATGATGAAGAACATTTTATGATGAAGTGTAAAAAATATCAAAATGAAAGATTATTACTTCAAACTGAATTGTCTGATACGGCAAAAGCACAAACAAATCAATTTATATACCTCTTAACTTGTATAAATCAAGATTGCATCAAAATATATTAGTGATGCCTTCCGAATTTTAGAAAGCAATACTTAATTTAGAAAGGCTAATTCCTGCTGCGCAAAAAAAGCATTTTGTAGTAATACATACAGGGTGACCCAAAAAAATGCAACCCTCCATTTCTTCAATATTTTTCTTAAATGGAGGTGAATTGCTCTGAAATTTGGCACACACGGATTTCATTCAATGTGGGATCCTCTGGCAAAGTTTAAATAATCAGAGTCTTATATTGATAGAGTTAAGGTCGTTCCAAAATATGCTCCAAATGTCGTCCATTTCCAATGTTAGGTTTTCGGAAGAATCACATTCCCTTCTTTCTGAACATGTAAACTCAAGAAATAATGTGTTCTGGGATCACAAATTCAAGATGAAGTGCTTCAAAGGCCCCTTCATTCTGTTAAATGCACAGCTTGGGCTGCCAATTTCCAAACATAAAATCATCAGCCCCTTTTGGTTTGAGGTTGATAATGGCAACACTGTTACTGTTAACACACAGCGCAATATTGGCATTCCCAGGAAGTTCTAGGCAGTTCTAGAATGACATACAGGCTTCAATAGACAAGAACAGTGATTCTAGAAGGATGGGGCTACTCCTCACACTTCTTATGATAGCATAGCCTGGCTCACTAGTCATTTCTATGATGAGATTATCTCTCCTAGGATGGAGAATCCATGGTCATCCCACAGTCTTGATCTCAATGCCCCTGACTTCTATATATGGGGTTATTTAAAGGATAATGCGTATGAAAATAACCCTACTGCAATTGCAGAACTCCAACAAGCATTCCTGCAAAAATTTGAGCCATACCCATGGGGAAGAATGCATCCGTGTTATGAACAGTTTTCCTTGAACATTGCAAGTTTGTTTTCAGCGAAATTGACGATATATGGAGCATATTTTGAAACAACCATAACTCGATCAATATAAGACTATCGTTATTAAAACTTTGCCAGAGGATGCCACATTGAATGAAGTTCTTGTGTGCCAAATCTCAGAGCAATTTACCTCCATTTAAGAAAAATATTGAAGAAATGGAGGGTTGCATTTTTTTTGGGTCACCCTGTATTTTACATTTTACAGTAGTAAGCATATATTATATGTAGTATATAGTAGTCTAGTGTTAAATCATATATATTCTTTTTGTGTACTGCACTTTCTTGTACCTGACCCTCAGGGGTGTGAATGTACTCAATAAATATTCTATAAAACATATGTCTCTGATTTAACTATGAGGTTCACTGTCTAGGATGTTATTATTATATAGACATCTAGAAACCTAGACTTTCTCAAAACGAAGAAAACATCAGTTTGCTCAAATTCCATCACCCTCGTGTTGCATTCAACCCTCCCCGAGAAGATATCACATCAAATACAAAAATTAATTGGAAAATTAATGCCCAAAATTAGCCACACGTTGGCGAACGGTGAGTGCCCACGACTTATGTGACTTAAGATACCGAAAATGCAATATAATCATGTTAATCAAAGGACATTCCCGACTGCAACTAATATCATACCTTACCCGGATAGTCCGCCAATAAAGCTCTCGCTTAAATGAACTATTTTAAAGGCCCAAACAATCCGATGATTGTATTTATTCATCCAATACATATTTATTCAGTTATTTGAGGTTTATACGTGAGGTATTTATACTTACACTAATAGTGAACACTGGCTCATATTCACGATTGCTCACCCGGGGCGTGGAACATGTTTCAATATTAGAAATATGGTTCGAATATGTACAAAACAATCATGGACTACATTTACTGGGACTTCATGATCATTAAATCATCGTTAGTCACAGATGGTTGGTTTAGTATCAAAACAATTGAATAGTCGGATATCAAACAATCTACTCTGGAATTAAAGGCCCGTGAAAACGTAAAAGGCGGTCTCATAAATTCTGTGTACTTCTGGAGTCCGCCTCTGATACATTTACAGCAATGGATCAAATGACACCAAGGAGATGGAAAAAGCTCCGATGGTACTGCCTTCTATTCGGTATCGCCCTCTTCTGCTATCATAGCGTCTTTGGAAGTTCAGACCGGGTGGATCGGTCAACGTTGAAATTCAAGAAAGACGATAGTGGCAGAGCTCCTGTTGAAAAGTGTGTGTCAAATGCAACAAAATGGAAAGGCACGGAACACGGTACAAAACACATCTTATTTAGTGACAAGTTCTCCCCTGCTTGGGTTGATGTCATCCGCCCATTAGCGGCACAAGGCCATGCACTTATAATAGTCACCAGTCATAAGAACTATGACGGAACACAAGAGTATGACGCATACCAAGAACTAGACAACCTTATTAATAAAGGCCAATTAACAATACACACGAATGAAAACGACCAAACGCTGAAACAGTTGGATGTAATTCTTAGGAAATTAAATGGGCGACACGATGTTGTGATGCACACTATGGTAGATAAAGGAACCGATCCTCTGAAAACATTGATGCAAAATGTGATTAAAGATACATGTGAACGCCATATACAAATGCTTGAGGTCATCAAAAGGTATTTGCCAATCAGCCTTTGGATACACATCAATGCAGTGCCTTCTTTAGAACCAACAGTAACGGAATATACACAACCAGAACAATTTGCTGATGAATGCGGTGTCTATTTAAACTTTAACAATCTATCGGATGTCCTGATAAAAAGTATTTTGATGTATTCTGAAACATACAGTCGTTTGTATGGTCTTCAGGTCAACAAATCATATCTCTAAGTCATAACTAATTTATAATTTAGTAGCCTGAAAAAATTGGATGGTGACGTGTATTCATACTATAAATGCAAGTCTTAAGTCACGAAATAACAAGATAAATATTGTTTCATGCAACGTAACTTGACCAATAATATAGCCTATTGCTTAAATCAAAGGTCCTATTGTATCCATTGACAATGTCAATTTGACAATGTCAATTTGACAATGTCAATTTGACATATGGATGGGCTATTTACATAAATTATTACAGTTCCATTTTGATTGCGATGTTCTAAAACATTCAAATATAATAAATAATGATAATGCCATTGAAGAAAAAAGTCTGTACTGTATTAAAAAACTTGAAAAATTTAAGTGTAACTCCCACTCATCTGTTAAAATACTCGTGCATGGTGTAAATACGTCTATTTTAAAAAGCTTCCCGTTAAACAGTTAAAGAGTTTAATAAATTAATTAAAAAATTAAATAGATATAATTTCTTTGTGGTGCCTTAGATTTGTTCATACCTAATATAATATATAAAATTTTACAGGGTGACCAAGAAAAGACAACCTCTATTTTGGAATAACTTTGTCAATAATGATGGAATTGTTTTGTTTTTTCTCGTGTAAATGCTCCATGAAACAAACAGTGTTTTCTCATCACGGTAAACTATAAACCACTTTGAGTTATTGCTAGGTTTTTGCCGAGGCAATGCTCTCGTACTGTTCAAAACTGCGCGTTTTGAAGTTAGTACCGGTATTACTAGTATGCGTAATAATATCATATGCCATTGTGGGATCCACAGCCTTTACTATCCTTTTGGAATAGTTCTCTCAAAAGCGTTAGGTAAAGAGGGACCCTGATAAATCAGAATGATCATATGCCATTTATTAGCACTGTTTCGAATTTCACGTAGATTGGAACAATTGTGTTTGTCCCTTCATTTCATGCAGTTTTTCCAATGCGAATCAAAATTATTGTCGCTTTATCATGTTTATACAGGCGTTGCATTTCGGGGCCAGTCTGTACACCACTGTACATGTAAAACAGTCAAGCCTTACCAGTTACCAGAGAAGAAAATTATCGACCGCCTGAATTAAAGCTTGTTGTAAAGCTGCAACAAAATACTCACGGAGCCTGATTGAGGATAAATTGAGAGGTAATGAATGTCGCTATATGTATTTATGAAGGAAGATGAACCATATTTTGGCTAGAGCCCAAATTAAGCTACTTCATCTCCTGGAGCATTTGTTCTTCAAATCATTTAAATGTTATGTATAAACACATACTTAATGAAAAACCAATTAAGCCAAAAAGTACCATGGTAACAATGCGTAGACATCGTAGGTTCATCGAACCATGACCCTTCGATAACATCCCTCACTTGCCAAGGAGTACTGATCCTCTCCGGCCATGGAGCATCACTTGAGCAACGTAACCGAGCAGCAGGGAAACCATTAGCGTCTCCTATGATCCAGTCCCCTGTATCACCGTCACTATATAGAGCGATGTTGTCCTGGGTGTGGTGTCTGTATACAGGACGCTGGTTGTTATCAAGAATATCTATGTTATACACTCCTGTCTGGGACGATAACTCTAAGGCAGTGTCAGATGTAAACCCACCAACCCATATACTCTCACATGGCCCAGTGTGACAGTCCAACTCCATGTTGGGCTCTGCCACAAAGTCTCTGCCATTCCACGTGGACCATGTTCCACCAGTTATATCTTCAGGCCGTTCAGCAATTGATTCAATCTGAGCTCTGATGCCGTACGTTGTGTCACCCGTGACAGGGCCTATTGTCCAAAACCTAGCAACAGAAAAGCCCAATGAATCATGAATGACCGAAAGACGTACGTCATCACCGTGGTCATGGGTAACTATTAAACCGTAAACAGTGTATTTCAAACATATGCCACCCACCTACCAAGGCATATTTTTTAACAAATAGAGTGTGTCGAATCCTGTTCACGGTTGATTCTATGTTCTTTAAGTTGACAAGTTTCATCACCAAGGCCCGTTTGCTGGCCATTTAAAGAACCTGCCCAAAATTTCTACCACATTTCTGCAGACAGACTTGCACACTTTGTGCGATGTTGTTGACGACACGTGTATATGGTTGATAATGATATGGCTCTTATTCCGAAAGATAATGTGGATATCAACAATCCTAGAACCATAGCAGAGCTCAAAATAGAGACAACACGGAAGATAAGGACGTTTGAAAATCTGTCAGTAGAGAGGTGGCAGTCATATGGAGCACATTCTTTATGTGCGCAGACGTGTCATACACATGCTACAGTGATGAAAGCTCAACTCAGAGAACATTGTTCAACCAACTTTACTTTTGCCAAAACCGATTTTGAAAGCTTTGCTGGAAAGATTTGCATTTCTCTTTAAGTACGTGGGTTGCATTTTTTCTAAAACAACAGCTAAACATCCATGTTCAACCTCATCCTCAACTACTTGTCCAGACTGTTTAGTCATGTATGACTGTTTCAATGTATCATCTATACATACGTTTTTATTTATTTATCCGATGGATACTTAATATGGGGATTACAACACAAGATAATTTTGGTATGCGCCACGGAAATCGTAGCCGATCCATATGACGTGATATCCAATCTTATCCCTATACCCAGTAGAGTTTTAAGGAGTTAAGTTGGTAAAATATATCCCGTATCCTGATTTTGAGGTTTCCATATCCAGCACCTCCATATCTCCCGCCATATCTCCCGCCACAGGGCATACCTTCCCGGTTTGAAAATAAATTGAAAAAAAATTTGAATTTTTTCAAATTTGACAAAAATGAAAAATAAAAATCTTTAGAAATAGAAAACTCTACTTGGTATAGGATGAAACATTCATTCAGTCGGTTTGGATACAGGGATTATCCTTCGTGTGATATCCACATCTACCTTCGGTCAATACAGTCCCTCGGGTAGATATGCATATCCCCTCTGGATAACCCCATATCAAGAACCTCCAAGTAACAAAACAGTAACAAAGCAGTGACAAAACTTTTGGAAAAAATTGTGACAACAAAAATTTGGAAAAAATTGTGATAACCACTTGTCTGTTTGACAATATAGTTCCAAGGTTATGTGCTCAGTAAAAGTGAGTTACTTTTTTCCGGCAATCATTTTGTAATAATAAGTTCACAGAAATAAAATGAAAAAATTAGAGAAGAATCTAAAAAAAACCTTTAGGTCTAATCATTTAAAGTCCATACAAAAATAGCGACCATAGGATAAATATAATATCCTATGCTTTTCTCGGCTATCATTTTTATCCACTCCTGGATATCGCTGCGCTCACTCGTGGAGATGGGCGATATCCACTCATGGTTAAAAATGGAATCCCTCAAAAATCATAGAATATCCTCTATTTATCGTACCTAAAAAGGTACGATGTTGTCGTCAGCTTGTTAAATTCTCACCCAGTATTGCCAGACGGCGTGAAGTAAAGAAAGTTTGAGTGGAAGCGATGCTTATAGACAGGCTTATCGCTGGAGATGATGTCCTGGAGAACGTAGTAGCCATTGATAAACTGTTGGTTTGCGGATTGTTCCACGCCCTCTAACAAGATGGAGTCGCATGGAGGGAGTAAAGATCCTACAATATAAAAACAGATCTTGAAACATGAAATCGTTATCACATGGTGAAGGTTGAAACTATATACAGACTAGAATCACGTGTACTGGAGGAATAAAAGTCTTCTATATTGGACCATGGCGTCACATCGTGTGATCTGATGATGGGAGCACAAACGCGAAGGAATTAATCACATGCTAGTAGCAAAGATTCTCTTGTACATTGAGGGAGTTATGACATTGAACGTTGATATTATTAAAAGTATTATGGCAAAAAGATTTAATAAGGAGAAAGTATGAGTATGTGCAGTAATGACCCAAAATCATGGATGTGTACTGAAGGTCTCGTCAATAAAGTAGAAGTGAAAATATTTCAAGATACCAACAGTACTAGCAAAAATAAACTGAAGAAGTGAGCTTACTTGGCCTTGCATAGTAAGCAATTCTGAAACCAGTTGTCGGACTGGGTGGTGTCCAGTTGATCTTAGATTGGAACAACACCATTGCCTCCTCTCCTCTCGACACAAATGTCCCGTTTGGTCGGTCGCAGCAAAACCTTAGAATGTCAATTGCGTATAAAATGCATTTATTGAAATCAATCATGTTCGGATGCTTACTTGCACAATAACATTTACTAGTATTCAACTTTCAAACAGCTTCTTGAGTTTTTGATTTATCTTGGGACAATCAGGGTGGAACATTTCACTTATATTTCACACCTCGGACCAACCTGTGTTTGACATTACAAACCATTCAGAATTCTCATCTTTGGCCAACCCTTTTCAAACATAAGAGGTACAACCCATTCAGATTTCTCACCTGAAACCGATCCGTTTCAAACATAACAGGTACACCCCATTCAGATTTCTCATATTTGACTAACCCGTTCCAAACATAAGAGTTACGATCCATTCAGATAACATTGGACCACCTGTTTCAAACATAACAGGTACACCCTATTCGGATTACTCATCTTTGAACAACCCATTTCAAACCCATTCAGATTACTCCCCTTGGACCAACCCGTTTCAAACATAAGAGGTACGACCCATTCAGCTTACTCACCTTGGACAAACCCGTTTCAAACATAAGAGGTACAACCCATTCAGATAACTCACCTTGGACAAACCCGTTTCAAACATAACAGGTACAACCTTTTCAGAAAACTCACCTTGGACCAACCCGTTTCAAACATAACATGTACAACCCATTCAGATTACTCACCTTGGACCAACCCGTTTCAAACATAACAGGTACAACTTATTAAGATAACTCACCTTGGACCAACCTTTGTCACATCAACATGTCTGATTTCAACCCAATCCATATCGCAATCCCTTCCTCCTCGTAGACTCCAACAGTGCAAGCCAAACGCATCCACGAATTCTAGAACGACTTCCTCATCTGCAGCAGCCTGCAGCGCACAATGTTATACAGAGTGACACAAAATACCAACCTTTAATTTCGGAATAACTCTCTCAATAATTAAGGAGTCTTCATGAATTTTATGTGTTGATAGAGTGTTCAATGGAAAAAAGATTGGCATGCTTGCATAGCATCAGCAACTTCGAAATTAAGAGATATCTCATTTTCCGCGGATGCATGGTCTGACACAAAGTCAACCATACAAAACTATATACAAGAAAATCTGTCTTACTTAACCCAATAAGCGAGTCAATTCATCAAAGACAAAATTATTTGAGAATATGGGTAGATATGGTATATATTATTGAAGATATATGTGTAAGCTATTGAAAACAATCCAGATATAACTCAAATAATGGCAAAGAATGTCTAATATTTTTGTTGATTTCACCGAGAGCATGCCTGGACAGAAAACGCAATATCTCTAAATCTGAAAGTTGTTGATGCTATCCTAGTACAAACATTTTTTTCTATTGAACACTCTACAAAAAAGAATCATGTAGATTCGTTAATCATTAAGAAAATCATTCCAAAATAAGTAGGTGGTATTTTTGTGTTACCCTGTACAATACATATTCAAATTCATGGCAGAACAAGCATACTACGGTATGAAAGATTCCGTCCAAGAATGTTGTAGAATGTTATCAATCACAAAATCGTACATGATCTGATTCTCAGAGGAGACTATCATCTTCGGTACAGGTGAATTTCTAAAGACCTCGTCATTAAAAATAATACCTCAATTTTCTTTTCACGTATATTAAGCTCTTCTTTCAGACCTACGTTCTCCAAATCTATCTGTGTAATATGTAATAATTAAACGTATCACCACTTTAATCCTCACCGTTATCTTCCAGACACATTCTTGCCCCACGCTGTAACCATCCCCTCCATATCCAGGACTCACGATGTCACTTTGAATCTCAGAGGTAGCAAACATTTCGCCACCACAGGGTCCTAGAATACAATTAGTTGTTTCTTGACTACTGCATCATTATCTTCAAATCTCTCCAAAATTCATCATCCGTTTTCTTTATTCCATGTTAGTTATTCAATGTTTTATTCTCCTAAATGTTTTAGCGGTTCGAAAACTACACAATGGAAACGGAAAAGTTCACCGACCTGACAAGGTTTTGGGGATTTCGCAGTATTGTCCCATCCAGCCTTCGGGACACCTACATTGTGTACATCTGAGGGGGTCTCTATAGCCACCGTTTTGGCACATATGCCACAAGAGAGAGTTCGAGTCTGGACACCTATCTAAAGGTAAATATCAAGTACATTGTCGTTGAAATAATGCTATGTTATCAGGTTATTGGTGTTGCCTCCAACGAAGCAAAGCAATGGTTAGATTTACATTCTCATTAAATTCTTCACCAAATTGAATTGACAACTGAAAATAATTATCGAAAATTACAAAAATCATATATATTTCAAAATGTGTGTCTATATCATTATGGACCAGTCTATTCTTGATTATATCTACAGAATAGCCTTGTCCAAGACGGTATTTCCTTTTACTTATCTTGATCTTGAACAATCATTACCTTGGGCGAGGCTTCAACGGGATTGCACATCAAATATTGTAGAATGTAGAATGATAAAAGATCAACAATAATTACCACTGCAATAATGCATATTTGTCATCTTTGCATCAATAAAGGACAGACCAACGGACTGACCAAGTAAACCTTGCCTGTCGGGTTCCCTTGTTACGATACTTATCAACCCAGGCCTCAACACGAAGAACTAAAAAAGATGGACGTCGTAAAGATTGCGAATTCAAACCCACTAAAATGACTTGACTGAATACAACTGGTGAACGTTGAATTATGAAGGAGAAGTTTCCAGTAAAATGTATATCAGCGTTTTGTTTTGAATTAATGCATATAGTAGCTGAAAGTCATAAAAAGTTACCATCTCATGGTAAAAACGTCCCGTGCTTCCATTCAAACTTACATTAGAACCATAGTGCATCAGGGACTCGAGGTCGTAATTCTCGCCCAGGGATTGTGCCCAATACCAAGCGTACTTGTTGAAGTTATATGCACTTTCGTTCCAAACAGTCTCATAGTCTATCACCACATACGAGTCCCTGTCCCATCTGGACTGCTCGTGCCAGAACCCAACAGAATGACCGATCTCATGCATGATAATGCCAATCTAAATCATAAAAGTAGCACAGATTGAGCACAGTGGATGACCATGCTCAGATAATAAGCCAGCATATTAATTAATTTGTATTTGGCATAGGCTAATGTATGTATGTATGTATTATTTATTTGCGTCTAAAATTAGACAGTTACATATTATACAATGAAATAAAGAAAGTAAATTAAAACATCTTTTCAATTTAATTAAGTAGTGTGAACTGTCCTACATGGTTTAGATCATTGATACCCTGACTCTATGCATGGAAAATATTACAAGTGATATGGAGCAGAGTGAGTCGATGCTCTCTAAGCTTGAGCTCAACCCTAAAACAAAGTCCATCTTTTCGACAAGTGACCTACGGTCTTCACTCTCCAACATTGTGAGTAGAGTCTGCCGTTCATAGGTAATTATATCACATTGTAGTATAAAATGTTCAATAGTGTCTCTTGAATTGCAGCACAATGGGCAAACCCCATTCTCAAAAGGATAAGACCCTGATTGGAGTTTAAACATTAGTTTGCACTGTTTTTTGAAAATAGGTCTCAGTTTACATATCAGCCACCATATATTTGGCTGCACGTATGAGATGGATACTGTACAAGAATAAAATGATAAGGAACTATACAAAGAACACATCATTCTAATGCTATTTGCTTCGTTACAGTATAAAGCATTTCTTACAACGCGTTTAAAACCTGATTTAGAGAGATATTCCCCAGACTGTATCATGTTCATAGATAAATTGGCAAAAGTGTACCGTTCAAGTGTTCTCCAAATGATGGAAAGTGGAGAGTTATGCCGTCCATTCCCCTCTATAAGCCACAGCAATCTATGTATCAAGACTGTTTTGTAAATATTATTCATTGGTAACACTATAATACTCCAGAAGAACATCATCCTCGAGAAATCTATCTGTCTTCTGATAGAAAGCCATCCAAGACCTGAAGCTGCTATGGGGTTCGGCGAACTTTTGGAAAGTGACTGAATTCTTCTTCCGATTTCACGGTGTGATATTTCCATTTGCTCTATTTCGTGAATACTATAGTCTATTACCTGGCAACCGTACAGTAGCTTACTCATTGAGAAAGTCCAATATAACTTACTGGCCATTAATGGGCAAAGGCCTCCTGTTAAAGAGCCAAGCCCCAATAACGAAAAATATTTCTGTTTTGATTTGCATATCGTTTGCTTTACAAAATCATTGTGGTTCCCAAGGGGTATCCCGACGTGCAGCTCTCCTGTTTTTTGTTGAATTGCACTGGGGCCAAGTAAAGGGCGATCATTTTTAATTAAGATGGCGTTGCGATCAAACAATCTGATGGAAAAATAACAACACTGCTGTCATCTTTATATTGGTCTAAAACCTATGGTTTTTGAAATCTTCCTAAACTAAAATCTGCTGGATGAAGAGAACACTCACATAATAACAGTTGTTGGCGAGCGTCATCAGATTCTGGTCAGGTCGCATTCCAACGTGAGCCCAACATCTACCGACAAATATGAAGATATGTGAAATGCGTCAGTTATCAAGGAAGGCCGAGTGTACGGTATTTCTACATTTGCGCATTCAGTATTGATTCAGCCTCGAATCGTTTTAGAGATCAATCTACGGAACAAAAATCTTCTTACACACGCAATAACTACTGCAATTATAGATATTATAAGACGGGGAGGTTTTGCCACTCACCCAGATCCAGTATCTATATAAATCATAGGATGTTCATATGTAGGTGACTCCTCAAATGTAAGGCAAGTATCCTGGCTCCATCTATCAAACGATTCTCTCAGCAATGCCTTGTGACTTTCATCTGTTTTAAGTAGATACGATGGACATGCCACTCAGGCACTACTCATAAATCATACAAGACATACATAAAAATATACTTGAGTACATCCAGAGTAAACCATATGTATTAACCTCAAAAAACAAATTCAATAGTCAAATCATAATCGCTCTTAATAAAACTACTCACTAAAGACTGGTGCTACAAAATATCTTATGGGCATTGGCCAAAGAGGGCTGTTATTCATTTGGCGTTTTGTCCTCTCTTTTGTGCCGCGTTCTCTTGTTGGACGATCATCCCCTGATTGAAGTCTTTGTAAGGTTGCAGTCACAAATATACCAGATAATTCATTATCCTTGCTGAACTGTCTTAAATGCTGCTCCAGTATAAGCCTTGACACGCGGATGTCCAGAATAACGTCACCTTCCCATATATGGTCAGACTCAACTTGGAAAACAGTCTGTGAAAATAGTCACACAATGCAAACCATGAAAAGAAGTCGTAATTTTGAAGAGTGAATATTGTTTGCTTGCACAAGCTTACCGCTTGGATGGCTTGATTAGCGCTCTAACATTACAATTACCCCCTTCCACTAAAAATTCTTCCCTCGGAATTAGCAGATGCTTGAAAAATCGCCACAGAAAACGTGAGGAATAACATTTACATGAAGTATATATTTTACAACAGGTGAGCGTTATTTCAGGGAATCGGTGAAATTGAAATTACCCTCATCGTTTTCATAATTTCAAATTGGAAGTCAAAGCAACTGTCGGTGCAAAACTGTATATGAGGGTATCACAATGAACAGCAAAGTAGGTGCTTATGCAGATCAAATGTTGACCTTGCAAACCCCTTGAATTTGTGGTTGAATTTTTTTCTATTAGTGATATTGTTCAAAATTATTAGATATGTGTAAAAATAATTTAAGCTCATGACGAGATGGATTGTGGATGATTTAGTGCACTCATTCAGTCTCATACAAATCACCCGTTCTCAAAATCGTCAACAATTCATTGAGCCCTGGAACTAGGAATGCGGTTAATATATGATTTCCAATACACGAGATATTGTTTGATGCGAATTATTTATCCAGGGACAGGTCATTGAATTGACTCTATTCATTCATTGGTTGTAGAATTATTACGATACTGGGATGATTAACTGTACCTTCTTCTCGGATAGGTATCCTATATAGGCCATGTTACACCAGACCTCAAGCCTAGTCTCCAAGTCCTCTTTGAACAGGAAGGGACTGATGCCAACCATAAGTCTCTCCTGTCAATACAATAACACCAATGATCTGCTTCTTATCAATATCATGTTGGAATAACAAAAGTATGTATTTTTAGATTGAAATCAATTACACTCACGTATTCTCTTTCTGGCAACACATGCTTGTCGTTCAGCTTGTAGCCATCGAAAACAATTTTAATTTCCTCTGATAAATCACTGTAATCTAATATCATATTCTCTCCATCAGATTTTTCTCTTTTTACATTGTTGATGTTAGAGCAAATATTTCCCACATGACCTATTAGACCGGGAACTGCACCGGCGTCTGTGACGTCAAGACTCTCATTGGAAGCATCGTTCACCAGGCCCCCAAGGGATAGCGGAATGAAGAGTGCTATTACAGAATATGTAAAAAGCAGCATTTTATAGGAAACAATACTAAATGGACGGCTGATATATTATTTATCAATTACTTTATTTATCAATTACTTTATCAATTACCCAAATAGCGTTTTATCATAATTTACTTTCTCAAATCGTAACGGGCGTCAAGTTGACATGTTTATACTCGAATTCTCCAAATTGAGAAATGTAGGGGATCAAATAAAGATAAACAATAACTTTTAAAACATATTTGTTTCATATATTATACGCACATTTACATACAGAACACTGAGCACCACATTTTAGGTATATCTCTGATGAATGCATCATAACTATGGGAACACCCTGTAGGTTCATGTGAAGCAACAGTTGTCCAGTACCTCAATATTCAGAATATTAATTACACCACGAGATATATTTCTTATCAACTCGATTGTTTGAGTTAAAGGAACAGTGGTCCCTTTTGTTATGGTTCAATTTTAGATATGCCTTATACTCCTTTAACTGGTTTTGATTTTTTATACATGAGATATGTCATAATGAAGTAATTATTGTTAGACCACGTCAGAGCAATAACAGGTGTATAATAGCAAGTGATAAATCTCATATTTGGGACAGGGATGATATCAGGATTAGAGGGATGATATCAGGGATGATATTGATTTTACATTTTTTCAATTTCAATTTTTTCAAAATTTTAATTTTTCCAAAGTTTTTCATTTTTTCAAAAAATATTTTTTTCCAAAAATTGGACTTCAAATATTTTTATTTTTTGATTAAAATAATCATATTTTAATTTTTTTAAGTACTGTGTTTTTGTCCTTAAATTCTCGACATACTTTGAAGTGGGATAATATGTAACGTAAATATTTCCAAGATTCAATCCTTTTTTCTCTCATTCAACAGAAGATTTGGGGTAGATATTGCTCTTGACCTTGGTATAAGGTCGTTATTCACCTCTCGGGATAATATGGGTAATATCTCTCGGATGATATCCATATTTCCCTCGGTCACTGCGTTCTACTTTTTATTATGTAATGTCTGAATGTAGTTTACTCTAAAAAATGAAATGAGACCACGCCATGGTTAAGACGCAAATAAAATTGCAATTAATTATGCCTGAAAACAACAATCCATTCTTCATGACTTGACTGATATAAAGTAATAAAGATGTGCTGTCTCTGTTATTACAGTATTATTGTCAACGCTCATCATAACGATTTCTTCAAATTCACCGCCTCAAACAAATTCAATTATGCGACTGATCATGAATGATGCAATGATGATGCATTTTATATTCTTCATTCTAAAACTGGGTAAGTCATGACATGATAAGCCAAGGTACAATAAGCCAAGGTACAATAAGGCATAGTACAATGAGTTACTTTTCCTGATCTTTCAAAGCAGAAAATGACCGAAAATTTAATGGCCAATCAATATCAGTTTTTCGAATTCTGTGTCGAATGCTCTTTGCCATCTTATATCTGTTTGGTAGAAAAATAAAGAGTGTCAGAATATTCTCCTTCGACAGTTCTGTACAAATTAAGCCATACGAGATAACCATTGTTGAACATTAACAATTTACTTATTTCGATTCCTTCCGAATGAACACAGCAATCGATGGAATGTGTATTGTGCAAAATTAAATCAGAACCAATCCAATTCATCTATGGTCGGTGGAAATAGAATATTGTATGTCAAACATCCCTATTTCATTCATGGTTTCTGCTGAACAATAACAAAAAAGACAAGACATTTATGTATCGTACACCCCGATCAATAGTCTTATTTAGTTCAGTTAATCTTAGATATTGTCGCACGATATCATAGATATAATAGGCTGATGCCATAGAAATCTATAATATTACACCTAGAAAAGGGTCGCAGGAACCCGACACGACAGTGAATACGTATTATGATTATTAGTCTGTTGGTTTCTAATTGAGCTGCTTTGCGATATCAAGGAACGTAGTCTGAAGTCCTGAAATAAACTAATTGAAATATCCACCAGTGTCTCGGCGCGATGGGTAAAGCTATCTTTTCTTGGAGCAACTAACCCATGTAACCATGATATCCAAGTCGTTTTGCCGCCATTCATATAATCTAGGGCTCCCGTTGGAATGTATTTTTGAACACATTTTCCTCCCCTTAATCTTAGTTTCTCGTCGTTATAATGAATGCAAGTTATTAATAAATGGTATCCTCCCTTAGAGATCATCCTGCTGTTGTATTTGTTTTCGTGATCCACTGCAAAGCTATACGATGGTAATAACCACATAGGATGAAGCAATGCAATGGTAACTATTCAAAGAGTTAAGCTATACAACGGTGACCACGCCTAGAATAACCGAAGAATGGTCATCACATTGGGGGTCTAGTCTGAGGGACTCTGCATCAGACTGTTCGTTAAGATTCTGTGAATCTTCCTCTGTGAATACATCCTCTACTTCATCTCCCTCCTCCTCATCTTCCTCCTTTTCCTCCTTTTGTTCTATGAGAGGCCACGAGTCCGTGATCAGCTCGTTGTTGTCCGCCTCTAAACTTTGAGCATTATCGCTTACACTGGGACTGTTGTCGACCTCTTCCTCCCGTTGGGCGTACTCACCAGTGTCAGCGTTTGTCCCCATACACACTATATCTCCGGGGATCACTGGCTTGTGTATGTGACTTTTCCTTCGACCAGTTTCCTCGTATATTAAATCCAGTTTATTGTTAGTTTGGGCAACTTGGTAGAGCTGATCTCTTCGCTCACGTTTTCGAACATAAGACATTTCTTTGAGATATGATGAAATACGTTTATCCATTTTGTTCTTTCGAATATGAGAACCGATCATTAAAACAATTGAGAGACCGTAAATGAGCACAACTGCAACTACATAGTAGAGGGCACCTACATCATCGTCACTGTTATAGTAAACATGGCCGTACTTTCCCTCGCCTATCGTGTACCCTTTCTGAGCATTAGTCCCATCGTTGTTCAATACTGTTGCGATATACGTGCTGTTATGAAGGCGGAACCTGAATCCCTCTTTCCCAGCCATTCTTAAGACCTGGAATAAATGTAACATAAACAACAATTAATTGCGCAGTAGACCGGGTTGAAGCATTGCGGCCGTGTGATTGTATCATTGCGGATGGTAAATTTCATAATGAGTTTTCTTTCAGAATGATTCCCAAAGCCAATGTTAGTCAAGGTATCTTAGATTGATTAAGCATTTTTACTCCCTGGCCATTAGCATTTCTAGGGAATTGGATTTTGTAATTGAGCGTGATAAATACGTAACATCGTCGACCTTTTCTAAAACAGTAATTATAACGGCGCGTTTATTATTATGGAGTCGGGATTTATGGAAATGAATCAGCATAGAAGATATTCGTGGGCCAAATTGAAAACAATGCATATTTTATGAAGATGTTATTGTGCCATGGTGTTACTTGGAATGAATTTAGATTATCTCAATTATGTATGTTTAGGTATACTTATTAGTTCATCCAATATAAACGACGTGTTCTCGTCAGAAGCAATATTGCTTTAACTAATTTCTTTTAGTCTGACATATTTTCTCTGTTCAATGTACACTGTACTCATAGAACTAATAGCAGTTAATAGCTACGCTCCCCTCCGTGATTTTGGAAACCTTGATGTCGTCATTGATCGGTTTCATTTTACCGTGATTCCACTGCGATATCCAGTGCCTACCTGGAGGTTTCTTCAAGCGATGGGCTCACCGTCCAAGGAGGTGGTCCAATTTAAAATTGTTTTAAATCTAATATTTGTAAAAGGGCTGTCTCCTTGTACATAAGGCATTTGAACTACCATAATTACCATAATTGTAAATCTTCGTCACTCATCTAACTAAATAATTACAATTGTCTATATTTGGAATGATGACGTTGCCTAAACACTAGATGAATTAATAGTACTGTAGTGGACTCCAATGGCTTTATGGTAAATGTGAATACTTAAAAGAAATATTAAAACTTTGATAGACTGTCTCTTATTTGTTAACACATTTGCTCACCTTCATTGGTGGTCAACAAAATGCAACAAAAGTACCAGATATAGTAGCGTCCGGTTACTGAACACAATTTCTATTCAGCAGCTCCAATAATCGAGTTAGAATTCCCTCACATCAACAACCAAGTGGTTGCTTTTCAGTAACCGGATGCAAATGTAACTCGGACGTTAACTGGTGAATTGTATAACGTCTTGATTGCTTTACAGTAACTGGATGCAAATGTAACTCGGACGTTATCTGATAAATTGCATAACGTCTTGGTTGCTTTTCAGTAACTGGATGCAAATGTAACTCGGACGTTATCTGATGAATCGTGTAACGTCTTGGTTGCTTTTCAGTAACTGGATGTTACTGTTCATATACGGGTAACATATTTGGATAAAAATCTACCTCCTTGGTGAAAATGATGAAAATAATTAAATTCCTCCGACGGAAGTTTATCCATTTCGTTATCAAGACGCGTATAAAGACGTGACGTCTTTATAACCAAGTTTGGACCAGTGTGTAAAGGACACCTACAAATGTTCTCAATATGTTAGAACTTAAAATATTGAGACAAAGTCAAAATGAAATACATAAATGTTGATGGATAGAGTATACTACTTAAGTATATAAGTCATATGATTCCTGTTTCGACCAAGTCTTGAGAACATTTACCATATCATATCAAAATGTTTCCACAGGCCAAAATGTATTCAAATAATGTTTCCACAAAGGCTTGATTTTCTTATTTTTTCTTATTTGTAAATTGTATCTTAATAACAGTAAATATGATATTAACATGATATCAAGTAACTTAATTTCAATGAAAATCACAAGGCAAGCCACGTTTTTCTCTGCTGGAACAAATGCTTACTGGAACAGAAAAGGATCAGAGTGGGTCTCCATTCTATATACGTAAATGTATTGGTAATTATGGTCCTAGTCTAGAAATTTTGATATAAACGAAACGTGTAATTTTGTGCTTGGGGCACTTGTAATTGAATTAGGATACAGTGGCCACACGGGCTCATCAATTAATAAAACTAAAATCATTTACAAAATGAAAATTGAATGATATCTAGCAAAATATGAAATGAAAAAATATGGTCCCTTAAAAGCCTATGGGTTTAACAAAATCAAATTCGATATAATTTATATTTTTCTATCTCATTCATCGGTATTATTCATAACCTCTAACAGGTCCTACAATTCCGTGTCTACACCGCGAGTACGCAATTTTTTCATTGATGAGGGGAGTAAATAGAGTTACAAGCGTCACGTATTGTAAAACAGAAAGATAAAAGAGTGAATCATACCCATTTAATCTGAAATGAAAGGAAAACATTATGAATTGATACCCATAATGTCATAATGTCATGTAGAGTTAATGGTTGTCAGCGTTTTATAGAGCACTCACTGTAATCTCATGATGGAATAATATGTTACTATTAGAAACATGAGACGTGTTTAGAATCCTTGTACTGTAAGTTAGACAGGGGAACCCCTTTTTAATGATCACATAAGGGCCGCCGTCTTTAAAGCGCCTTCAATCAAGAGTGGCCCAAGTTCAGTTGAGTCATTGAGTGTTTTTTTGTCTCCACAAAAAGTAGAATCGAAGATGGAAGAAAATTTGTTTTGTCGCTCCTGGCATATACACTGTAAGATGGACACCCCACTTAGCTGATGAGTAGCTGTACTATTTGTTTCCATTCTTCTCAACCCAATATACATGTGAAATGATTCTTTTCTTAAATACAGAATTTAATGTATTTATATACATTTTTTGAAGCATATTAAAACTCAATGACCCATTTTTGTTATATTGTCAACATTATTTCTTACATAGTATTATCTTTCAGGGAAACTCAGCCCCTTGATCACCCATTCGCTAGACAAATCAACACCTAGACCCTGGATCATCCATCTGTTAGACAATTCAACCTCTTGATCACCCATCAGCCAGAAAAATTAACCCTTGGATTACCCATCAGCCAGACAAATCAACCCCTTGATCATCCGCAAGCCAAACAACCCTTTATTCTTCGATCAGCTAGACAAATTAACCTCTGGATCACCCATCAGATACCCAAACCAACCCCTGTATCGCCCATCAGCCAGACAAATCAACCCCTAGATCGCCGATAAGCTAGACAAATCAGCCTCTGGATCGCCCAACAGCTAGACAAACCAACCCCTGGATCGCCCATCAGTTAGACAAATCAACCCCTGGATCGCCCATCAGCCAGACAAATCAACCCCTGGATCACCCATCAGCTAAACAAATCAACCCCTGGATCGCCCATAAGCTAGACAAATCAACCCCTGGATCGCCATCAGCTAAACAAATCAACCCCTGGATCGCCCATCAGCTAGACAAATCAACCCCTGGATCGCCCATAAGCTGGACAAATCAACCTCTGGATCGCCCATCAGCTAGACAAATCAACCCCTGGATCACCCATCAGCTAAACAAATCAACCCCTGGATCGCCCATAAGCTAGACAAATCAACCCCTGGATCTTCTGATTTTCTGAATAGTTCCAACTTACTTCAGCAGACGGTAAATTAGGCAAAAAGTACATTATACTCTAAGAGCGAGGAGGAAAATTCTTAATAAATGGAGTATAGTTGGTTTGACAGCATTTTCAGTTAGGGGGAAGTCTTGGATGAAAATTCTACCTAGGTGATAGCTTCACAGAGTGGTACATAATTCTTTTTCTTAATATTAGTTTCACACTACAAAACCATAAATATCATCAAAGGGGGACAGATGTAAAAAATCTAAGGCTCATCCAAGGTCTTACCTAAAATTCGTAAATTCAGACCTGATATTGTACAATTCTTCGATTTTTGAACTTGTTTAAAACATTAAACTTCCTTAAAACCCATTTTAATCATTTTTTACATCTTAGTTCCATACTTCAAAACCATATTTATCATCAAAGAGGGATAGATCTGGAAACCATAGGCATCAGCTATAGTCATACACAAAATCACCCCTCTCAAAAATGTCAAATTTTTCAAAAAATCAACAATTTTTTTTCGGCTCCTACTGAATCAATTAGTTTGAAACTTTCAGGGCTTATAGCCCTGCTACTGGACACTTCACATGAAATTTTCCAATGTCTTCCAGTGTCTGATTGAAAAGTGAGGATCTAAATAGTAAGAAAATGGGTCACGAATTTGCACCCTGGGGTACATACTTTGTACTATTTTTCAAATTCTGTAGGAGTGATTGGCATTATTTATTTTGCAAATGATTCAAATATATAATGTCTATGTATGTAACTTACAAACATCAAGATATCTAAAGTTATTGAGAACGAAAAAAAATATTTTCCGGGGGTGGGGTGTTTTTGGGGGGTGGGGGACTAACCCCTGAAAAAAAGAATTATGTACCACTCTGTGAAGCTATCACCTAGGTAAAATTTTCATCCAGGACTTCCCTCTAACTAAAAATGCTGCCAAACCAACTATACTCCAATTATTAAGAATTTTCCTCCTCGCTCTTAGAGTATTACGTATGTATGCATCTTGAATTTTGTATTTGATGGATGGATGGTACGCAATGTTTACTGTTAATCAGTTGAAGATACCATCGGTCATCTTGGATTATAGCTTATACAGCTTTTGTCCAAATATTATCTCAATTTATAACTTGTATATTACAAGGTTTTAGTTTTCCAATCTCCTGTTTGAATATGACCAGTGGTTAAAAAGCTAAAGGTAAATAAATTATATGATTAACAAATAAATAAATGGACCTCAAATTATGAACTCAGTTGCCGATCTTAATTGATGGCAATATCGTTATAATTTGTGTTTAAGGAATATGTATTTGTTAAATTTTAATTTCCCTGTTGTGATTAAGCTATATATATATAGATGGATGCACGTGATGGACTTAATTTTTTGAATGATTATTGAATGACCCTGAATCACAGGCCAATCAAATAACATCATTCCTATATCTGATAGTGGATCTCATTTCGTAGGTTGTGATGCGAGACGGACAATGTTCACCTCGATCATCGGTCAGTGTTAAAAAATAGTCTCAGCATCACTAGACTTCGTCCGTCTATTTTAAGACTTTTCAGCTGATTTTTTAAATTATTTCTGCAACAGTCAATTGTATATGACCGCTTGATCAATAGTCATACGTGGAATAAATACCATGACGGTCTCATAAATCCTAGGTTTTTGTATCTAATAAATCGGATTCAATAACATATTTAGGCTATTCGATTCCTAGGTGATAATACAAGACAGAATGATACTAGATTGATACTAATTTGATTGTATATGACATTTATGATAGCATTTATGATAATTTTACGTGGAAATTGTTCTTGTGTCGATATTGAACTTACCTTTGAATATTCATCTACAGAAAACGAGCTTAATAATCCTCATGACATCCAGTGCATGCTCGTGTCACGTATCTTCCTTTACGATGGTCTGAAGTGTAGACAATTGATGGATTTTCGTAATCGCTGCTTTTTCTAGTCTATTAGCTTTACTTTATACGACTGACGCGATTGCTTAGAGATCGTGATTAGATTGACACGGTACACCCTGGTTCCTAGTCAACTGCATTCCCTACGGAGGCTGTGCAATGACGTCTGCACCACAAATTGAAGCGCAATTTCTAATGTTGAGCTGAAAATATATTCTGTAAGCAAGGTTACCTGGTACAGATATAGGCCTATCCCGGAACTTATATCCGCAGGAGAGGGCTGTAAACGTTGTATCACAGTCAACCCTTAGTCTGATGAAACATTCATATCATTCAGTCATAAAAGATTTAATTTGATTAATTTCCAACTCGGACTTGGATTCGCATATTTGCAGCAAGCATGCACCAGATACAAAAACATTTCAACATAAAATGATTATGTTCATGGGCTAGTACGATCGGTTATTTTTCCAAAACCTTTTACTTTTAGATTTTCAACGACAAAACCTCTCACTTACTTTGTACAACTAAATTAAGCCTCTTGAGAATGACCTGTTTTGTCAAAAAGTATATAGTAAACACCAAACTCCGCAAATCCCAGAGCGTTGAAATTTTTAGAGCCATTAATAAAATGTGAGCATTTACGTCAAAAACGCTTTTTTCGAAAACCGATAGCCTTTGGGAAATGGTAATGGCAGGTGAAACAATAGATATCGGGAATAGATACCACCAATCACCAATGTTGACGGACGAAACCAAGGACGAACGGGCGGACCAACGGCCGGACAGAAGCCTGGTAGATCGTTAACCTTAGGCTCGCTGTTTGAATTGTTAAATTATTTTAGACCCTAATTTGTTTCACGCATCTAATACACTGTGTAATAGGTAACTTTACATTTATGAAAAAGCGGCGTACATTAGTCCTCGAGCGTCCTATGAGAATCTGAAACCAATTGCCAAGACTTCCATTACGATCCATTATCTCTTAAAAAGCAAATTAGGCCTGGTAGGTCTAATGTGTTATGTAAATCCATGAAATATCCAACATTTTCAAGATTCGTTCACACTTCCTGTTGTCGATCATCCTCTAAAACGCTTGTCTTCTAGACCTAGCATACATTCCAGAAGGAAAAAACATCGTGTTCAATGGGTTGGTAAGCTTACGCACCTTTCCTGTCTGAGAATCCAAATTATTTTATCCCTTGAACTATGGTTGCTTGTCCTGGAGCTAATGCATGCATTGGTCTAACATATGACCTGTTTAAATCCTCAGAACCTCCAAAATCCAACATGTGACTTTCTGAAATCTGTTGCGATACCTTCCATCATGGCCCTTTGAACTAAATAGTTTCTGCATTAGTAAATGACATCACGTGATGACATATCTCTACATGTATAACAAATTTTGAAAAATGGAATAAAATCTAATGTTTTCTATAGGACTAAAATATGAAGGAGGTACCTACTAGCGTTTTGCGCAAATAAAACACGTTTTCCTCTTTCTGCAAGGGCGGAGCCTAGCATTGCGTTTGTTGGATGGAATGAGAATCAATATATTCTAAAGGACAGTTACTTATCTATCTGAAAACATTTCCAAGTCGAGTCGGAATGATATCTCCGATCGGTTCGTTCTGATATCAACGGATTCAGGAGTACATTCATATCAGGCAGATTGGGGTTTACGTAAAACACCGACCGCCGACCACCGACCACCGACCAGTCACTCTCCACAGTTGGGTACATGTGGTCGGTGGTCGGCTGACGGTCTTTTTAAAGATGAAAAAAATGCAAAATTAGAAGTAAAACTAAAACTGGGAATCCAATGACTATAGTACCTTTACTAGGTCGTGATTTAAAAACGTATAATTATCATTTCAAATCACGATGAAAACGTTACATCGTCGTGGTGTGTAATGTCATATTTTTAAGTGATGTTTCAGTTGTTAGAAGACCAATTTCATCCTGGTTAGTCACTTTGGAAAAAAATTTAATTAAGTTCATTCTTCATTCATATGAAACGCAATAACAAAAACACACAAACATCGTCGATGTTGACGTCGTAACGTTATGTTTGATTTCTCAGTTGTTAAACGTCAACTGGTAAAAACTACATTTGATATGACAAAAAAAGCTTTCTGAATGGTGTACTGAAATGGTAAGTCACTTTTACTCCCGATAAGAGAACGCATGTAACATTATATCGTGTTCAGTATTCAGTAGGCTATGACGATAACAAATCATTTTTGTTTCGAAATTGTTAAATTTCAGTAAAATATTAGGATAGATTCCGGTAGAAACGATAGGTTGGTTAATGAATTTGTTTGCTTGCCATTCGTTGCAAGGTACAAAATCGGTAAAAAACGTTGCCTACCGTCCAACGATTGACATTCAAAATCAAATTAGGCTATTAATATTCTAAGGCTACAAATATGTTCGGTCTTTTACATGATATGGTCGGTCTTTTACACATTTTCTTCAAACCCTGTTTTGAGGCTACCAGTGGAAAACACCGACCGGTCGGTGGTCGGTGGGGTCGGTCTTTTCCGTAAACCCGGCAGATTGGAAGGGATTTGTTTTCAAGTTTATTTATCTCAAAAAATATCAGTGAATAACCCATGATGTTGTAACAGCACGAGCCAGATAACCAATCACAGTGGTATGCTGCACTTATTGTGACGCATGGATACTGCTCCACAAGCATGCTTTTTTTAAATGACTGAGATATGGTAAAACGTTTGCTTCTATGGGAATCTCTTCTCTAGTCTCCAACCGAAAATAAATCGTTGTCCAATGGTGAGTAGAAAAAAGTATTGATGTCTTGTAGTAATGATTAAAAAATTTAAACCTTTGTTGCTGAAAATGGCGGGAAATTCAAATATTTGAAAATTAATAGGCCTAAAAATTTTCGAAAGACAATTTTTTCGAACAATTTCCCAAACAACTTTTCAAGCAATGATAAAATATATTTAGATGGTTAAATAATATGTTCAAAGTTTGATTTGGGGGTACTAGAACTTAGGCTAGCAGGCAAGGAGGATTGGCTCCCAGAGTGCACCACCGATATTCTGTCCCATATATGGGTATGTCGTAATACAAAATTCGAATTCAAACAGCCGCCATTTTGTTCACTTCAACATTTAAATCGTGAATTTTGGTCTTATTTCCAAACGAAAAATTCCAAAACTCACAAGAAATGATCGAGATATTGGTTCGAATCTTTTGAACTGTTTATTTTGAATTTATAGTCGGTTTTAATTTCAGAAAATAACGACATTTCGACGTTTTCATTGTTGGAAAATATCGAGTTTCGATGTTAAAAATGATCGATCCCCAAAGTGATCAAAATGGCCGCGGCCTAAGCCGGTATACGGAGCTAATAGCTATTTACGCTTTAGAATTATTTTGTGTTGAAAAATACAATGACATCAATAAGACCCATATATTCGCACATCTAACATTATAAGATATAGCTATAAGCAGTTTTTTAATTTATTTTTTAAAGGATCTTGACTAGTTCATGATATACAGATGTATACCAAACTTTCTCTTTCAAAGTACTAGCTCAGTCTTTAATTTAAAATTCAGAGGTTTCCAAAAAAAGGTTACAATTTTCTCTTCTATTTCATTCCTCGGGACGAAACCACAAGTAAAATGTCTACAGAAAGGAAGTTTTTCGTTGGAGGTAACTGGAAGATGAATGGAAACAAGGCTTCTATTGATGTTATCGTCAATAACCTGAACACTGCTGATCTCTCGCCAGAAACAGGCAAGTTTTTTGAAGGTCATTTGTTGGTCAAAGTGTTACACTCATCTCAATCGAAGAAACTGAGATTAATTCAACAATGGAACTAGAATTCTATGATTTCAAATTGAATATGAATATATTTTTGTTATATTCAATTTTGTTGTCGTCTACATGCTGCAGTACACACATGAACATGTAAGTTTAGCGACATCTATGTACTGCTCTGAATTTACTCGAGTCTCTAGCCAATTCTTGGCAAGAAGTAATTTCATATGGAACACCATGAACGCCATTTGAAAAAAGCTGGCCTGCGTGTCATAAATTTATCAAATATTTAAAAATCGCCAGATAAATAAATCATAATTAAAATGGGACCGGCCGGGCTCCTTGATGAGATATTGCATGATTTCGTCAGGATTTTGTCTAAAATTAAAAAAATGGCTCCAAGAAAAATGGTGATATCCGAAAACTGGACGAAATGTTGTTAATGTCTGACATTAGTAACTGGCTGTAAATTCTAAATTAGCGATCAGAAGATGATAACTATAATACATTGATCACTTCATGTGTGTTTTGGAATTTTTGGTGAGATAATAAGACCAAAACTCGCAATTTAAATTGTGATGTGGAAAAATGGTGCATATTTGATTTCAAATTTTATGATTACAACATGACCCGTATACATGCAGGGATTTATCTTTGGACGAAGGCCACGATACAGTGGCCTTAGAAGAAGGTAACTCTGAATGGGCATGGTGGGGGCTCTACTTTATTATGGAGATTGAGAAGGAAAACTGCACAAATCTAAATCAACTACTGAAAACTTTTAAACAATGTTTTAGTGGTCAGAAATTCCTCATAAGGTGCATGTGCATGTTCGGAATTTTGCTCTCACATCTCTCACTTTTGCACAAGTGCACTAATTTACCTAGAAAAGAATTTAAAGAAAAAGAAAATGTGTATAAAAAATGAGAAAATTCAGTGAAAAATTGTATAAAAAACAAGAAAATTCAGTGAATTCTGAATTTTCTCATTTTTTATACATTTTACAAAACAAATCTTCTCACCAGTCTTTTCTTGGCACATAAGTGCACTCTTTGTGCAAAACTGGAGGATGTAGACCAGTGGCGTAGCGTAGCAATTTTACTAGGGGACGCAAAATTCCAAAATTGGGATGGGGGGGGGGGGGGGTTTACCCGATACGCATTCATTTCCACTTGAAATTTACTCATAAGTACTCATTAATAATTTTGAACATTTAAAAAATCTATTATCGTTGTAAAAATCTTACCTGAATAATTTACACTGAACAAAAAGATGTCTGCAGCAGACAGCACTGTTGATTACTCTTATTCAATGTCTTCCGATAAGATTTATGGATGAAAGCGGTACAGCCAAATCTTGCTTGAATATTATTATAGTATATAGATATTAGCGTAATTGATTAACTATCCCTAATCATTAAATTCAAAAGATACTTACGCCAAAACTGGAGCTGGATTCGGCACATGAGCAGCCATTGTGTACTTAATACGGGGAGGTCATATGGATTACATAAGAGTATTCACGAAATTATGAGAGTATAATTTGAAAGAATCATTAATGACATGTCGGGACTAAAATAAACACCTAATTTCTATGGTTGAACCCTGTTCAAAGATACAAAATGATAAGGTTGAACAATGGCTTTGCTTATTAAAACTTGAGAAATTTAGAATTTCCAAATATTCAGATAAACATTGGATTGTTCCAGTGGACGCATTTGCGTACTTTGCGTAAACGACACTACGCCACTGTAGACAATGTGGGGAAGGAGTGATTCCTGTTTGAAAAACAACATTTGACTCAATTGAGGAATGCAGAAAAATTCTGAACATGCACCTTGGCCTTAAGGTGCCATGTTACTTAACAGTAAATGACAAAACATGCTTAATTTTAGACATTTTTTGAACAAAGATAACAGAGTTCTGTTTTGACCACCGGTCAGTTTCACTAGTTCCACATATCATTTACATGACCAGGATCACAATGTACATGGTCAGAATGACCCTGAACACGATCAAATAACTTTTTCAGCCCTCTGAAAATGTGACTGAATAAGAGCTAAAATAATTAAATAATAATAGCTCAATCTTTCGTCAATCACCTTCTTGTTTTTTGCTTCTGGTATAATTGAAGTACAGTATAACCTGTCCAATCCAAATGCTATTTTGACCTGCTAAAGGCGTTCAAAAAAATGTGTTCGGATCGGAAGGTGTTTGGATATACAGGTTTAACTGTACTCATGATAGGATAAGAAACTACTTTAATCCTCACAGACCTTAAAAATATATTAATTTGTTTTTTTAAGAAAACAAATTGATTTTTCTGTTTTTTCAAAGTTAGACATGCTCCAGAGTGAATAATTCAGACTTAAATTTCTAACCAATCAAATTGCAGGGGGCAAATGCAGTTTAAATGTACACATGATTTTAATGATAAATATACTTTAATATGGTATTTCGTGATTATTCTTGCAGAAGTTGTAGTGTCCCCTCCTGCCTGTTATCTGGATTACACTAGCTCTAGAGTAGACAAGAAAAAGATTGGAGTAGCAGCTCAGAATTGTTACAAAGCAGAAAAAGGAGCATTCACAGGAGACATCAGGTAGAACCAACTGCCACAACTTACTTACATTGTCACAAACATGAATTCATATCATTTGACCAGATCCTCTATTTTGCGATGCATAATCTATTATTTAATTTAAAACCGTCAGATGTCCTGTAAGGTAGGTAGGCTAGAATAAGTACTCAAAAGTACTTATTTCCAAGGATCTTTCACACACTGCTTATGAATTAAAGTGACAGCAAAGACTTGTGTGAGTCTGTTGGACAAAAGACATAACATGGAATACTGTACTTCGGGTAAATTTCGACGCTATAAAATTTCACAATTTTTCAAAATTGCAATTTCGCGGCTATTTAATTTTGCGGATTTGAGTTGATGACATTTCGCCGGTAATTTTAGCCCGTTTAGAATCCGAATCATGTTTATATTCCCACGTTTAGGGCATTTATTTGAATATTTTTGAATAGCTTTTTCAACTTAAATTTGTAGGATATCATTGTCGTCAACAGTTCTTGCCTTTGTTATCCCACGTTCGGGAGGGATATAGGAAAGCCGTCCGTCCGTTCGTCCGTCCGTCTGTTTGTCCGGGCGATAACTCAAATACCGTTTCACAGATTTGATTCAAATTTTATAGGCTTATGCCTTATGGGTGTAGGACCTCTGCTCGAGAAGGAATTTTCAATATGGCCACTGAATTCAAAATGGCCGCCATTTTTCTTAAAAAATGTAATCTTTAATAACTCAAATACTAGTTTGCGGATTTGGTTCAAATTTAAAATGCTGATGCCTAGGGACAAAAGAGTTTCGCACAAAAAGAGATTGTCAAGATGGCCGCTTAATTTCAAAATGGCGGCCATTTTTCGTAAAAATATTTAATCTTTGATAACTCAAAGTTATTATAACTCAAAATAATTTTCAAGATGGCGGCTGAATTTCAAGATGGCAGCCAATTTTCATAAAAAACGTAATCTTTGATAACTCATATACCAGTGAACAGATTTGGTTCAAATTTTATATGCTGATGCCTAGGGACAAAGGAGTTTCGCACAAAAATAGATTTTCAAGATGGCCACTTAATTTCAAAATGGCGGCCATTTTTTGTAAAAATATGTAATCTTTGATAACTCAAATACCAGTGAACGGATTTGGTTCAAATTTTATATGATGATGCTTAGGGACACAGTAGCTATGTTTGACAAAAAATTTTCAAGATGGCCGCTTAATTTCAAAATGGCGACAATTTTTCGTAAAAAACTTAATCTTTGATAACTCAAATACCAGTGAACAGATTTGGTTGAAATTTTATATGATTATGCCTAGAGACACAGTAGCTCTGTTCAAGAAATAATTATCAAGATGGCGGCTGAATTTCAAGATGGGCCTCAATTTTCGTAAAACCAGTGAACGGATTTGGTTCAAATTTTATATGCTGATGCCTAGGGACAAAGGAGTTTCCCACAAAAAGAGATTTTCAAGATGGCCACTTAATTTCAAAATGGCGGCCATTTTTCGTAAAAGTATGTAATCTTTGATAACTCAAATACCAGTGAACGGATTTGGTTCAAATTTTATATGATGATGCTTAGGGACACAGTAGCTATGTTCGACAAAAAATTTTCAAGATGGCCGCTTAATTTCAAAATGGCGACAATTTTTCAAAAAAACATAATCTTTGATAACTCAAATACCAGTGAACAGATTTGGTTGAAATTTTATATGCTTATGCCTATGGACACAGTAGCTCTGTTCAAGAAATAATTTTCAAGATGGCGGCTGAATTCCAAGATGGTGGCCAATTTTCATAAAAAACGTAATCTTTGATAACTCATATACCAGTGAACGGATTTGGTTCAAATTTTATATGATGATGCCTAGTTCACAATGGTATAAATCAACTTTGAACCAAATTTCATGCTTCTATCACAAAGTGCACAACCATTTCAACATTTACACTAGCTATAATAAGCATAATATGTTTTGTTCGGTGGGATTTGCTACTCCGTGGAGTTGCTGTTTTTCTAGTTGGCCTAATAAGCCAATTCAAAATGTTCTAGACATTTTAGGCCTTTTTGAATTATCGCCCAACCACACTGGACGAAAAGTTTTACACTGAACGAAACATATCAAAAGTCCCGGGTCAAATCCCCGGGGATTTAAAACACAAATTTCGGGACGATAAATGTTCGCGATTTTACTACATTCACGAACAAAGCGAAATTAAATTGCACGCGAACAATACCCGGAGTACAGTAATCATTTATGAGAGTAGAACATGTTGCTACACTGTAAGCTTGAATTTTTTCGAATTCAACTGTAATGTTAGTATAATAACATGTCAAACACAAACAGGTCAGAAGGTCATTCTATTCTGCATTTAAATTAACCTAAATATAATCCCTATTTTTAGCCCTGCTATGATCAAAGACAATGGCTGTGAATGGGTTATACTGGGACATTCAGAAAGAAGGCATGTCTTCGGAGAGTCAGATCAGGTATTCAATCTAAAGCTACTTAGCACTTATCAATCTAATGTAAACTGGTAAATCTATTATTCAGTTTGAGTAGTCTTGGAGCCAGTAATTCTCAGCATTTTCAATATTTTGCACAGTAATATAAGTTGACATGTTATTTTTGTGTAACAATAAGTAATGGTTTGAGAAGGGCTTGCCAAGATATCTTTATTTCAAATACATGTTCTTTTGATTTAATAATTTAAACATTATCTTTTAAATACATGTATGTATGTTTTAGTTGATTGGCGAGAAGGTTGCATTTGCTCTGTCCCAGGGTCTCAGTATTATTCCCTGTGTGGGGGAGAAACTTGAAGAGAGGGAGGCAGGTCTTACAGAGGAAGTTGTCTTCAGACAAACAAAAGCTATTGCAGGTAGATAGCATTGAACATTTTATTGCATTAATTCTACCTTGGTTAGTTGTAGCCATTACTATTTGAATTATTGTAAGGAAAGAATATGTATCATTGATGACTCATGTTTGTGGAGCAATATTCCCAGACAGAAGACAAAATGTGACAAAAGTGTCTCACTTCAATTTCGTGTACAACTTCACAAATTCATTTCATTCAAATTCAAGATAACGTTAAAGACTGGAGCAAAGTAGTAATAGCTTATGAGCCAGTATGGGCTATTGGTACGGGCAAGGTGGCCACTCCAGCCCAGGCACAGGAGATACATCAGCGACTCAGGACATGGCTCAGTGAGAAGGTTAACCCAGCAGTTGCCCAAAATGTCAGGATTCTGTATGGAGGTATGTTAAAAGCACTTCATGGTTCTGTTGTGTAAATATTAGTATATTACATTTGAAAAAGCTAACCACATCCATTACTTGATGGCCTTTTAAAATTAAAACAGGTCACTGTATATTGTAACTTTTTCAAGTTGGTTGATGTCCAAATCAAATGGCAGCCAAAATTTCAAAACCCCAATTTCCCAAATTAAATGGTGCCAAACTAGAACAGTTTACAGTGTTCAAACTTGATGATGAATCAGGAACTCTCTACTAAATAGAATAATGTATATAAGAATAATGTCTAATTTCCAGGGTCTGTGAATGCAGCTAACTGCAAAGAATTGGGAACACAACCAGATATTGATGGTTTCCTTGTTGGTGGGGCATCACTCAAGCCTGAATTTGTTGATATCATTAATGCCAGGCGTTGACTAGGACATCTCTAATGAATATGCAGATAGATAAATTTGTTGTGTGCTATAAAGACTTTGCATTTAGAATGCCAGCAAATAATGACATTTCGGATTCTCATGTTGTTGCGCCCAGTTATTGGTCTTACCCAGTAGTTATTTATTTTTATAGTGACCTTTTATTGCCAAATGCTTTCCCTCCTCTTTTCCATTGAAAAAGCAGCATAATTTGTTTTAACCCATTTTCCTCCCTTTCACAGTTCGAGATTGGAAGATCGAGGCTGCATATTGATCTCTGATGCTAATGATCAGGCTGAATAATGAAATTTCAAATCTTGAAACTTTTGTTTCTATTTTAGTTTGATCTATGAAAGCATGTGAAACATGTGAGAATCTAATGCCAAATTTGAAGAATCTTGAGAATTATGATCAAGTTTTTTATTATTATTGTTAGAATGGTGAATGTATATTGTACACTAAGTGTATCCTTGAAAATCAAGAACAATCATAAAGAGTCTCTTTTTGGAAATATATTATTTAGAAATACTTTATTTTATTTGTACATGTATAATACATAGTCAAATGATGAAGAATGATTGAAATATACATGAAAACAAGTGAAAATACAATAAAATCTTAATGTAAATAATTTACAAGTTTACTTGTACAGGGTTTCATTAGCAGCAGGCAACAGGTGATTTTTACAAGTTGTTTTCACAAAATCAACTGTTGTTTTTAGGGACTTCAACTTTTCCATGTTTTTATGATTTCCATTAATTTTGCCTGTTGTTTTCATTTATTTAGCCTGTTGTGAGAAATTCTAGTGAAACCCCTGTTGTATCTTTTGTATGCAGGGCTACTGACCAATATAGAGGAAGGTGCAAATGCATTTTTTATGTTTAAACTTATTGCTCAATTTCTTATACCACATATTAATTAACAGATTATTAAGACGATCAATTTGGTGTCAACATGGTAAAGATTGCAGTACTAGTAAAACCATATTTGCAACATTTAAAATACAAAATTGAAATAGTTAATCAGTTAATAGGTGAATAGCCCTGCAACACTTCGATACTTGTATATTTATTTCTATATACATAAAATACCACATCCTGTAGTCATTTAACAAAAACTACATATATTTGATGATTTATCCCATTCCAACACTTTATAGTATCATATGGTTCAAATCTGAGTACACAGATCAATATTTCGAATTGTCTACAAATATTACCTCTGTTTCACTTCACACATTCACATGTCCTTTACATCAGTTTTATGTTATATGATAATAACATTGATGCAATGTGAGATATTATCCAAACAAAATAAATTGACATAGCTTGCAATAAAAATACTACTTTTAAATAATATATGATACATGTACAATTCAATGTCCTTACTCAGTGACATAATCTGATAATAAAACGTCTATTACTTGTACAGTAGTCTCTTAAACTACATGTTTCTATAAGTAAACATATTTTGTAGAATCAGCTCTTATTGAATGAATAACTCTTCAATGTCATAATAGACGTTAACAATTTGAAAAATAATAGATGAATAATGAAAATAATGAAGCACTGACAATGCGTGTTATCATGTGATTAAGTCGCGGAACCTTGTAGTTTAAATGGTTCAGCAGTTCAGGAGATCTTCGAATTTAGATACTGTACAGAATCCTGATTGGATTCGCAGTTAAGTTAGTAAGTACTCCACCCAAGCATCACTGTGGGGCAGATAACTAAGCTATATTTTTTAAATAATGAAACAATATAATGATGATCGGATAAATAATATATAATTGAAGAAATTCATTGTTTGATATTGAAAATTCTTTATACATGAATTATACAATAAAAATGGATCAACCGCTATAATTCCTCCAAAAATCAAATTGTAAAGTATATATCATCATTAAGCTGTAATAATGTAAACCTTTCAAAAATTCCAAAATCTGGGAGCTGATTTTCATCAGATTTCTTTAGGATGACTGTAAATAAATTATTGCTTTTTTTAATTACATAATTCTAATAAATATTGAATCATTAAGATTTGTCACTTAAAGCAGCATCACAGATTAACAATAGTTACCATTCCCTATTCAAAAATACCACATGCATTTTCAAAGGTCAGTTTTTTTTACCATATTTATTATCATTTATAATTTTTATAACCTATGCTCTTGGTTTTTGTGTAGATGTCACATTTTTAGTTGCAAATAATTTACGGACAAAGTATGTTTGCAGGCATGATGTACATATAATAATACAACTCATAGCTATTGATAGATTTTGTATATATTTGTTGTTAGCTAGTGACAAGTACCAGTCTGCTATGACGTGTTTCCTGCTAATTGCTTGAAAGTTCCTCATTTTACTGATCGATGTGTCCACCTTTTGGAGTGTAGTCTGAAATAGAATAAAATTTGGGATAAATGCTTCGTGATATTATTAGACTCCATGGAAGATCAAAACATTCAGTTTAATTATATTATCATTACTACAGATTTTTATGTTATGAAAATCATGGTAATCATAATTTTGTAAATTTCGTAATTAAAAGGTGAGCTAAATCTACTTACTTAACACTTACAAAATGAAATAGTTCTATATTTGAGACATTTTTATTCATAAGTATATATATATAAAGTTAACCAATATGATTAAGAATATACGTTATTAATGAAAACCAAGAAGATTTCAGAACCTAAAACTAAAGTTCAAGAACTAAAAAATAATATAGTACCAACTAAAAGAACCCTTGTAAACATTTGGTAACCAGTGAATCTCTTTAAACTGAAATAAAAGTCCCTGTAGAATGACCGCTCCTCTTTCATAATTAAGGCATCCTTATAAGGCCTTATCCATCCAGTTGTTATATTGTATAGGCTACATGTGATATTGATTTGTAAATACTACATGTATCATACATTCTTACAGAGGTAGGCCGTTTTTGCTTTCCGATACCATACACAAAATAACAAATTCCTCTGTCTCGTTATGATGTATTAGTTAAGCTCCTAACAAAGAATAGAAGCCAATAGCTGTTAAACCACTTGCTGTATCAGATAGAAATAGCTCCCTATATCCTTTTTATTAATTCCCCATTTGTACTTTACTTCCATATTGTCGGATATTTCGTCCAACATTTCAAGTTTTTCTTCATACAATTGTTGATCCTCTTCTTTATAAGCATCCAGGTAAAAGAAGACTAATTTCGACCCTCTGAATCTCCCTTTTCTATTATTCAAGCAGAAAATGTACAAAGCTGAAAAGTATTATGGAAAACTCTTAATTAAGTAAATAAATCGTATAAACCACAAATCTTATATACCTTTCACCAAGTTAAAATTAACTACTTTTAATGATACATAATCAATGAAATTACCACGGTTCATTGCTTTTAATCCACTTCATGATTATGTATCATCTTAATTGACATGCAAAAAAGGCTTAAACGCATTCATTAAGACATATAACAAATACAATATACAGGAAAGGGGACATATGCAAGGAGAAACTGAATTGACAGAAGAAACTAACAAGTCCAGTATATCCACTGTTTGTCAAGAATGCAAGGATTCCAAGAATGCAAGGATTCCAAGACTGCAAGGTTCGTCCTATGGAGTCGGGTGTAAGAATGTACCTAGAAACTCAGTAGGTATGGGATACATCTGTTATGTACGGTCGTTTCGGAGAAAGGATTTATCCCTTTAGGGTCCCTGCTGTCCCATGGAAGATACGCATAGACATACGCATACGCATTTCCCTCGAGATAAATCCTATATCCAAAAAATCTCCCAGTTCACCCGGGCCAGTACACAACTTTTATGTACTCCATTTCCTCAGGAAAGAAAAGTCAAGATCACATACTGACGATGAAGATAAGAGAATCAATGTCATAGATATGGCCTCATAGAAGATACATTAAATATATACAATAACACACTAAGGCCATCTCTGCAGCACTTACACGCATAGTATCTACACTGATATCTATTTGTTCATTGTTTCTGTCAAACTCCATCCAGTCAGCCTCGTGCCAGACATCCAGGAACATAAATACTAGTTTGCTTGCAAAGCGACTGTGATAATTCTCGAAGCAGAATGCCAATGGACCTAACAGACGAGCACATGTAAAAACATTAGCAACACGGTACAATACTACAAACAACAAAAGCAAGCACATGTGGTATTTAGATCGCAATCAATTTTTAAACTCTGTTCCCTTTACGCAATCAACGAATCAAGCCAAATATGGAACTCAATGCATCAAATTCATAGAAAGCAATACAATACATACAATACAATGCAATGCAAAACGATACAATAAAATACAACATTATACAATACAATACGACAGTACAATACAACAAATACAGTACAAAAATGTAACTCAAAAATAAAACTGTTGAAATGCAACGGCGAACATCTTGGTTATTTTCTTCATGCTAGGTTTCACATGCAGGCACATACACATATTAAAGTATATATTTTCGCATACACTGATGGCTTCAAGAAACAACATTTCTATTAAGCACATTGAGTTGGCATAAATGAAAATAAAATGTTCAATTGCATTAATGATCATTCATATATAAATTAATCATTCCCATCAGGACAGGGCATATATCATTAAACTGTGTGTAAAACATCTTGTTGTCCAGTCCATTGTCACAACATACAAGCAATTACAACAACACTAAAATGAAATAAAACAATCATTAAACAAAGAGTTCTGTCCTAAATAAAAGTGCATCTCCACGACGATTCATGTTCTACACAAGAGAAGTGCACAAAGTGGGTACGATGTACAGAAGTAAATTGTGACATTAGTCATCTGTAAATCATCGATGGTGCTGTGAATGGTGCTCAAGAACCATCATGCGTTTCACTTACACCTAAATAAGCTGTTGCCTCGTTTAATTCTCGATTTAAAATTGTCAGATCTGTAAGTAATCTTTTCCAGTCGGTATTCGATGATGCAGAGATTTGGAAGAACACCAATTTGCCATTGAAGCTTTTTAAATTTTCGAGGCAAAATCTGTACACTTCTGAAAGAATTAGAATCAGTTGAAGAGAATTATAAAAGAATGGTACATACACATGCAAGATGAGGGGTCCTGAAAACGGAAAAAACTTAAGATACCATTTTAAGTTTGATTTGGCAACTTCTCTCAACTTTGGCATCGCAAAAACTGAAAAGATCAGGTACCTTACAGTGATAAACTGGATTCTGAAAGAACACTATTTGAGTGTACAACAATATAAAGCGCCATTAAACACTGGTAACACGTTTGCAACATGCCGCAAATCATAATGAGGAACCTAACCAGGCTATACACATGTACAAAGCTACACTCATTGCATGGGTGACAACAACAGACTAGGGGCATCTTTGGGCACTATACAATGATCACCGTGATACTACGAAGAGGCTTAGCAGGACGGACCATGCGCCTTGCAAAGGAGGTCACTTACTCCCATATTTTTAACAGTATCTTCTACTACATCTTGTAGATCTGCCCATTCATCCCAATCGGATTCCGTCCATATATCCATGAAGAAGAATATCAATTTATTTGAAAACCGACTGTGGAAATTTTCGAAGCAAAATGTGAATTCATCTAAAAGTAACAGAAAAGAAAAAAACACAACTCAAATGTGAACGCTACCAAAACATGCAACCATAGAATTCACTGGGAGGTGAATCGTAATAATGCAAAGAAGAGAGTCGGTCGCAGTCTGATAAAAATGTATTTAATATTAAATATAATGCGAAAATGGTTCATGGGTTCCAAGTGGAAACTCACAGCCAGGTTAGCCACTGTTCTTTCAGAAGCTTCGAGCAGTTTTTCCAATTTTTCATAGTCCTTTTCTACGTAGTACAGGATGTGCCAAAACACCCATTTAGATCCATAATGTGCACTATTAACTAAACACATTGAGTATAGCCCTACAAGGAGAGACGAAGAGGTAAATGTAATTATTATTACGGATCGGTATGTTCTCGTCTGCAACCTAAACTACACCTACAATAAGTAAATACACCAGTCACCATTTTTGAATAAATGTATAATCTAAACTGATTTAAACAAGTGGAGTGGGATGGGAATATTTCATTCGAAGCAGGCATGAAAAAGCTGGGCTGGAATAAAAGCGTCATTTATATACCCATGACTCCTAACTCACAGTTAGATTTTCAAGCCTATCTTCTGACTCTAATTCGAGAATAGTGTAGATCTCCCAATCCTCTTCAACGAATGTCTCCATGTACCACATCACACCCTTAGGTGTAAACCGAGCAGGGTTCACAAAACACATGCTGTAAATATCTCAAAAATTCACGAGGAATTATTATTTTTATACAAGTTCTGTTTCCTTTCTAAGGCTATGACAATCACAGTCCTGCAATAAAAATTCTAAAATAAATCAATAAATAATATGAGAACATCCAGTATTGAACCTTGTGGTACACTGGCACCGTCCGTCAGCCATCTCAAGAATCTGAAAAATCTAATTAAAATTCAGTTGCTATTTCAAAGTAATATGCTCAGCTAAAATGAAATGAAATCTTATTATATACAGGGTGACCTAAATTGAATGTAACCCATGAATGTGCTCGTCATATCTACAGGGTGGGTCACCCCCCCCCCCTAGCCATTATTTCTGATGAAGTATCATTTTAAAGATAATTTAATTTGCAACAAAATGATATATGATAGCACCATTTTGAACAACCTTATATAGAAATATAACCAATTATGTGACATGGGGGTCAAAAAACACCTTTTCAATTTTAATCGATTTTGCGAACAACATCCTATTTCTACCAAATTTTACTGTTCAGTTAAAAAGTGCAACATTGTCACGAGTCTTTCAAGATTGGATATTATATATTGTTTTCATTCAGTGTTTGAACCATGTATGCTCAATAAACATGTGTATGCTTGTAAAACAAATTCATTTCTCCTTCAGTCTGTCCAAATATGGCTCAATAGACCCACCCCCGTCCCCATCCTCTGATCGGATTATTCGCTTAAGACGCGGAAGCCATTGGTTGATGGCATAATTGATGGATGTATGCGGAAGTACCATTCAACTGCTAGTTATTCTTTCTTTTAGTTCCTCTACCTAGCCTAGATTTCTATCTGTGAGAGGTATCCCAAAAGAGGAATGTGTGCTCGTAATGGACAACTTCACAAGCCGCATTCAGGAATGCCTGGGGTGGCCATATTGTACACGTTTTTGAAAGGCCATAAAAGACAGGTCATGTGAATTGACAGTACCCAAACTTTGAGGACTTATTTGTTATCAACTCAGCTTGGTATGAGGGGAAAATGAAGCAAGTATCTCATTAGTTATAGAAATGACATGCACATTTATGGGTTGTATTCATTTTGGATCACCCTGTATAACACCCAGCTATGGAAAAAAGCAATATGTAGGAAATCTACAATAAAAAGCTAAAAAGCAAAATTATCCCCCGAAGCTCGATAGCAAGTACAGCGATATGGGGATCACTCACTCCATAATTGTCTGTGGTATTGTAGATTTTACCCCATTGTATCTCCCAATCAAACCAATCCTTCTTTCTCCACGAATCAATGTAGATAAACACTCTTCGGGCAGTGAATCTACTCGCTACATTCACCATGCAAAACTCATAGAAACCTGTGTGGTAAGTTGGAAAAGACAAATCATATAAAAAAACGAATTGAAGTGTCGAAATACATACGTATGCATAATAGTGGGTGTTTTATGAATGTTTAATCTGGTTAATTGTTGATAATTTTACTCCATATAAGATTTCAATTTAATGATAATATGTTTCGTTGCAAATCCACTCATGATATCTTTCTGTTTTGTAATCGCACTTGTTTGGGCCTCTCTGGTTATTTGATATACCATTATATGCTTAATTGTGATATAATGAAAGATTTGCATTACTTTGAATTTAAATAGATAGTTTTGGCAAACAAACCTTCTTCTTCTATTAGTTTTTCGGTTGTACCCTCGTGCGTCCATAGATGGCTATCAAATATGCTACCGTCAGCTCGCTTTATGATGAAGTCAATGTTTCTGTCTGCCCCTCGTAGCACCTGAACATATCAAATGAAACAAATGTACAACATTTTACAAAATGTATAAACACATTACAAAATACTGCTGAACAACACGTGTCTCATATACACGTAGAGTACCCAATATGTGAAAGCAACAATATTCTGAATATGCGACAATTTATAGCACATATACTGGGGTACGGGTATGAAGTATTGAAATGTATCAAAATGCTATTTTCTTCTCGTTTTATGTCAATCATTCCATCATCTTTTTCAGCCCAGCCTTATCCATTAAGTCGCCATGTGCATATCTAGTTAAGTAGGGCACTTTGAACCAATTCATTACGTATTCCTGGGTTTCGCAGTTTAATAGTTACGTTTATTTCTCCCTTACTATTACAAAAGCTGCTCATGTTTTAATCATCAAATTAATGGGCGATTATGGCACACCTTGTTCTGTATAAATAATGATTTCGACTCAAAGTTTTGGTGACATGTTTTACAGATGCGATACAAACCGATCCATAGAACTAGACATTGGATAGTAAAAACGTGATAAATTATCATAACAAAGATATTTATTCATCAGCATTCACAGTATTCAGTATACAGTATTCACATCCGTGATGAATTTGCAGAAACAAGTTGGCAATGGCAAGTGTAGTAAGTTTAAGTTAAAAAAGATTTTGCTGACAATTGGAATAGTTTAATTTTAAAGACAAGAGCTTGAACAATTTGCCAAGAACGGAAATACAAGATACAATTGTAGAAAAACACTGCTCGAATTAATCATTTAATAACTTGTAATAAACAGTCATACCTGAAAATGATTCGATATTTAGCTAAAGTAGTACCTAGGTGTTCACGCCGAATACTTGTTCTCTTTTTATTTATAGTTTTAATTTTGATTATACATAAGCTTAAAAAGTTTGATGAGTATGTAAGCAAAGATGAAGAGCGGCTGGATTCCAAGCTTCTGAAAAATCCAAACGGAAAGTCCGAACTGTCTATTAAGGATAACCGAACGGTTTCAGTGAAACGAGAAGGGGATGACAAAAATCCAATCAATTCTGAAGACAGTCTTAAATCTAAAACTGATGGGAATTCCACTGGCAGACGTAATATTGCACAAATCCCCATTGACGTAAGAATTAAAAAACTTCCAGGGGCCGTACTCATTGGTGTCCAGAAGTGTGGAACTGGGGCTCTCAAGACATTTTTGAATCTCCATCCGAATATTAGAGTTGCAAGAGCTGAACCTCATTTCTTTGACTGGAAAATTGATCACAACGCAACATTCGAAGGAGAAATGAAAAGGTATCTCAAACTGCTACCAAGGGCATTCCCAAATGAAACTGTACTAGAGAAAACACCTGAATATTTTGACATGATTGACCCATTTGACCTATTTAGAATGAACCCTGCATTGAAGCTGATTTTACTGGTTTGTGACCCTGTGAGGAGGACAATATCAGCCTACTTACACAACATTTACATTGGCATGTATTCCAAGCATAAGTCATTTGAAGAGTACGTATTTGATAAAGACGGTGAAGTTATTCCAACAGCGGAGGTTGTGCGTAGAAGTATATATGATGAGCCACTGAAAAGGCACTTGAAATATTTCCCCCGCAAACAATTTCTTATAATGGAGAACACATTTCTGCTACAAAAACCGACTTTGGCAATGCAGGAAATTGAGAAATTTCTTGAAATACCGAAATTCTATACTAATGAAACATTTTATTTCAACGAGAAAATCGGATACTACTGTATAAACCCATCCATTAAGCCAGTTAATTCGGGATGTCAGGCAAAATATAAATACAGAGTTCATCCTAATGTCAGTGAAGAAAATTTACTCAAGCTAAGGCGTTTCTTTCAACCCAACAATGACAATTTCATAAAACTGGTAGGCAACAGTATGCCATCATTAAAATATTTTCCATAAGAAACATCGAAGGAGCGACACAAATTTATTTTGTATATTAAGTTATTAACTATTGGTTGTGTATCAATAAATTAATGTGTGGGAATTTGCTTGTTTCTGTTATGCTTCCTATCAGCTTTCTGTAGGCTGTATCACATTTTGTAAAAATAATTATTCTTCGTGTGGTAATCGAACCATGGGCCTTCCGGTCAAAGCCTGATGCTCTACCGCCGTGGGCTAAACATCGATGAGCTGTACAAACAATGCATTTTATGTAGGCAATCAGCCTTGTTTTTAACGAAATCATAGCTTTTGTTCCCATAATTAGTAATTAGACTATTATGTGTCGTGGCGCACTACTAAAGGTCTTGGCTGAATTGTTTTTTGAAACTTTTTCGGATAACTAGTCATCCAGATTAGTGATTTTATTTTGATTCATATAATTTCTTACTGGATTATTGCTGATTTATTTGACAATCTACAAATAGAAAATGTAAGCAGAATGGCCATGGGGTAACAGTAAGATGTAAAATGTATTGATGTTAATGACATATCAAACAGCTAATCATAAAGAAGCAAGCCACAATATCTCAAAACAAATCAAGAAATTAGCAGATTCACAGTGTCAAACTTTACTCTTTGAAATTGGATGAAATAAAATTAAACCTTTTAATCTTGATCAACATTTGACTGCAGTTCAATCTTATGATAGGCCTATACAACAGTATTTAAACTCATTAATATAATATTTAACACCTGTTGCGTTCGCATTGTTTTATATAAACAGCAATTAACATCATACTAACAGTAAATTTGATAATTTAACCCTATATCAGTTATCATGACCTTATTACAGCCGCAAATTATTACATTGCTCAATGTAAAATGCGGAAAAACTTAATATAGCTATTTGGAAATTACAACATGTACAATTCAATATGCAATTTGTTCATCTTGAGTATATATTGATTTGTAATGCAGAAAGAGCCCTATAAAACATCTGACTGTTTGCAATACTACTGTGTTCGTTATTAACAAGTGTCATCATGAACTGTAGCATCCAATCTCTCTGTAGCATCTTCATATGGCTATAAACAATCGTTTATGTATTGACGATATCCTTCATTGTCAGATTATACTGCAGTGGTTGCTGTTCTCCATTTCTCACTTGCGACGTCATCCATTTACTATACATCAGAACCCAGGATGTTTGAACATATGGAACTCACCTCAAATGTAACATGAAGATTCGCTCCCTTAGCTATTTTCTGGAAAAAACATTCCTCTTTTCCAGCTCCCACTTCAATGCGGAATTCATGCTGGGCCCCGGGGAGTCCATCGAAGTCAAAATCATCCGTCTGTATCCCTAAAACATCCTCAGAGTTTGAGTATTGTATTAATATTGGTAGAAATAAAAATACAACACATGCGTGATAGGAGGCTGCCATTGTTATACTAAGTACACGTCGTGCATATTTTATGTTAATTAACCCTTAGAGTTGATCAATCAGCGACTTCAATTGTAATCAAAGTGATGTTAATAGAAAAAGTAATATCGAGTCTAGTCCATCTAATTGTTTACAATAATGTTAATGTTTGAGTACTGATTTTAGTTTAATTATAAACGGCGCTGAATATCAATATTCATAATACGATGAATAGAATATGATTTAGGAAATTATTGGAATGAACTTAAAACAACTGATGAAAAAACGCCCCGGGGAGACGCACACAGTAGTAGGCCTAGTTGAATATGGTTTTCGGTCCTTTACAGTCTTGTTACCAGGGTTTTGTAGGACCCACGGGCGCTGGAATATACAAATCAAATTCGGCGCAAATACTTGGACTTCAATAGTACTACATTGGACAATATATGTCATCTTGCCTGTTTGCACATTCATTGCCAAAACGCTTTCATTTTTTTATCATTTTCTATTTTCGTAATGAGCCTCTTTGGCATAATAACCTACGTTTTCAAGTTTATTTCACAATGTATTTAAGTTTTCAAAAATAATTGCCCAAATGTCTTTTGACTAAATCTATGAAAAAGTGTTTTTGATATATCAATAAAAAGAAAGCAATATTTAAAAGAATTGAAAATATGCACTTAGGACAGGTACATTGTCTAAATGAGAAAACGGGGTCTTAAGGTGGGAAGGAATTCGAAAATGTATAAATGATGTTGAAGTGAGTGAACAGACCGAAAGTGAGTACATGGATTTAGGAGGCAGATTTATTAACATGGGAAAATGGACTGAAAGGAGGAGGGAAAGTATCGCAACAGATTTTGGACAGTCATATATTGGATTTTGGCTATTTTCTGAGGATTTAAACAGGTGCATATGTTACACCAATGCAATTTCCAGGAAAAGCTACTCATAATGATGATAAAATAATTTCGATCTTGAAACAGGGGAGATGCAAACAACCCAGCCACATATTTTTTTCTGAAATGTTTTTCTGATTTTCAACCCCTGCTTTTTCAATTTTTTGCATCAATATGTTGCGTTTTAAGACAACTCCTTTAAAGGAATAAGTGATTCTTCTTCGATAAAGTGGAAAACAATATATTTTCCCATGTTATTTTCCCATAGGGAAAACTCGTGCAACCCATTGCTTTCAGCTAATTTTGGTCAACCATAATTAATATCTTTATAACCCCCGGAGGAATTACATATTCTTTTAGCGGGTTTAATTGTGTGTCAAAACGCAACATATTGATGCTACAAAAATTGGAAAAACAGGGGTGGAAGGGGTTGAAAACCCGGACAACATTTCAGAAAAAACATGTGAGTGGGTTGTTTGCATCTTCCCTGTCTCAAAGTCAAAATTATTATATCATCTCTATGAGTGCTTGTTCTGGAGATAATGCATTGGCCTAACATATGCACCTGTTCTAATCCTGAGAAAATGTCCAAAATCCAACATATGACTTTCCGAAATACATTGCGATACTTTCCCACCTCCTTTGGTAATTGTCTGAAGGAAGGTGAGCATATAATTTGAGACGAGAACATTTAACAGTTTGATGCAATACTTACATAAACCATTTATATGGAAGACATTTTAAAGAATCTTTTTCTTTTTAACCTTATTTATTCATTTCAATTTTGTTCTTCAGTATTACATGCTGTCATGTTTCTTCTCAGATAAATATTTTTATTGAGTCTTTGTTTCAAGTCTGTTCTTAGGAATAATTTACAGCATACATGGACCCTTCTAGCTGGGGTATCTATGCATCAGACACAAGTCACTTAAATGAGAATTTTCATATTTAATTGAAAAAGGCTTTGTAAAATATGCATATTCAATTATTACCATATGCCATTTTTACTCAAATTAAACTTGTGTTCAATCGTGAATTGCAAGCTTTGTAAAGTCCAAATGTCAAGTACGTTCCAAGGAGTCAACTGCAGCATACATCGCCCCTTGTAGCTGTGTATAATGTTTATCAATCATACAGCCACTAATATGATTGGTTGTATATGACCAAGCCAAGTCCTTGTCCAGGTCCATCAGTCCATACTGTCCACCCCATCCTGGGTGACCAATACTTCTACCCTGTAATAAAACAAAGGACAGAGTAAATTCTATGTTTTTGTTACTGAATTGACCATTTTAAAAGTTTAAAAGGGAATTTTATCAAAGTGCACGTCATTACTCATTTACGTATACTCAGCAAACAATTATCTTCAGTGCCTATAATACTTGGATACCATCAACATACTATAGTATTATTCAGTTTCAACCATAAATCACCATGTTACATTGAGAAATTGTATGTAATATACCAAGGGGGGGGGGTCAAACACCATAAAGCCTATACCATTGAGAAAGTGTATGTAATCTACCAAAGGAGTGTCAAACACCATATAACCTGTTGTATTGAGTTGCATTGAGAAATTGTAGACCATAAAACCTGTTGTAATGTATCTGAGGGGTGTCAAACACCAGATAACCTTTGGTTAAACCTGTTGCATTGAGAAGTTGCATGTAATGTACCTGAGGGTGTCAACACCACAAAACCCATGGCATTGAGAAATTGTATGTTATGTACCTGAGGGTGTCAACACCACAAAACCCATGGCATTGAGAAATTGTATGTTATGTACCTGAGGGGTGTCAAACACCACAAAACCCATGGCATTGAGAAATTGTATGTTATGTACCTGAGGGTGTCAACACCACAAAACCCATGGCATTGAGAAATTGTATGGTATGTACCTGAGGGGTGTCAAACACCATATAACCTGTCGCATATGTGAAGTTGTTTGAAATAATAGCGTCTGGACCTCCTACCAAAGGCTTCGTCATGGACTCCACGGTTGCCTTGGAGATGAACGTTTTGTTTGTGGTCTTATCTAGTCCATGGGCAACGATGCTGAATAGCTTAGCTACTGATGCTGCATTACTAAACCCATAAGCTGCTGCATTAATGAAGCTTCTAAAGTGTGGTTTGTTTCCTAAACTCTTGAAATAAAAATCACAATTGTACAACAATAAATGAATAAATAGGTTACTTGATGAAATCATATATAAAACAATATTTTTCATTTACAGCATTGTATATACAGGGTGGGCCAAAAAACGCCACTTTTTTTCAAAATGCTATAACTTTTTTAATTTTTGATACAAAATCATAATTTACATACCAAATGAAACTTGAGGTTGTTATCTAGCCATTGATCATGAATAATACACTTTTACTTGAATAAAATATGTCACCAGCGTCTCACTTAACCATGTGGTGTGCCATGAGAAATAAGCATAATTTGCATAATGTTCCTAAACTGATACGCCCTGATGACCGCAAGCTAATAGCCCTAATTCAAACCCAAGTGAGTATAGGGTATGGGGAGGTCTCCAGGAGATGGTATGAAGGCACCCAATCTAAAAAATTGCTTAACTAAAGCTGGCAATTAAGACACGTTGAAAAAAATATAGCTAACATTTCATTGATACTGCTATATCAGCAAGGCGACTAAAACTAAAATCTATCATCAAATGGCATGGCGGACCAATTGAACTCCTCTTTTAGATCAAATATAATCCCAGTTGAAGGACTTATTACATTATATTATTACTAAGAACCCTTGGCACTATATAACTGCAAAATTTGGGGTATGTAGGTTGGAAAATAAAAAAGTTATAGTGGCTTGAAAAAAAAGTGGCGTTTTTTTGGCCCACCCTGTATATGATGTAATTATCATTATAAAGGCTGCACGTCATTTACATAAAATACATGTACCATTGGAAATGTTTGCTGATAACTTCAGCAAACAATGGCTTTAATGTCTGCATTACTTAAATACCATCAACGTCGCATTATTCAGATTTTAATCACCATATGAGAAACTGTAAAAACACTAACTGGATTACTAAACATAGCTGCAGGCTCCAAGAAAGGCTCATTGGCTCTGGCAAAATTGGTCCCTAAATTTGTCAGAAATTTGTAAAGCTTTTTCCAAGACTCCCAGGACTGAGTGAAAAGATGACTGAGTTCCCGTTTATACAACCTAGCGCATCTGTGATTTTCCTCTAGTGGTAGCCCAATGAAGAAGTCAATACCTGCAAATATGGTATATCATAGTACAGGGATATGTAGCTTTGGGTTAATCTGGTTTTGATACTTATCTAAGAGTAATGTTAAATCACATCACTTTACATTGAGTAAGTGGAATAAGCATGTTTTTGAAAGATATATAGCATAAACATACCACAGGGTTGTGCAATTAGCATAAACATACCAAAAGGTTGTGCAATTACCACAAACATACCAAAAGATTGTGCAATTCGCATAAACATACCAAAAGGCTGTGCAATTAGCATAAACATACCAAAAGGTTGTGCAATTACCATAAACATACCAAAAGGTTGTGCAATTAGCATAAACATACCAAAAGGTTGTGCAATTAGCATAAACATACCAAAAGGTTGTGCAATTAGCATAAACATACCAAAAGGTTGTGCAATTAGCATAAACATACCAAATGGTTGTGCAATTTCCTCTTGAAAATATTGTGATAAACTTCTCTGTTTACTGTCTACTCTTCTTACTAACTGATCCAAATACAGCCCAATGGACCACAGATGATAGCCATGTTTAGTACCTGAAGTGACAAACATCTAGTTATCATAGTATCAGTGTTTGTATACAAGCATTTTTTCAATTCAATTCAGCTTTTTTAACATGTTTAAACATGTCAAAATTACAATTGGTAAGGAAATCAGCAAAATGGGGAATTAAATCATCCTATCATACCATGACTTTAATTTGATAGATGGATGACGTGATAGATTTAACTTCGACCTATCAGGTGTTTTAAGAGATATTGTAGCATGCTACCAAAACATAAACTTAACTGTTGCCAAAACATAAACTTACCTGGTTCCCAAACAGGTTTCTGTCTGGCTAGTATCCTTCCTGCTTTCTGCCAGTTTGATGTCATAAGCTTTAGTGAGAATGGTTGATCTACTGTGATCAAACCTGCCTAAAATTCATGCTATCATATTTAAAGCGGTTTCATTAATTGTTTTTAGTGTCAACTGGCAAATTGTATTTTCAACAACATTCATTTTGTATTAAATTTTTGACTCAAAGGTTGCTTAATGATCCAATATAATTAATAATAAAGACCTGATTGAGCAGTATATACACAGCTTTATTTTCCCCTGGTATGCATTTGGCCAAAATAATCAAAAATCATTCAAAGGTGTGCCAAAGTTTGCTGGTACTTGCCTGATGACTGAGATATGTTCTCAAAGTTATTTTCTCTTTTCCATTCTGGGCAAATTCTTTCCAGTATTTAGCTATTGGTTCATCATAGTCTAAAAGACCTCTAGAAATTAATAAGCATATTTTATAAGATTTGTCTGTCGTTTATACATGTTATATATATATTTTATGATGATGAATAATTATCAGATTAAGGTGATTATTTGATTACTGGAACTTCAAAAGAACAACGGATGGAATTATTTTCAATTACAAGGGAATGACAATATTCAGTCTGTAAAAGCAGTGAAATGGAATATTAAAGTCGGAAATGGATAGTTTCATAATGCATACTTTTTACACTGGATTTCATCAGAAGTATTTCTACTTTTCTTCTTCTACTGTAAAACAGTAATGCATTGTTACCTGTCAACTAGTAGAGCAATTGTAATGGATGCAACAGCCTTAGTGGTAGACATAACCTGTGTTATTGTGTTTTTGCTCCAGGGGATTTCAGCTTCAATATCTGCATAGCCACCTCTTAGATTAACCACTTGCTGTCCCTTATAATACACTGCAAATGCCCCACCCTTCTCCAATCCATTTTCAACATTTTTCCTGAAGTAATTCATGAAAAAAATCAAAACAGAGAAATAACCCTAGAAGCCCTGACCTCCCCCCTGTTAAGTTTTTCCCCATAACTTTTTATTGGCATCTGGTAGGGTTTTCAAATTTTCAGTAGTTATTACACCAATTTGTAGACAATTGAATGACATGTATGTGGGGAGAGTTTGAACATCCTAGCTCTACTAATAAAAAATTTACAAGGGGTACCCTTTTGACCCCCCCCTTGGGTGTTTTTTACCTTTGGGCTTCTAGGGTTAAAATGTTAAATGAACTTTTCCCCAGTTTTCAAAAGCAAATTCCAAGATTTCTTGAATCTAGTAAGTAGAAATCTTCTTTTTAACATGTTTCAAGCTCTAGAAGGTCGCCTTACCTAAAAATATCAGTCAATGGTTTCCAGCCTGTTGCTGTGTCTCCCTCCCAGACAGGGGGCAGTTTAGGTTGTAACCAGGAAGACACTAGAATAGCAACTACTGCCAATGCTAGTACTACTGTGGAACCAAATAACAATCCCATGCTATTCAGCTATTATCTGTCCTCAAGAAAGAGAGCCTCCTTACATTTAAAAGGGTCATATGATTGTTTGTTGCCTTTTGTAAGCCTACCCCTCTATACTATTTATCTTATGTACCCTCTACATTCAAGACTGTTTTATGGAGCAGATATGTATAGCCCTGTGATAAGCTTAGTACTACACTAGTATTTAAAGTGTATGTGAGGGTCCAAGTAGTCCAATTTTATATTTCACTTTAAAATGTCATGGAGTAAACAAACAAATAACATTTATTAAGTGTGTCTGACACTATAAATAATAATTAACAAGAAAAACCATCAACATCCTGCACATTTCAACTTTCTGTACAACTATGTGACCAGGAATAGGTTATTATTTAAATTATGTATTCATAAAGAATTCCTCATTGATATAAAATAAACAACTAAATATGCTGGTATGAAATGAAAACTTTTCACAGAACAACATGAGTAAGAATCATATATAATTGTATTTCAAAATACTCTTACATTCATAAAAAGACATATCAAAATGTTTACAGTCTGTACTTACAAAAACATGCCTTGTATAAAATGTATACTGCAATATATAAGTGTCTGATACATACAAAAATACATGACAAAAAACTGCTCCAATATGTTTGTATGCAATACAGATGTAAATCTAAAAACAATTTCATTACATTGTAATTTTCAATGTACATGTATATTAAACCATTCTAATAACCTGTCTAATCTGAACACTTTTCATAAAATTTCTGATGTTTTATACAAAATTGCTCAAATTTTGTCATGATATCAAAACTTTGGGAACTTGAATCAAATTTTCAAATTTCTGGAATGCCATAAAGCTATGTGGTCAAAAGAAATATTAAATATTTACTGAGAATGTGTTCACATTTCTTCAGAATCCGGATTATTGCGGATGCAAAACCCTCGAAATGTGAACACCTCCTAATCTGAATGCTTTTATCCGGTCCCAGTGGCGTTCGGATTAGACAGGTTTTACTGTACTTACAACATGCCCAATACTGAGGTGAAGATGCTTGAATTATTGGAGAATCCATCATTGCTCGCTTAAAAGATATACAGGTAATTACTTGAAAATCGAGATATTATTTCACATTCACATGGACCATAAGTGTAGGTACCCAGGTGGTCCAATTTATTCTGTTAGACAGCATTTTTGATCCATTTGTGAAAGGTTATGTATTGTTTTATTGGAAACTGAATAACTTTTTAAGTGGATTTTCATAACAAGCAATACTGGAATACTGGAAGAATTATACAGGTCGAAAAAAGGAGCACTCAATTATGGGACCACCCTGTGTATTCACAGAATAATTCATTATTGGAATTCAACTATTTGGCTTGCTTCATAAAACATGAAAAATGGGCAAAAATGAATCTATAGGCCGGTAGGTGGATTTTGCAATGAGCTGACTTGAATTTAGCCTGACATGAGAATAATGTCACAATCTTAATCCCTGGATCTTAGGAATAACAAAATTATGTTTAAGATCTAAACAGTGAAGTTATTCATCAACAGGTATTCAGAATAACAAACAGTCATAAATAAGTAATTTGGTTTGTTGAGAATATTCCATTATGGTTGAGCGAATGTCAATCTGTATCTTGCATATTGTATGAGCAATTACATCAATTAAGTTGAAATGCAAGTGTCAATATACATTAACATATAATGTTCAAGTACAAAATATATTGTATTGTAGTTCACAAATGGAATGATAGTACATTGCATAGCTCAGTGCATTGTTTGCTGAATGCGGGATCATTCCATTGAAGGTGTTGTTTCAAAATCTTGCAAAGTTAAGGAGACAACACCTAAGTGGAATGAAGCAGCCACAATGCATTGAGTCTTGGGCTTAAATTCTTTTCACACATTGCAAAATATCTAATTCTACAAAATAATTCACCAAAATAACATATTTTCAATGAAACCTTTTTGCAAGGGTAGAGTTGGCAAAGCCTTGACAATCATTCAACAAATGCGTTATTGGTTATATATCGGAATGCAGTTCTGATTGGCTGGAATTGGACACACCTTGCCTAGCTATGTGTGAACATGGGCTTTCTAATTGAAAGCCCACGGTGTGAATAAAAATAATGGCACCACTTTGGCATTGAAGAAACTACTTTCAGCAGTACACTACATGTATACCATTTGGAAACCCTCACAAGCAGTATTATTATCCTCATTCACCAATTTGGAAGCTCTACAAGGAATAATTAAATGTTTGAAGGGGAATTTTATAACTCATTCCTTTGCCAACTTATCCCATCGAGAATTCATTCCATGGACAACTTATTATCTGTCCAATTAATCTCTGGAAAACTCATTCCTGACCACCTTATTCTGTTATTCCATAGACAATTCATTCCATGGATAACTCATTATCTGGACAAAAAATTATCTGGACAATTAATCCCTGGACAAAAACTGGATTCATTTTTAATAATTGAGATAATTTTTAATAATTGAGTTAATAAATGTTAATAGATAATGATGTACACATGAGGCTAAATGGCTGATGACTGGCTGATGAGTTTGTCTACTCCTTTTTATTTTCTAGAAATTCTACTGCACTGTACATGGCTTTGACAAGTTCCATGTAATAAGGATCATCATTGGACATGGAGAATGACATATGATTGGTCACATAACCCCATGCTAAATCTTTCTCCATATCAAAGAAACCAGTCTGGCCACCATATCCATCATGACCATATACCAGCTTTCCCTGGAAGTAAAGATATCAAATTGTAGATTAAAATCCTTGAAGGTGAAAGGAACCCTAAAAGATAGCAAACATGGTTGAAAAATGCCCTTTCTGGCTTTGAGACAGTTACTTGAACAAACACCTTCTTGTGGCGGTGGGTTAATAAACTATCATAATCATCTTACAAAACGTGGAAGTGAAAATGTCTCACAAAATGTCTTATAGCAATCATTGGAAGATTGTGTTTAACACTTTTGAAATTGAACCCGAAGCAAAATTTGTTATTAGAAATGGGTTGTTATATTTTTGGAATAAAAATTTAAAAAAATTCAGAAATGAAGATTACAGAGAACATGCCTCCAGATCTATTACAGATTCAGACTTGCCAACCTAAAATGAAAAATTTACGGAAGATTTAAAAAAAATTGCGGTACTTTTACGGGAGTTTTTTTCAAAATCCGGTAGTTTTTGCGGGAGTTTTTTGAAAAAAAGCGGGAGTTTTACGGGAGGTTTTTGAAAAAACGGTCGTTTTTCCGTGAGATTTAAAAAAACGGGAGTTTTTGCGGTAAATTTTGAAAAAAAAACTGGAGTTTTTATGGGAGATGTTGAAAAAAGGGAGTTTTTACGGGAGATTTTTTAAAAAAGGTATTTTTCGCGGTGAATTTTAAAAAACGTGACTTTTTTACGGAAGATTTCAGAAAAAAACGGGAGTTTTTGCGGTAGGTTCTGAAAAAACGGGAGTTATTACGGTAGGTTTTGAAAAACAGGAGTTTTTGCGGTAGATTTTTAAAAAAATGGGAGTTTTAACGGTAGATTTCTGAAAAAACTGGAGTTTTTACGGTAGATTTCTAAAAAAAAACGGGAGCTTTTACGGTAGATTTCTGCAAAAATGGGAGTTTTTATGGTAGATTTTGAAAAAACGGGAGTTTTTACGGTAGATTTCGGAAAAAACTGGAGTTCTTACGGTAGGTTTCTGAAAAAACGGGTGTGTTTTACGGTAAATTTTGAAAAAAAAACGTGAGTTTTTACGGTATTTTTCTGAAAAAACAGGAGTTTTTACTTTAGATTTTGAAAAACGGGAGTTTTTACGGTAGATTTATGAGCATTAAATCCAGCGATTTAATTGGTTGAAATTATTATGACGCATGCGCAGTTAATAAATTAATTAGAACTTATAATCTAAGATAGATGTCACTTACGTTCATTATTTCACAGCAGTCCCTACCAATTATGTGGGAATATTTTGTTTAGCGCCATATAAAAACAAAATGTATTCTCCCGACAGAAGTATGACAGAATATGAACTGGCCCCCGTTTGTGGCAGTTGGTGTGCAAACTTATACCGAACTGATCGCAGAAAAGCAATTTGAATCATGGGAATGAAGTACTTTTAAGTTATCTATGAAAGTATCGATTGTGAACCATGGGAGCCAACCTTCTTGGAGTAAAAGAAAGAAGCGTGCCTGCAATAATCAAGGTCACAAATTTTTAAATTCCTTTTAAATACGGTAGATTTCGACAGCAAAAAAACGGAGATTTTACGGGGGTTATACCAAGAATACGGGAGATTTTACGGGAGTTATACCAGAAAACGAGAGATTTTACGGGAGTTATACCAAGAATACGGGAGATTTTACGGGAGTTACACCAGAATACGGGAGATTTCAGCAAAAATACGGGAGATTTTACGGCCATATTTTTAAAAAAAATTACGGGAGATTTTAGTAGAAATACGGTACGGGAGTTTACGGGAGTTTTTACGGGAGAAAACGGTATGGGAGTTTGGTATTTTTTACGGAAAAACAAAAAATTTACGGGAGATTCCCGTAAAAAAACGGGAGGTTGGCAAGTCTGAGATTGTTGAAAATAATGAATCTAATCAAGATAAATATTGAGGAAGACTGAGAAGACAACTGGTTACAACAACTTTTTAAAAAAATATATCCAACTTTTTATGGGGCCTTAAGGGTCTTTTTTTATAAAAATCATACATACCGGATAAACAGGATGATCTTTTATTTGAAGTCCTAATGAAAACATAGATGTGCCATTTTCCCTAAATCGGGAAAGTACTTCATCATGACCAGAAACTTGCTTTTGGAGAAGTTTCTTCACAGTTTTACGAGTGAGTAGAGATTTGCTTCTTTCTATGTCAATGCCATGAGACATAAAACTCATAAGTTTAGCGACGGAAACTGGTGTACCAAAACCATATGCAGCACAATTTGGAATTAATCGATAATGTGGACGATTGTAAACCAATATCTAAAACATACAAACACAAGGCACATGAGTGGGTGGGGGCCACAACAAACACTAGAACTTAAAAGCAAGTGCTATTATGCAAAAACTTCAAGACTCTACATAACACTGAAGTATATTATATGTAACTGTTCTGGAAACAGTTTGATGTCACAATAACAAGTGTTGTTATAGTCTCCAACTTTTTTGTGGACAGTGTTTGGCATTCGATATCTAGAATTCAGCGATCAGCATCTGTAACAGTTGGGAGGTGATGACATTTTGCATGTTAAATGCCTATTATGCATTTGAAGATGTATTGAATGACAATGGTTAATAGCCAATAGAGGCCAATAGAGGCAAATTTCCAGTTACAGAAAAATATTCTATAAAATATATTGAGGAAGTCCCACATCATTTCTTTATATAGGCTTTTCCACTCTGATAATTTACATCCAGTTTACACTTATTAGGCAATGACCACAATAAAAATTTCACAATAAAAAAAAATTTAACAATCAAATGAGCAAGTTTACATCTAGTATACACCTTAGTTTATATTTTAGTTTACATCCAGTTTACACTTTCAGTTTATATCAAGTTTCTATCTAGTTTACACCTTGTAATCAATGACTCATTTCACATGCAAACGAGCAAGTTTACACCTTAGGTTGCACGGAGTTTACATTGTAGTTTACACTTAGTTTAAATCCAGCTTCAATATAGTTTACACAAGGTAACCAATTACCAATTTCACATGCAAATGAGCCAGTTTTCACCTAGTTTACATATTAGTTTAGGGGGGCAGATCTCCCCCCCCCTATGATCTCGGAAACCAACAATCATAAGAGGGTTTATTAGGTATCATTGGAATGGTTACTTTATATACACTTATTTTGACGCTATTTTGGTGGTTATTTAATTTGGCAGATCAGGACTGAAGTTTAATTTTTGTTGATATTTATGTCATTAGGACAGGTGTTTACTAAGATATTTTCTGTATTTCTTTTGGAATAATGTAGAATTGATGACATGTTGACAGGAAAAGGGGCCCCTTGAGTTTAATTTCTGAGGTGCAATGGCCAAGTTCCAAAATGAAATTTGACGGATTTTTAATTTGTGGATTTTCTGAATCCGGCAATCTGTCAAATTAAAACGGGAGCCAAATTAAGTGTATCTACAGTATTCAATTCTCAGTATTGTGAGCCTACTTATTATAACTGTATTGAGCCATTATTAGTGGAGAAATTCATATTCTAAGAACATAGGGGTTTTTCGTTTTAAGTCAGAAAGTGACAATTTTGGGTATTTTACCAACTTTGACCAGCTCTTACTTTCCTCCTAGGGTTAGAGTCACATTTTTTTTCGCTGAAACATGCCTAATTTATAATTTAGTTTCAGGTCAAAAGATAAACAATGAAAAAATCTGCTCCCCCTAGCCGTTGAATCTAGTTGCGTGTAAATATTCTACATGAGGTATGAACATTCACATTATCATATTCTGATTAACTAGTTTTGATCCTTTATATTTTTCTTGCATATTTCAACAATGGCTTAAATGAATAAAAACATTTTTCAAGTTTATTCAGATTTCAATGCATGTATGTATTTTCTTTCATGTAAATGGTAATGTACAGACAACTTGCAAATATGTTAAATTCATGGAAAGAATAAGTAATCAATACAATTTAAAGTAGAATGTTCAATGTTATAGATCTTGATTTATTTATACTCCAATTTTTACTCAACCCGAAATGATTCTATTCACCAAATCAGGAATTGCTTCAGGTCAACCAAAACCCTCAGCCAATGAGTCTTCAGGTTAAGTTATCGTCCCACACGTAACTGATTTACTGGATGTTCAATATATATATGAGTACATTAGGGTGGCTCAAAATAATTTTTTTTTGGAAATTTTATGCTCCCTACGTGAATCGAGTTGCATTTTGGGGTAAATATCACCTGTGATTTTTTTCAAATTTTTTAGTCAACTTTTAGGGGTCCCCCACAGCCTTTGAAGTTTGCCCATAGGCTTAACATTAGTGGGCATCGCCCAAAATCGTACTTTATAGAAGCTTTTTGTTCTAGTGATTTATTTATGTTGTTTGAAGAAAACCAACATTGTATATGATATGATTAGATGTTTAAATCATCATATTACTCTGTTTTATCATGAGAACTTATATAAAAGGTTATACTTACAATATCCTCTTAAAAAAATATCAGGTACATTCGACCAGTATAATTATTTGAACAAGTTCAGTTTTAGAGAATCATGTATCATATATGATTTGGTATTGTCATTATAATGGTTTAAACTGTAAAAGGTATATTCATTCTTGACATTTGATGTTTTATACATGGTTCAGATCAGTTTTTATTATATGTGACACTCTTCCTCTATGATCTGAGCGTACAACACATACATTGTCACGATGCGCGGCTTCACGGGTCATTTGAGAGCATTCCTGTACCAGCTTCACTGCTTGTTCAGCTGGATCATTAACAGAATGCAGGTCTTGACAGAAATTCTATCAACAGTACGACCCTGATATAGCAAATGCAGCTCTTCGCTGTGTAAGACGCCATCTATGGTACCTCTGCCCTGAATTAGTTGTTTTGTCCCTATTCGACAAATACACTGCAAGAGAGGAGAAGCAGGAGCTTGCTACAGCACTGCTCAACATACCACAGCCTGTACAATTTGCAACTGGCAAACCAGGACAGCCTGACTTCAACCCAGTTGCTGCTCACTTAGGCAATGTTAAACCATCACTAGTAATGTTTGTAACTGAAATCTAATGGCTTTTATTTCACCTCCTGGAATCAGATCCAATTATATGGCTTCATGAGAATCCAGTTGCATGGCATACATATCCAACTTATGTTCAAACCCAGAATTTCTGTCAAGACCTGCATTCTGTTAATGATCCAGCTGAATGAGCAGTGAAGCTGGTACAGGAATGCTCTCAAATGATCCGTGACGCGGCGCATCGTGACAATGTATGTGTTGTACGCTCAGATCATAGAGGAAGAGTGTCACATATAAGAAAAGCTGATCTGAACCATGTTTAAAACATTAAATGTCAAGAATGAATATACCTTTTACAGTTAAAACCATTATAATGACAATACCAAATCATATATGAGACATGATTCTCTAAAACTGTACTTGTTCAAATAATTATACTGGTCGAATGTACCTGATATTTTGTTAATAGGATATTGTAAGTATAACCTTTTATATAAGTTCACATGATAAAACAGAGTAATATGATGATTTAAACATCTAATCATATCATATACAATGTTGGCTTTCTTCAAACATAAATAAATCACTAGAACAAAAAGCTTCTACAAAGTATGATTTCGGGCGACGCCCACTAATGTTAAGCCTATGGGCAAACTTCAAAGACTGTGGGGGACCCCTAAAAGTTGACTAAAAAATTTGAAAAAAATCACAGGTGATATTTACCCCAAAATGCAACTCGATTCACGTAGGGAGCATAACATTTCCAAAAAAAATTATTTTGAGCCACCCTAGAGTACATACATCATAGTACATTGTAGTACATCAAATAAAGTTTACAACAAGATCTGATGTAAACTAAGTGAAAACTTAATTTCACTTTTACTTGGGATAGCAAAGTGATAAGATATTAATAATTGTTGGCATACCTCTCCTTTTGGCAGTTCTGCAAAACTATTCTCAACTTTACTCAAAAGAGTTTTACTGCCACTGCTCGTCCAAAACGCATATGTGTCTCTCCAAGAGTTCCAAGATGTCTGTAGCAAGTCCGTCAATGGCCTTGTATAGATTCTTGCACATCTATAATTCTCTTCAAATGGTAGACCAATGAAAATGTCCAAACCTATGGTGAAACAAAAGCAGATTAAAAGGGCACTTTCTGAGAACCCCTTGACATTTACACATTGGGGGGGGTGTGAATTATGTTTGTTTATCTGCTTCATTTCGACTTTTAGGTTCTGACTCTTACTTTTTGTATTAATTTGTTTATTCCACTAGAAATATTGGTGGATAGTGTCTTTAAGTATTCATTCATTTTTTGAAAATCCCAAAATTGCTCAATGTGATGGTATTTTCGACTGAAATGATCCTTTGCGTAACGCATGTATCAATTCAGACAAAATATTCAGAAAACTAAAATAAATTGAGAAACCAACAGAGAAAGAGATAGGAACACTGCGAATGGGGAAGAAAGAAATTGGAAGTTCCTTACCAAAGGGCTTTGCGATTTCTTCATGGAAGTACTGCCCCAGGCTTCTTTGTTCATCATCAACACGACGCACAATTTGGTCAAGATATAAGCCAAATGATATCATGTGATACCCATGACGTGTACCTAAAAAACAAATATCTTAGAAATGACATCTAAAGTAAGTAATAAGGGCTGAGGTCAATTTCGTCCAATAGTATAAACTGGGCATTCTGCATATATAATTGCAACCACGTTTTAACTACGTATCACATAATGTAAATTATTTGTGCTACCAAATGAACATGTATAAATATAAGAATTACAAGGCTGGGAGAGAAATTACAATTCAAGAGCATTTGGTCATTATTTGTACAATGTCATCATTTGGAACAATGTAAACAATGTATTTACAATCTTTTCATCTTAATCTTAGAATACAATTTACAATCTTTTCATCATAATCTTAGAATACAATCATGCATTTTAAAAGCCACATATTACTCCTATCTAAAAGATCAAACCTTTTGTATAACTTGATTTAGAATAATTCCACCAGAGGGAATGGCGCTGACACATGCACTATAAATGTTGTAAATAAGTGTTAAATATCAAAAATTCATAAACTACTTCATTGCATTAACTTTGCTGATTTCACCCAAACATATTGTTGCCAAAGATGTTTGGTATGTTTGTACTCTTGTAACAATATGTTTTGCAGTTTGAGAAAAGAAATGGTTAATCTTTTAAACTAACATCATTGTATTTAGGACCTTAGGCCCATACATATCACATGTTCCATATGAATTTGAGTGTGCTCAACTACCTGTAAAAAGGTTTCATTCTTGTTCAACTATTACATGACTATACTCACCTGGTTCCCACTCAGGTTTCTGCCTGGCTAGGATCTCCCCAGCCTTCAGCCAGTTAGTGAGTATCATCTTCATGTGGAACCTTTCATCCATAAATCCCAAACCAGCCTAAAACACGGTAGCAACCACATTAACATTACACTTACAGTACTGTAAAAATTGCTATGATTCAATCATACTTAAGTATAATGAAGTGAGACAGTGACAATCAATTTTTGAATAATTGGATTGTCAAAGTTAAAAGTCTCATAAAAGTGAAATGTAAGAAATGTGTTTGCTTGATTGAGTGATTGATTATACAATGTTTCACTCACCCTGGAATTTCAGAATTTGTAAATGGGCTAATTCTGATGAATTGGAAATATTCAAAAGAATATCATTTTTGGACATTACGAAAAGACCCCATTAGGTGTGCACAGTATCAAAATTGACCAATACCTCCCGTCATCTTCCACTACGCCCCGTCGAGTCTATGACTACAAACATGGAGTTTCATTCTAAAACATTTTGTCCATCAGTGTGTCCGTTTGTAGGTTTGCCATGGTAGATTCTAAACACCAACCGACTTGTGTTTTAAGATTTACCCTGTCTTGGCCATTAATACCACGTCCCGTATAGTTGGTACCCTGTGAGTATGAGGATTTATTCAAAGCTTCATAGTACTCACATGTACTTAACGATATGACTTTACCTGGTGACTTAAGAACATCTTTAATGTTATTTTTTCTTTTCCATTCTGAGCAAAGTCTTTCCAGTATGTAGCTATAGGCTTATTGTAATCTAGAAGGCCTCTGAAAGTAAAAAGTAAAGTGAAATTAGTATTTTATTCATACCAGAAAACCGATGCACTAAAACTATTCTTACAGTCATGTTCAGTATTTTTGGAATAAATAAGTACTAACAATTTAGACAAAAATGAAGCTTTAATCCAGATAATTTGTATATTTCTTTGACCAGATAGTCCAGAAATCTCTTGTGACAATATTTTGAACAATCTAAATGAAGATATAACAAATCAAAAATTGAACACAGAATTGTAATATTTACTTGTCAACAAGATGTGCTATGGTTATTGCCCCAATAGCCTTTGTGGTAGAAAACAGCTGACTGATGGTATCCTTACTCCAAGGAAGTTTTGCTTCGACATCGGCATATCCACCTCTCAGATCTACAACCAAACGTCCTTTGTAATATACAGCAAAGGCACCACCCCTCTCTAGACCATTCTCAACATTCTTCCTGAAAACATCAAGCATAAACGTTCAGATTGATTAAAATCAACGGGACTGCCAAAGGTAGCAACTTATTCTGTTGTGCTAAAATAGAGGAAATCTTAGTGAAACTACTTTAAATCATGCCCTGCAATTAGAGAAAATGAACAGAGCTGGGGAGTAGCCAATTTCTGCTAGAAGATTTAACAAATCTGCTAGATGTATTTTTCATTTTTCATTAAAAGAATCTCGCGATTGGAAACACGTTAATAGTCACAATGAATATCAATACACGCTCTCACCCGAGTACACCCTTGTCAGTACACACTCTCACACGCAAAGTATGTACTATCGAGGGTGAACTCAGTTTAGAGTATGAATGACGTGGTTTCACTCAGGTGATAGTGATATGTCCTGACGAGGGTACACTCAGGTGAGAGAGTGTATTGGGATGAGAGTCTGTTCCCGTGAGACTTTAGGCAGTTGAGAGCGTGAACTAACTGATGAGGGTGCACTCGGGTGAGATGTTTTCCCATTCACAATGTTCCTTTAATGATGTATGACTATGCATTAATTAAAATATTTCAAACTTCAAATAAGTTCGCCTTCTTCTTAGAGCCTTCTAGGAGCCAAATCATAAAGCCAGAATGTCTGCTTCAAGATTACATCTGTTCCTAGATGTAGACCAAATTTTCTTCTATTATTATTCTATTAAATAACATACAGAAATTTGAAACTAGTAACCCCAAAACAATGTGGGATGAAATAAATAAACTTGGACCGGGGAAAAATAAAACTGATATACCAATGGAAATACTGGTGGATGGTGAAAAGATCAGTAATGTAGACCAGGTCCTCAATAAATGGAAATCTGACTTCGAATCCCTTTTTAACAAAAACAATGGTGACTATGATGACATGTTCTTAAACGAATGCATGGACTTAGTTAACCGCTGGGAAGAGCAACTTAACTCGATAAACGCAGATACACGTTCTGATAATGAAGTTAATGATCAGGCTATTAACCATGGCTACTTAAACAACCCAATCTCTTTAGAAGAAGTGCAACATGCAATTCAAGGTCTTAAAGTTAATAAAGCCACAGGTATTGAAAATATTCCCAATGAAGTGCTGAAATGCAATGCTTTATTAAATGTGATTCACAAGCTACTACAAATGTGTTTTGAATACAGTATCATGCCAACCTGTTGGTCGAAATCTATAATTAACCCCATCCCCAAGTCTGGGAAAAGAGACCCCAGAGTGCCCCTAAACTACAGAGGGATCAGTCTCATGTCAACAGTCTGTAAAATTTTATCGTCCGTCCTGAACACACGACTGCACACATTCCTAGACGCAAATAATATACTGCACGATGAGCAGAATGGATTTAGGAAATTTCGTGCATGCATTGATCATTTGTACGCCCTTACAACAATATTACGTCATAGGTTGAGACTTAAGGAGGACACTTTTGCCTGTTTCGTGGATTTTTCTAAATGGTTTGATGCCCAACGGGCATCCTTGAGGAATTTTTTTGGCGGCCATTTTGAATTTTCACACGTTTTATGTATTTTAGCCAGCATATTAGAACAGAAAACTAGCATACACATAAACATATCTTGCTGTTTTTTCTATAATAGAGTTTTAATATGATGTATACCAATATGTTAGGTTCCAGAAATGTTTCTTGACAAAAATAAAAAAAAATTCAAGATGGCCGCCAACCTTACAATTTATGAAATGTCTCATTCTGTGATAATATTATATTGATATTAGTGTTTCCTACAAAATTACCAATAAATAATACTAAAAACATCTGATTATGATCTCTTTCTCACATATAAAATATCTGAAATAACAAGTAACCTACATAATAATAATGATGTTCCACAAGGGTCATTTCTTGGTGCTATATATATCTTGAATTTATGAATTATCTTAAAATTCTTTTACTAAGATTTCATCAAGGATTTCCCTCAATAAATCCTCATCAGTTTCTTCAAATTCCTGTTCAGTTACTGTCTTTGTATGTTGGTTAATGCATTCATTCCCCTTGCAAACACAGAACAGATAAAGATGCCTTGGAGCATGAACATCGCCCAGTTTCACATACATTGCCCTCTGATGCACATGTGCACTTAATGAGCTGGTGAATTCCTTCAGGGGCACAGGGTGTATCCTTGGGCATTGTTGTTGGGACAGGTGAGCCCGTGCTGTTAATTTCCCAACCATAATCTGTTGGAAGGATAAGTGGGGGTCAGGCATATCAGCATTTTTCCATGAAGCTACTTGGAAATAAGCTCGCTTCACATGCTGGGAAAATGCTTCTGTTGTTGGTTGGAGGGATTTTAGCTTTGGTGCATTTGTAATGTGTTTTGCAGCATTTTCTTTGCTCATACAGCATATCTCACATCAGACATTTTGTCTGTGACTTTAGGTAAAATTCCATAACATCTAGAAACAAATTCTGTTGAAGTTTTCTTCAGTCATGTCTGCATTGACATCTCCCAGGTTAGCGAGTGAGTATCTATTTAACACCTTCAGGACTGTTAGCTTGCCAATTCCATGCATGCAAGATGTCGTATCACTGCCAGAGAGACCATGCGCAGCTAACAAGTTTGGGATTTTTAATTTGTGTTCATTTACGGTTGCATTAATGTTAATGTTTGCTCGGCCAGCTGATGTTCCCTCCATTATCACTATTTGATGAAAATGGAGAAATTAATATCACAACTTCAAAATCAACACTGAAACAAAAGTTACAGATTGAGGTGACCTCAAGAGGAAACAATTGCAATTTACGTGTCATTGATGGGTGTGCCATCCTTTGGATCATAACATGGCCGATGGCTGGCAAAATTGAAAACTTCTGTATTGCTTTCACTAAGTACATCCTGAGACTCCTAACCGAATCAGATGTATACCCTTAAGAAAAAAGCCATGGTAACCATGGTATTCCATGGTGCGCCCATGGTAATCCATGGTTTTCCATGGAAATTCATGGTTTTCCATGTTATTTTCCATGGAAATTCATGGACGCCCATGGTAATCTTCCATGGATATTTACCATGATTTTCCGTGGTAATTGTTGGTTTGGTAATTGGTTTTTAATGGATGTGTCATGGAGATGTAAAATCAACAATTTTGGTAGGATTTGTATTTACCAAAATCTCCAAAATGAATGTTTTGATGATATATCCCAGTTAGACTGAGACTTATCATTGAGAAAAAAGGGTGGACATTTCATTTTGAAGGTATAGCAAGAACATTCATCGAATGTTAGACTCAGCTTACAAATGAGAAAATATGTGAAACAGCAGAGCAGAGAGTAGGCGACAAGATTTCAAAAACAATTGTGCAAAGGTCTTTTGTGTAGATCAAGACTAGATAGAGATTGCTTATTTTTTAGGCCAAACACTTCTTTCCTTTGAAAAAGATTAAGTCCAACTAGCCCAAGCTCTGTTTTATTTCAATACTTTCTTTAATTTTCAGTTTAAAAATCAATATGAAGTAATTTAAGAAATAAATAACTCATTTTCTTAATCTTCATTTCGTACATTTGAGAATACAATCAAAAACCATGGTTTCTTTCTTTGAAGTTGAGAAAACTGCAATCAAAAGCCATGGAAGACGGTTGATTGCAATCGAAAGCCATGCTTTTCCATGGTTATTTCTTTGATGTTTTGGAAAGTGCAATCAAAAGCCATGGTTTTCCATGATTATTCTTTTGATCTTTTGAAAGTCCATGGTTTTCCATGGGCTATTTGTTTGGTCTTTTGGAAGCAGAAAAATGAATAATACATTATGTTTCTAAATGAACTTCTCCAAATTAAGTCCCATTCAACTTTTATAAGCATATTATCTGATAAAATCCACAGAAAAGTATATACTTTTACAGAATTTTGACTTGAAATTGAGATGGGGGATTAAACACAAGCCTATGGCTGCAAACTGAAATGTTATACCTAAGTGATAAAAATTGTCTATGTAAGAATATTATATTTAAAAAGAAGTTGCATGAAGGAAGGGGAGGGGGTTAACAACACCATTTGGCTTAAAACATGAAACATAGTATAAGTAATTAAAATTGATTTGTCTTTGAATAGGAATAAATAATCATTTGCATAATTTTTAAATATTTGGTTGCCATTATTCTATGTTAATTAGGTGTCTTAACTCTCAAATTAATGTCAAAAGATTAATCTCTTTACAACAGATTATAAGAGTTCATTTGCATAATTCTTAAATATTCTGATCTTAATTGTTATTGTTATTATATATGATAATCTTACTCTTTCTAATGCTCCCTCTTCAGTAATTATTATTGTCTGTGAGTGTAGACAGTGCAAGTCAAAAACTCATTGTTGATCAAATAAAACCAAATAGGATTTACTCCAAGTAAAAATGTTTATTCAGTCTGCAATAAGGGAATCCAGTGAGCTGATTTTATCACTTATTTTGTCTTTTTTACATAAGTGCCAAAGATAAATGATAGCAAATCCAAGCAAACAAATTATTACTTTTAATTGTGGGGTCAAATCATCAATTAAAAAAATATTAAGTAAACAGTTCTTTGTCATATGACACTATGTAGAGAATGTACTAAACATATATTCAGATTGTAAAAACATGGTTGTTTTTCAGGCCTGAAACCAGCTTTTGTCAAGAAGGTTGACTTTCTCAAAGATTTTGGGGTGGGGGGGGGGTCCCGGGGGCTTCATTGTATATAAAACTCGACAGGGGTCCTAGGCTGAAGCCTCAAATATCAATATGTTCCCATACCAATCTGTCAAATTTCAATATGTTCCCATACCAACCAAAATAACGCCCAAAGGCCATACCAAATGTCCAAATATAGGACCAATGCCATACCAAATGTCCAAATATAGGACCAATGCCATACCAAATGCCCAATTATGGGACCAATGCCATACCAAATGTCAAAATGTAGGACCAATGCCATACCACATAAAATTCAAAAGTGAAGAAGGCCCTGGAAAAGAAGATACTTCGGGAAACGATCCA